TCTATATACACGTAACGTGGGGATATGTATTACGTTATATAGGTATATGCAATGCTTTAATTATCCACCTCGCTAAATCGTAACGCGCGCAGCTGTAAGAATAATTTATGGGCTTTTCGAGAGTGCACGGGGCTCCCAGGAAACGTACTCTAAATTCTCACAACGGAAGCCCCTCGTATTCGGCGGGGACATTTTGACCTCCCCTCGCCCCGATTTCTATCGTACAGAGCCGGTCGATAAGGACACTCATCGTTCAGGGTATTACTTTGGCAAGGGGATCAGAGGGTAGAGGGTCTCGAATTAAAATCCCAAATGAGAAAGACGAAGGAACGAGTCCGTGAAATGAGAAGGGTACCACCGAGCTTTGAAAAGGGAGGGCGAAATGCAACAGTTCGATCGAGTCCCTCGCTCTCGGCCGCCATACTTTGGCTGGGTTCTTTCGCGCGTCAGCAGAATGATAGTGAAATATGTGCAGCATGAGAATTGGTGCAGTTATATCATATGAGGCCAATGTGGGGTGGTCTACTGCAGTGACCACCACGACCGATACAGCTGCCCCAATTCTAGCCTGGGTGAAGGACTGTAGCCAGGCGATGCGGCTTTGAGAAACAGCTGGATGATTTTGTCGCCGGCTTGTATGCACGCCCATCGGCTATTAACGAACGAAATATAGGTCTTACGCGGTAGCCCTCACTGCTACAGGACCTTGCTTCGGTTTCAGGATACACGCACGAGACGTGGATCAACCACGAGGAACCGCCAAAATATGCTACCCTCCGCTCAGCCGCTGAACTCGCCAGTCCCGTCATGCCTCCTGCTTCTCCGTCGCACCAGCAACATCAGCAGCAGCATCCGCATCAACATCAGCAGGATATCGGAGGTGCGGCCGCGTCCCTACAACCCACAGGGACGCTCACCCTACCGCCACGGAAGAGTCTCTCCATGTGCTTCACGAGTACAGGTACGGCCCTATCCTTACCGCCCAAGAAGAAAGATATATATCGTCCCTATAGTCTGCAACCGGAAATACGTACACCGGCGGAAGAGGATCTATCGGCCGCTCAAGCGATTCTTGATCTGAGTGCATCACCAGCAGCTCCAAGTCACTCGGTCTTCGTGCACACTCTGTCGCCAGCTCCGCAGCCACCGCAACCGGTACCGATACCGGTTTCTGTCCTGGTACCAGTGCCCACCTCGCAGAGCCCACCGAGACAGGAGCAGAGCGTGACGCCTCAACCGCAGTCGCCGGAAACCGCCGAAGCCGGGAACAAGACGGTAGCCTATACCTACGAGGCCTTCTTCGTCTCCGATGGTCGCTCGAAACGGCGCTCCACCAACGCGGCTGTACCGGACAAGGAGGCTGCTCAACCGGACAAGCCAAAGTTCACCTGCATCGAGTGCGGCAAGCAGTACGCGACCTCGTCCAACCTCTCGCGACATAAACAGACACATCGCAGCCTAGATTCTCAGTCGGCCAAAAAGTGCATCCACTGTGGTAAAGCGTACGTCAGCATGCCTGCCCTGGCCATGCACGTACTCACCCACAAGCTAGCTCACAGCTGTGGCGTCTGCGGTAAGATGTTCTCCAGGCCCTGGCTACTCCAAGGTCATCTGCGTAGCCACACAGGAGAGAAGCCTTACGGGTGCGCACACTGCGGCAAGGCCTTCGCCGACCGTTCGAATCTTCGAGCCCACATGCAGACCCACTCGGCTGACAAGAATTACGAGTGCTCGCGCTGTCACAAAACGTTCGCACTCAAGTCCTATCTGAACAAGCACTTGGAGTCGGCTTGTCTCCGCGACGAGGAACTGCAGACCTCAGCATCGTCACCCGGAAGCGCGAGTGCGACACCCGACGGCGGTCCGATGCAACCGAGTTGCGGCTTGTAGCACCGTGGCAAGGGCAACCGGAAGCGGATGTGTATCAGGAGAGCCAGGTGGACCAGGAGGATCAGGATGGATGCTGAACGCGAGCAACTTCACAAGGAGAGCTAGCGGATGATTGTAGAGGAGAAAAAAGAAGGTTTGCAGTAAGTTAAGTAGAAAAGTGCCAGTAGAGAGATTATATAATATTATAAAACGTCCAGTAATTTAAGTAACATCGAACAGTGACGTCCACACTGCATCTAGTCACTCTAGTCGATTAGAATATACATAGTCTATTACTTACTAGTACATCCAGTCTAGTCACGTTGGTTAAAAATATTTACTTAGCTGCCTAAATCTAAAGGAAGTACGACGATTCATCAATAAATATATATATATGTGTATATAATATATTATACATATATATAAATATATATATGGTGTGTGTATACGTTACTCATATGATATGCATTCGCACGGGTATATGTATATACCAGTTAGCTAACAGAATATAGTATATCCGTACGTATTGCGCATGCGTAATTCTATACATACGCGTACTTAGGCAAATTTCAAAATAAACGCGTAATATTGTTATACACATATTTTATAGAGGCAATATAACGAAAAAAAAAAAATTACGACACGTACGGTCAAAAGCAATGTTTCGACACAACGAATTATATACATAGCGGCGAACATCGAAATCCCGAATAACTTAGCTTCGGCAGAAATTGATCGTCGTACCTTAATTAAACCCAAAGATACCATAGCATCGCGTTTACATAGCTGCGGAATTTCACGCAATTATCCAAACAGACCACGAACGACAACCAGCGACGATTTCTCGTGCGCGGAATTGCCATTCGAGTTAACAGGATTGTATATTCCGTGGCGTAACACGGGAAAAAGTCAATTACGTTATATCGGTGCTTGTCGCTATCTTCCAACGTTTTTCATTTTGCCCGTTAAACTCCACGCTACTTCACTTTTCTTTTATTCCGCGATATCCCTGCAGCCTCGTGAGCCCTTGCTCGTCACTTCGAATAGTCGACACTGTTTATCAAGATCCTACGAAATCCCACGTGAATAGATATCTGTATCAACCCGCCGAGAAATAATTGTATCGCATGTACAGTAGACAACACTATGGCATTGCTATTCCCGTTATCGCAGCTACTACTCCATTTTGTTTGTTTAGCTCTTGACAGTCCTATGCGCATGCGCGCCGTGCATCATGCCGAATCGAGTCTTGCATTTAGTCTGCCTCGTTCGAGAAGGTTCTGTACGATTATATTGAGAGTCTATGATCTATTATTAGAGCAATAAATCTAAGCAATACTCGCATTAGACGATTACGCGTGTCACGCGGTAAGAGGAGTTACATAATTACGTATTTAATACATAATAAAAAGTAGAAGAAAAAAACTCTCGGAGTCGCCGTTCTCTGTAAATACGAATGGCAGTTACGTTTCATTCTGTTTCCGTTTTATTTTTTCTATCATAGGAAATATTTATATTTATATATATTTATTTGTCATATTTATTACTAGTCATTTCCATTGTATTTGTAATATTTATTATATTCATTTGTATATTTGTCACTGATGCATTATATCTCTATGGCACTCCTTTCTCAGTACTGTTTCACCTACGGTCGCGATATTATTACATCGATACAACGATTACATGCAACGATCGATATTTTCCTTAGGGCATTCTTCTTACGTGCTATATTTTAATGCGCCGTTGATCGACCAAACGTGGGTAAATTATCGTTAATCAACGATCCAACTTTTGTGTTTGTATTGTTTTGCTGTTAATTTTTTTTTTGTCTAACACGAGTCCGCCATCTTTGCCAAGCGGAATGTTTTTAGCTGTTTGCATACAAAAGGAACGATTTCGGCGTGAAACTAACTAACGACACCTATGCCAGGAGCAGTGTACATATTTATTGTCCATTTGGCAGCGAATGTGAATACGTAAAGTAGATTGGATATTCTCAAAGTAATATTCGAGAAACGAAGTTAGCGGGCATAGAAAATTACGTGTGGAAAAGGACTCGCGTTACCCTAGTATAACGACCATTGCCAAAAAAAAAAAAAAAAATTAAATCCTTTGGATAGTGAAAAAAAAAGTATCACATGTTAAACTAAAAATATTTTTCATGATTTTTATTTGGCTAATCTACACGCCAAATACAATATACCTGAAGGAATGACGTAATATTGAAGACATATTGGAAGCACAAAAAAAAAAAAGGTTTGAAAAATTTTCAATTAATTTCATCGGATGTGACTTTACTATAGAATTTGATATTATAGTCAAAGTAATATATTCTACGAGGAAGTTGAGTCGTTATTCCCGCGAGTCCTTTATGAATGATATAGAAAGAAGTAAAAGAATGCCAAGAGAGAAGACGGAACCCGCGAAAGTTCAAGCTCAACCCTGTTATCATAAATTTGATGTTACTAGAGGTGCTCAAGAAGTGTGTACAAAATATAAATGAACAACATTAAATTTGATGGTATATTTATTGATAAACGGGAATTATAGTGGTAGAGTTATTGGGTACGGGGTCTCGAGCAAAACTTATTCTGTACATACTTTATATGCTCCGTGGGTTATAAAGGTATCGTACAAAATTAAGCTTCCATTTCTTCTGGATTACGTTGAATTAAAAGGTCGCCGCGACGTGCACCGACGGAAATACGTCGTTCTTCGAGTCTCTCAAAATTTGCAAAATATTTTCACGAGAAATCACAAACACTACGTTTGTATATTATCGAAATATAAATTCTCGAATCTCTTCTGCTTGTTCGAGTAAACCGCGTATCTTTGCGAATAATTTTACGAATTTTTTTCAATTTTTCACGGTACAGCCAACCCTCCAAAATGACAAAAAACGTAATTTGAAGTAATTAAAAAATTACAAAAATTTGATAAAAATTTTCCAAATATCATTTTTGACGACTGTCCTTTCGTAGCTTCATTACGTTTCACGATTAGCACAAAGTATATCTATATGAATGCTACAGTCGCATAGGCATTGCTGTACACATTCGTAATTGCGAATAACAAGGCGAACTTGCAACTGGCGACAAACTAATTTTCTTAGAAAATCTTAAAACTTGCTATACTTTTCCTCGGGACTTTCCGCCTGGCTTCGTAACACTTAACAGTCTCTCTCAAGGGGCCTCTCGTTCCTCTGTGCTTCTCTCTAAGATTATAAAGCTCGATTATCATCGAGAGTCCGAAAAAGCGCCAAATTTCAAAATTCTTTATGGCGTCTGGAAACAACACCAATTTCACGTGATACATATTACTACTACAAATTTTTAATTATGTCGTGGTTGCGTGCTAGCGTGTGAATTGAGCTTTACCTTCGCTTCATCTAACCTTTGATTAATTTACCATTGAAATATTACACGAGTAATATTTTCACTACTGAATTCCCATAAAGAAAATTATGATCGGACTAAAAATATATACACAGTCATTCGTTAAAGTCATCAGGAATAATAACTCAAAGTTCGCTGCGTTACGTGACTGATCGCAGGTCTACAAAGAAAACAGCGGATCACAGGCATAGCGTGATCCACGTAAATTTCTCCATATTTTAGAATATAATGAAAAAGTTTGATCTTGATATTCCGCGTGTACGCAACCATCGGGAATACCGTCCCGCCGGATGTAATTCAGACAGGAACAAGGAGGTTAGAGATGAAAATTGAAGGATATAGGTAAACGAGTAAGGTTATTAGAGGCGGAGTATGAGGAGGAGGAGGGGGAATAAAAAAAATGAAAAACTAAATAAAATAAACGAAATCGTCAGACTGATGCACTTTCCGAGGGAACATTTTGATTTATCGCCCGCTTACTACGAATGTACGCGCCGTAGAATATATATACATATATATATATATAACGCGAAACTTTGCGACCATAAATATATTGTATGTATATCGTACCGATTGCAGAACTTTCGACTCCGTCGACGAATAATAAGGATGCGCTTAAAGGGAGAGCATGACACTTAGAGAACGATGTGTTCAAATAGTCGTAAACTTTAAGTAACATTTAACGTGTAATCGCGTGATTGCGGGCTTTAACATTAGCGCGATAAGCTTCACTCTGATTTACGATTAGACGCGCGCGATTCTTTTTTTTGTTTTACGTAGACCTTACTTGCATTAGAGAAAGGCCATTCGGTGGCTCATTTTCATTATTCTTTATTCCTGCCTTGGATGAAAAAAGAAATGATAGGATTCGCGTGCGAAAACGCTCATGGGATCGTTCTGGAAAGTATTTCGCGTGAGGAACGTATAGGATAGTCGCGGCCTGCCACAACGTCAGTTTTCCGAACTACTAACAGAGATTTGATATTTGACTAATAATTGATTGAGTATTTTTTTTTTTCACGAAAAAAATGTAAAATAATATAAAATAAAAGTAGAATGAGTATACTGCGAAAAAAAAAAAAAAATGGTGGCTCGCGACGGTACCAGAGATACTTTCGACAGTCAAGCACTAGGCTCGTCGTCTTGGGAGTCGTTGATGGCAATGGGATTGAAGATTGAGGACTGAGAGGCAGGAAGATTTAATGCAAATTATACAAGCAATTTGCATGGGGCTGCATTAGCTTTCGTGAAAGGGCTGCTCGGTACGGAAGTTATCAAGGTCGCAATGTCATAGGCCCAGAATAGGAGACGCGCTGTTAAAAAAGAGAAAAACGTAAATCTACGTATCCGGGGATGCTCGTGTAACGGTGACTCGGAACAATGAAAAAAAAAAAAATGTTATTTAAAGGGATAAAATTTCAACTCTCCTTGACAACGAAATCGTGTGATCCAATAAGTACGTCTTGATGAGGACTGTTGAGACGCGATGTTAGAACAATTAAATAAACGAGAAAAAAATTGACCCACTTTGCGCAACATCAGAAATGAAATGGCGAGAAAAAGTGAGGAAAAAAGCAAAAGAAAATAGGGAGAAAAAGCATCGCAGCGCCTCGTATTTATAAAAAGACAGGTAACAAAGGACAGAATAAGATACGATTCCCGGGTAAGCCCTCGCGCTAACACGAGGATCAGAAAGAGAAAAAAAAAGGAAAATTCTATACGCGCACATTATTTATTTGAGAGAACGTCGTGTACATATGATATATACGCGTAGACGTAAAATTACGTTAGACACTTACTACGTAATGTATAAGAGACATGATGAATAACGTTACTATAGGTATTAATTATTAAACTGGCAAGAGCTGGGTCCCCAGTGGGCCAATATTCGATAAATATCGGTGTGACACTTTCCGTTAAGTTATCAAAACTAACTCTAGTCATGTGTTTCTTTGGATGTGACAATGTCGTCCGATTCGATGTGCATAAAATTGAGTCTACGTTAATTCGGACTCGACGTGTACGATACTACCTACTATTACCTAAAACGCTATTACGTGTTTTTTATTTATTTAAATTGTCGACGGCACAATTGGAATCTCGATTTAAAAAGAGAAACTTCGAAAAGCACTACGCGAGGATTCTACGATTTTCGGTATCAGAATACAATTAACGGAATTACAAACACATTCCGATCTACTCAAGATTATTTTGTGAATCTTTGATTAACGTAAAACAAAAACTTTGGATTTTACTCCCAGTACCTTTGTGCGTCGATGCTGACAAGTATTTGAAAACAAAAGCACAGATGGCGACACTGGACGTTACCGACACCCGCCGATCGTAGTCGAATAGAAGCGGTCGCGACACATTGCGCAAATTATTAGCGATATATATGGAACTCGTGGTGTCTGTCTATATACGTAATGTAATATTTACCGTTATCCTCGGGAAGTCAATTTTGAGATAACGAAGACGAAAAGAATCGAGAATTCTTATGTAGATACTGGAATGAATCTCATTCCTTAACCTCTTACGTCAATATTGTCTGTGTCAATTTTACTACTGTCTCTCTTAAGTGTTCCGAATTTCATGGCGATCGATACACTCTACGGATTCTCTGTAATCTCGGCTGTATGTATAGGATACACGACTACGCGACGTTCAACTTGGAATACGAATTAATCAAAACAGCCGTAACGAAGCGACTGTTTGTGAATTGACCGCCATGTTGAATGTACAGCGAAGAGAACAGAGTAGCAGGGCAACCAACCTTGCATAAATATAAAATAAACAAAGAAATGTGTCGCGCCGCCAAAATGCTTGACTATTTGAATATTTACGATCGGCTTGGTGTATCGGTGCGATTGTAACAAGACGAGAGGATTGAAACGAGTGATATAAAGAAAAATTGGGCAAACCAGTAGAAGATGCAAATGAGCGTCCGAGAAACAGGTTAAATTAAATTCCAGAATTTCTATTGCCCCCGTTAATACGTTAATTGGCAAATAGTGAAAGGACCTGTAGCTATGGTAGAAATTAATCAATTATTAACATAGTCGATCTAACGTTGCACAATTTTGATTCTCAGTGACGTCATACACTTGAAATTCTGCTCCAACATTCAAAGGGACTCTTTTTTTCTATACTAATCTACTGCTGGCAGTACCGTCCATTATGAAATTCTACTCGCTCGTTTCATGACGAAAAGGAAAGGAAATTGAATTATCTAACCTTACTGTACTTAAAGGAGAAATACTTGCGTATCGAAACACAATATCTCTAAACTATTGTAAAAGGTATTGTACGTTCAGATTCCACTTCGTCGAACTGTGCCTAGATCATGTATGATTTGGCAGCATACGCGTTAAAAAATCTCAAACGATCCTGTAACACGGATAAATCGTCAGAACAAGCAACAAGATCGAAAACCAAAGATAATATTCCCTGTGGATAGCTTTAGTGTTATTGCGAAATAAAAAAAAAAGAAACGCATAAGTAAACCAAGAAAAATCGTGCACAAGTGGTAAAGACGTTCGCAATTAATAATACTGGCCTTTCGAGATGGCCAGCTCTTCCTTTTCTCAAATTTTTCCTAAAAAAAAAAGACACGAACACGTTAATGTCTCACATTCTCCGTCTTACTTATTCCCAACTCTGTTTCTTCGTACGAATGCATCTTCTTGCACAGCGTACCTGTAACTTATAAATCTTCACTCTTTGTCCTGCAAGTCAATCTATAGAAGAATCTTCGTTTAATGGAAAGTTACGAGAGAGATCGAAGATGATAACAAAAACCAAAAAAATATATATATATGAGAAGTAAAAATTGGTGGAAACACACATATGTGCAAAAAGTGCCTACATTCCAAGTTATTCTCTTAGTATCGATACATTCCACGAGTATGGCAGTGTCAATTACCGTTTTGGATAAAGAGAGAAAAAGAGAGAGAAAAAAGCAATATCCAGAATGATTTGAACGGATAATGATAACGGATAATGAACGATGTTTTACAATAAAGGTATATGGCTGGCAAATGGTAACGGTGTTGATGATCACGATTACGATGAGAATTAATTATTGATTATGATTATTGATTATGATTATTGATTGCGAACCCAGTTTACGAGCTAACCCTTACGCAGTGACGTTAGACGGATGTGATATAAAAGTAAATCTAACCTATAATGCATAGAAGATATTATTAATAACGAATACGCATTGTGATACCCCTCGACTGATATTTACAGGATATTGTTCCGATTGGATGTCCCAAGGAAGCCGGGGTATTCAAAAGCAATAATGACGTAGGCGGACCCTTTCCGGTCGCGGATCGGGACCGATAAAGATAGGATGAAATTAAATAATTATATTACGAGTATGATTATTATGGTAATGCCTAAGGTAATAGAACTTATTAAAAAGTTAGTAGGCTTTTATAACGGCGTAACGAGTATACATGATAACAAGGCGGAATGATTACAATGTCATACGTTGTTCGGTAGATGAGAATGAGTATGAGAGAGAGAAAAAAAAGAGAAAGATAAAGAAACGGTTTGTCGTAGATTCAAGTAAAACGTATCCATATTTTATAGCTTTTACTTAAAAATGCAGTACACGCAAATATAAAGTTAACTATATTTATAGAGATATGTTGATAACGAGAATGAAAAGGTAAAAAAATATAACGAGATATTAAATTATTATTAACGAAGTAGAAGCAATATTACTCATATGCATACGTACATACTTGCATTATTATTATCATTGCAATTATTGCCATTATTATTATTATTATTATTATTATTGTGATTATTATCATCATTATTATTACGATACGTAGCATTCAGCGAAAACGGCAAGAAAATAAAGAGATAAATAAAAAGTAAGGAATACAATAAAAATACTTTGCATGACTACGTAGGGCTATACTGCCGCCGAAGCAATACAAAGAGCAATATAGAGGTTAAAAGGTAAAGAAAAAAAAAAAAAATTGAATGATTAATAAGAATGAAACGGTTAACGACGTTTGAAATCTATAATGGACGGGAGATATTTAAATGAAACAACAAAAAAAATATAATAATTAACGAATCGTAGGTATACACACGCTATGTACGACATTAAACTTATTCTAACCGTAGTGCTAACTATACTTAGCATTTACGTAGACGACACTAATGCCTAGAGTCGAGAGAATGTAATTGGATTTTTTTATCATCAGACACTCATGTTCGGGTGAAGATGACCAATGTTTGGCTTTTGCTCACGCACGACGCGACACGAGAGTGACGCATGCGCTCGCGCTTACGCACGTATTAAAAGAAAACGGAAAAGACAAAATAAAAGAAAAACGTTGCGTGCTCTCACCGATGACTGAAAAGTCCAATTAATGCGAGGATTTGCCTCCGAAGGTAGTGATATACGTAGAGTTAATAATAACAGGAAAAAAAAAACCTAGTAGTTCGCTAATGTATTTCATCGGGTCCATATATTACCTGGTCGTATGTGATTCTCCGCTTGGTATATTGCGTGTATCCGTCACTGACAGTTTGTTCTGGTAACGCCAATGCCACTGACAGCATTACTACTGGCAAGTCAATATATTTGAAAATTTATCCTAAACGCAAGCCATCAGCCAATCTCGTCCGTGCGACTAACCGTCTAACAGCTGACGTCTCCTGCAGCTACGTTCAGGTTGCCAGGATCGATTCTACACCCTGTCGATCTTATCCTCTTGCTATTTCTATCTACGTACGCCAGTGGAGTCAGTCTGCTTCGTCTGCTTACTCCTTGGTTACATTTCACCGCGAGAATCCCTTCGTACGCCATGTGGCTCTGTGCTGTGGCGGCAATGGCAGTGATGCCAACTGCGGAGAATCCACTATGGTGGGAAAGTACCTTTTGAAAGACGTAGTATATTAGCATGGTGTGAAAAAAAATGATAGTGACGCTAGATGATTAAACTTAAGCTTCTTTCTCATAAGAGAAACAATTATTATAACGAATATTTACATACGTTTGTATGATTTATAACTAGTGCTAATACAAAACTCCATTTGTCACCAAGAACCAACAAAAAAAAACATAACACACGACTCCACTGTCACGGACGTTCTATGAAAACCACTCAATCCCCTTCCCCATACACATTCCCTTCTATGGTTATTAAAAATGGTTGTGTTTCTTGTAATTCTGGTTTTTCACGTTTTATTCAGTCTGTACAGTCATATGCTTATGACTTGTTCTTCTTGTATTCTTCTTCTTCTCTGTATATCGGGCCTTTCCTCCAAAACGACTTACCTACCCCGACATGCTTCTAATAGTGTTGGATGGTAATGTTATAACAAAAGAAAAAAAACGTTAATTGAGCATTGTTATCTATGTAATACAACATAGGATGTTTTGTATTATATTTTCATAATAAATAGAAACGTAGAAAAAACGTATTAACTATATTCGTGTTATTATGTCTATTCCCCCTTCTTCACGATAATTCCAATATCCCATTCCTAATTACTGTACCAATATAAATACAGTTACTGTTTCTGCCTTCACGCATCAACGAACTCTAGGTAGAAACTCTCAATGCGATACGTCCGGAGTGGTTGTGGTATTTTCTTACGAATGACTTAAGGTAACCTAAGAGCAAAAAAAAGAACTAGCAATTGCTAGTCAGACGCCGGCTACCAGAGAATAATTTCGAAATTTGCCCTGAAATGTTCATGACGCGTAATATTACCACATAGCTTTTCACTTTCAATGATGGTCTAAGACTCTAGTGGGGATTTCTGGAGTGAAGCGTCTATATAGAAAATAAACAGTGATGGGACCAGCTGCAGTTGCAACAATGTTCCGGCACGTATTACCTCGAGTAGCATAAAGCTTTGTGCCCGTGATCGACAAGGACCAGCAGCTTTGCCTATAGAGTTGGTCACGTATTACCTCTCCACTCAGTGTACGGGAGCTGCCAACCTTGCCACTACTCCTTTTACAACCAGTCACCCATGCGAGTAAGTAATAAGGTTCGTGATAGAAATTAACGAAGTACCCTGCGCCAAGTATTTTTGATCTTTTATTAAATTTCTTTTTTTGATTACCATTTCTCATCAACCTTAACTTTTTACTGCTGGTAAAGGATATCATTGAATCTTTTTTCTCCTCCTCCTTCAATTTTGTTCTCCCTTGCTCTTCTTCTTATCAGTCTCCCATGACTTCCGGCAGATTCCCCACATCCGCCGCCCTCGTTTTACCCCTCTGGCTCTACAATCGATCTACATCCAACAGTCGATTGGCCCTCGTTAATCATGCAGGATGAGGTCCTACTTCGATTAAGCGCCGTTTTCGTGTGTGCTATCTACAAATGGTCGCGCAGGTAATCGATCCTGTTTACGATAGGAGACTACTACGTGTCAAGGTGGAACATATTGCCAGGGCTTTCCAAACGATCCTTATTACTCCAGGATCCTAAATCAAGAGTCTGCTAGGTGAACGAGAGGTAAGACATGTATGATGTAGTGCAAAGAGGAAATTTATGAGCTGCCATCTGTATTTTATATATGAAACTACATAGCATCATACTGATGAAAAAAATTGTAGAAATTTTGAATTTTCTAAACAATTAAAGACTGATATCAACACTGCGTAGTATTACAAAAATCAGCGTAACAAGTCAGTCGTGAATAATAGCAGCAGTTAACGCATGTTGTTCCAGTTGGATAACACGTAAGAGAGTTTCTGCAGGACAAGGAACATAAAATAATAACAGTGCATTTTGTATCAATAACAAGAATTTGTGTAACGAATATTATTGTCGAATTATTACCTGATAGAGAAAATCACGGAAGTCACTCGGTATCAGAATTCAGTGAAGTAAGGTATTCGTGCCTGTTTACACGGTACTTTCTGATGCCGTTTGCGTATTTGCCATGTTTGCGTTATTAGTGCTGAGTATCTATTTGGTATTTACCGAAGCTACACTTACGTCCATTATTGAGACCAGCAAGGGTTTTGTACAAGGAGAGATACTGGTCACAGTACTAAATTCTCTAGAGTATTCCTCCTTCAAAGGCATCCCTTATGCTCGACCTCCTCTTGGCCATCTAAGATTCAAGGTAACTCTAACGGTAGTGTAGGTACACTTAATTGATTCCGAAACAGTTATACGGTCCCTGCTTACCCAGCCTCCGATAGAGGTGGACCGGTGGGATGGGATACTTCAAACTACTCTGGAAGGTAGTCCATGTCCGCAGATAGACTTTCTGTATATGAATTTGACCGGAAGTGAAGACTGCCTTTACCTTAATGTATATACGCCGAAGGTAAAGTAAATTTTTAATAAGAAAACAACTTTTTATCAGTACATAGATCCTTTTGTTTTACCACAGACCTATTTCTACGACCTGAATAGGAATCTTAAGCCAGTAATGATATGGATATATGGCGGTTCTTTCAAATCGGGATACTCGAATAGTTCTCTGTATGGACCAGATTTTATTATCGAGCAAGGAATTGTGCTGGTTACGTTTAATTATCGTTTGGGTCCATTGGGTATTTTATTAAATACATAATGTTATTATTTCATAATTATCTTTAGTTATAAGTAAAATGAAAACGTTGGATTTTATTCTCACAGGCTTTTTATCGTTGAATCATCCAGCTGCTACTGGCAATGCTGGATTGAAGGATCAAAATTTAGTGTTGAAATGGGTGCGCCGAAATATTGCTAAATTTGGTGGTGATCCTGATAACGTTACACTTTTTGGCCAAAGTGCTGGCGGTGCAGCTGTAGAATATCACATGGTTTCTGACATGTCCCAAGGTACAACATTGTATTACCGCAGTAAAGAAAATATTTCTCCAGTCCATAAATTTGCTTCTATAATGCTTTTATGTAGCCTACCTCCGTTTATATGAAGTTTAACGATAAAATCGTGGAAATCCTAATATTATAGGGTTATTCCATCGCACGATTTCCATGAGCGCTTCTATACTTTCTTCCTGGGCTTTTCATTCGCCGACTCACGCCACTAAACGAGCTTTTAAGCTTGGAAATGTCCTCGGGATTGCTGCCACAACAAAGGAAGACCTTCTTCGGACTTTATACAAAATCCCTGCGTACGAGCTGGTAACAGCTTCTGAAAAAGTGAGCAAGGTAAGTGACTATCAACGCGATAAGTGACAAGTAATAACTTTACACATCATTTGCGATAACGCGTCACAAGAAATTTTGACACTTGAATAAGTCATTTTCCTATAAAAAAAAAATTCAAATACCGAATACAGAAATTTATGACCAACAAGATGCTATGTCGGTACAAAAAATATTCTTGTCTCTTTAATGATCTGCAGAATGTTGGTGTAGCACTTTATCTCACACTCATACTTTATTCATTTTTAAGTAAACATTCCGTTTCCTAATTTCCACAACTGTAGGTAGGACCCGCTTTTAAACCGACGTTAGAGAATTTTCGAGTCTCTTCGAAAAGCCAAATATTTCTTTCGGAGTGCTCCCTGAGGAAATTTGTCGCAGGGAACTTCAGTAAGGTGCCCCACATGATGGGATTTACAGCATATGAGACAATACTCTTTGCGACGGGTGAGTAATCCCATTTCACATCGAGACTGGATGAAAAATTGAACAATGATACATAAGATATTGTAAAATTTTAATATCATCCGTTAATCGTTTTTCTGTCAAACATTAGAAAATGCCAAGGAAACGTTACGTTCCGTATTATCATATTTCGGTCCATTGCCTTCTAAACTTTTTCCAAATTCGAAATACCTGCTCGATCCAAAAAACTCTAACGCCGTCTTATCAGATCCTACCATCATGAGTCTGATTAACGTAAGTTTCACGGAGACAGAAATAAGAGGAATCTTTCTAATAGATTTTCTTACATTCATTTTTCTATCCCCAGGAAACCTCGGATATCTTTTTCATAGCCGGCATAGACGCAAAGCAAAGATTACTCAATGCTTATGGTTCCCGACCAGTGTACTACTACAGATTGTCATTCGACACTAAATATTCGTTACACAGGTTATACTACAATATCGATTTAGATGGTAGGTATAAAAGCCAGTGGCAATTAAGAAATAGAATATTCGTCCAAAAGTACGTATGGATTGGCCCAGTTAAAATTATTCAAACCAGTCAAGCACCTCACTGTGTTTACACTTAACCAAACCATTCGTTATATAAGAAAATACAAGTTGTCAAATTATAATCTTTCACTCATATAGGTGGTCAGTTAAATATTTTTTTATTTAATGACACGAGTTTCAAGTTTAACGAATAAGTAACGAATGGCTGTCACGTGTAACGTAGCAATGAGACGGTTGGACAGTGTTATAAAATGTCGACGTTTCACGCCACTAATTGATTTGCGTTAATCCAATTGATTAAATAATATTGATACAGTGAGTCTTCGGTATTCTTCCTTATCTTGTTTTCATTTGTCTCTTAACGTTCTTATACCAACAGGCACTGCCCACGGAGACGATATAGCCTACCTCTTCTATACTACACTAACGGATATCCCATTCAGTAAAGAAAAGCGACTATCAGTCACCAGAGACAGAATTGTTCGTATGTGGACGAATTTTGCGAAATACGGGTAAAGCAATTCTATTACTATTTTTTTCCCTTTCTCTTTATATATATTTTTTTGCTTCGCTTTATACCACGGCGCTCAACCATTTGAACGGCCTATTTAATCTTGTCTAGCCGGTTCGTCATGCTGCGGCTGGCCATTCTCTCGAATTGCACGAACGCGCGCTCGATTTCATGTCGCTTTCAATTTATTGCTAGCCGATAATTTAATGGCGCCACTATACAGCGTTACGCATTCGTGAGAATTCACGAGTTTCGTTCGCAGGGATCCAACGCCGCGTGGGACGGACGACAGTTTGCTGAATGTATTTTGGCCCGGATCGGGATCTTCAGGAATACATTTGGAAATTGGTGATGAGCTTTCTGTAGGACCGCGACCAATTAATTTGCGAGTACGGCTTTACGAGCTGGGTACAAAAGTACCAGTACAAAATGGATGTATATTCCCATTCTTATTATCCTAATTGAGTTATTTAAGTAATTATAGTAAAACGTCTACTTATTTGTCGTCGCTTATAAACCAACGAAGGACTCTGTGAATCCGGAATATATTAATTGATGAATAAATTCAAATTATACATTAATTACTTTGAAGATCTTACGTATAAAAGATCCTCTTGAATTTTGAGAATACCTTTTCACGCTCTTTAGCGTTGTTACATAACAATTCAAGAAATAGCATAATTATCTAAGTAGACTAATAATTACAACCAAATGGGTACAAGGTATCTCATCAAAACTAATATTGCTCTTGAGAGTGAATATCCTGGTGCTGTATAGCAAACAGAAAGTGTACAAAAATTATCTAACTTGATAAGACTAAAACAAACGTAACCATGTAAATATTCATAGGCAGCCATAAATAATTCAAAATCACAGCATCTCCACATCCTAAACTTACATCGATATCCAGCAGTTACCATTCGTGCTTTTATCTGTATGCTACGTATCAAGAAGTCTGCGTGAAACGCGTGAAAAATATTTACAAAACATCGAATTGTTCGTATTAATTAAGAATAATTCATGTATGCCATTAATCGTTACATAAATATTTCATTGTTTTTGAAAAGATTTAAATAAACGTGTATCTGACTACTTGAAGTTGACCGCAGAAGTAGGCTAGATTCTGTGACAAAAGCCAAGGGTGTCTCCCATAGAGTAAAATACGATTGTGCCTTTCGCAAGACTCGTGACTGTTTCAAGGTCATAGAAATCTAATCAGTTTAATTACTTCCTATGGTTCAACTTTATGAATGTATATAGTGTACGGCCGAATACCCGTGGCCGCACTTGATCCACGGCTGTGCTTGAATGAAATAGTTGCCTCTCTGGACTTTGCGTTGTATCTCGTAAAAAGGAAAAGAAGGAAGAAAGCGATAGAAAATAAAAGGAAGATTAATAAAAAGGTAAGCTCACCTTCCCTACTATGCGCTCGGCACTTGGATTAATGAATTCTCACAATTTGTTTAATGGCAATTAAAACTTTCCGCGCTTTTCATCGGGTACGGGGATACTCTTTTAAGATCTTCAAGAGTTTCACGGCTTTGTTTATTCAAAGAATTTTGCTACCTTGCTCTTTCGAAGATACCACTTCACTTTTCTCAATTGGGATTTCACAGTGTGTCTGTCACTAATGTTTAGGGCGTATATATTTTCATAGTATTTATTATATATTCGAGAGTATTTAATGTATAGTGATCACCCATTTACTGACTTATTACTATGCACTCCTTTTATCAGTACTTAGTCACATATCTGTAGGTTTTTCTTATCGGTATGTTATGTCATAGCCCACGAGTTTCTAGCTAAAACAAAAATGATTATATGAAGACTTTACAAGAAAAATTACTTTTGGACGTATGTGTTGTCTGAGTAGATATAGTTCTTTCGAATTATCGATAAAATTTCAAACGTCCCTCAGTACGCCATTCAACGGTATACAGTACATGTAGCATCAAAGCGGAAGCTTCTCGTATTTTACAGTGGAGTGACTCGGAAAAGCATATAGACGTAGATTATATTATCGAATTGAACATATTTATCAAATATTTGTCACCGGATTGTTCGTCCATGCAGAATACGCCGATTTCATTTGGCATTTCAGTGTGAGAACTCGTCACGCTCAGCCGATCGCCAAAGGAAAACCGTTCTAGCACCTGGTGCACTTTATTCTGTAAAAATAAAAACGTTTAAAGACACGCTGCGAACGATAGGAACCGTTTGATTCACCATTACCAAACTTTTTATTATCAAGGTTAAACGTCCTGTGAGAAAACTCAACTCCCTTTTTTTGTCATCAATTTAATAGCTAAATGCCACTCAAGCATATAATTTTGGTATGGGTAGAGCAGGCAATTGTGCGTGAGAATTTCGTTCATTATATCTTTGCAGAAAGTTTTTAAAATGTCCTCGAACGCCCCGGAATTCATAATCCGGCGCCCGGTATATCAGCAGGATGAACTTCATCGTATATGCAATTATACAAAACCTAAGAGAGTTCGTAAGTCTTATGACAAAATACTATTTACTATTGAATCCTTATAGACAAAAAAAATTATCGATTGATCACTAATGAATATTACGTTAGTCAGTAAAACAGTGTCAAAGAAGTGCAAGAGCTTTGAGCTACAAGACTTCTTGAAGAAATCAATACCTATTATTGATTGGTTACCAAAGTATAACTGGAAGGAAAACATCATGGGGGATCTTGTGGCTGGATTTACTGTAGCTGTAATGCATATTCCTCAGGGTCTGTCATTTCTGGACGATATTTAATATCATAAATACCACAGTAAGACCATTAAATAATTTAATTATCTCCCTTCGCCAGGAATGAGTTATGCCCTCCTTGGAAATGTACCACCTATCGTTGGAATTTACATGGCCTTTTTTCCGGTTCTTGTATACCTAATTTTTGGAACATCTAAACACAATTCAATGGGTAATTAAAGAATTCTATTGTAAATCATCAAGTATCATTGTTCATGATTCTTGTCATTCTCACCCTTGTCGCTCTATCAGGCACGTTTGCTGTGATTTGCATGATGACTGGAAAAACTGTATTAGCTCATAGTTCCACGAGTAATTCGATGACCAATCAAACATCCTTGGACATTAGTTCTTTAGAGGGAACTGGAAGTATATCATACTCCCCTATAGAAGTAGCAACAGCTGTGACGTTCACAGTAGCCATCATTCAGGTATCTTGAATAAAAATTTGTAAGGTCACAATGGTGCAATATAATATTTCATAAAAATCTTTCAGTTGTTCATGTACCTTTTTCGTCTTGGTATAATATCGACTCTTCTGTCGGAAACGTTAGTCAGTGGATTTACGACGGCAGCCGCCATTCACGTGTTCACTTCCCAGGTGAATGGACTCCTCGGCGTTCGTCTACAAAAACACAAGGGATTTTTTAAATTGATTTTTGTAAGTAATAACCGGTCTGAGGAATCTAAGGAGAGCATGGAATTCCGAATTTCCTGCTTCTGATAGAAACTTCTTTTACATTTAACTATTGCAAACTACCGTACATGTAACTTTCCCAATAACCATATAAGACTTCTTGTCCATAATAAAACTCATTCTCTTTGTTTCAGACTTATATAGATTTGTTTAATAATCTAGACGACATAAATATAACTGCCATGATTATTTCACTTATCACTATCGTCGCTCTTGTCTTTAACAATGAAATATTGAAGGTGCAGTGTTTTTGTTTCTACATGAATAGAAAAGCGATCCTCTTCAAAGAGTAGATACGAAATTTTATTTTACAGCCACGAATCGCAAAATTTTGTGCTTTTCCAGTGCCAATTGAAATGCTAGTCGTGGTCACTGGCACGTTGGTGTCGATACAAATGGATTTACCTGGAGTTTACAACATCAAAACTGTTGGGCATGTACCAGTCGGGTAACAACTCTCATTCATAATCCGTTTACCGATAAATGACATTTATTAGAGATACCATTACGGATTCAATCAGCAATTTCTGTTCGATTTTCAAGATTACCGGAACCAGCTTTGCCTCCCATATCTCTAATGCCCGACATATTGCTGGATAGTTTTATCATCGCAATGGTAGCCTACACAGTAACAATGTCAATGGCACTGATATTTGCTCAAAAAAACAATTACGAAGTGGACTCGAATCAAGAATTACTGGCTCAAGTGAGTTTACAAGTGAAATCTAGTATTTGAATAAATATTTACTTTCTTTAAAAATATGTCTCAATAATAAAAACACGCAATGTTCACTGTCCCTGGACATTGTTCATGCGCTATAGCGGGCACCCTTTTTTAACGTTAACGACTCTACGGAAAACACAGAAAACCTATTAGCGGATCCGACGTTTTCAGGGTTTCGGCAATATGGTGGGATCATTTTTCTCCTGTATGCCCTTCACAGCCTCGTTATCCAGATCATTAATTCAGCAAACTGTCGGAGGCCACAGTCAATTGGCCAGTCTCGTATCCTGCACTCTCTTGTTATCCGTGTTACTATGGATTGGTCCATTTTTTGAGCCATTACCACTGGTAAGTTTCAAGTTGAACATCAGAAATCCTACAGCTTCTGACAAAAGAAACATGCCATTGAAAATATTCACAAAAATTACAGTGTGTACTGGCTAGTATAATTATAGTAGCACTGAAGGGAATGTTTCTACAAGTGAAACAATTTTGGCAATTTTATAAACTCTCACGACTGGATGCTGTAGTCTGGATGATGACTTTTCTCACTGTTGTCCTTCTCGACATTGAATATGGTTTATTAGTCGGTGTTATAATCTCTCTGGCATCATTGATAGGATTATCAATGCGTCCTTATACCTGCAAACTGGGCCTGGTACCAGAAACTGAACTTTATCTTGATGTCAAACGATACAAAGGAGTAAGGCTTTTAAGTTAATTTAAAGATTTGATCCATCAAGACCAGAGAGATTAATAATATATAATTTACATTTCCAGACCATTGAGATTCCTGGCATCAAGATGTTACATTATTCCGGTGGATTAAATTTTGCTTCAAAACAGTACTTCAGGAATAAGGTGTACAAGATCGCCGGCGTGACGCCGGAAAAGGAGCTAGCCAGACGTGTTAAGCAGACTGCCAGGAAAGCTTCCCCAGGGGACGACAAAAAGGTGACTCGACGTTAATTACTGTCCTCGAGGGAGTTCGCAAGGGTTTATCCTTAGCACCTTATTATTATCCGCCATAGAAAATCCATATCCGCTTTTCACTTTTAGGAAGGTATCGTGAATGCCGGTTTTGAAGGATACACAACTCCTACACAACCAGCAGCAGTGGTAAATAATTTTTCCTTGCCAAGCTTGAATATCATTAGCATTGTTCTCCATCCTGCTGCTCTTAACCACTTCGACCACAGAGTAGCGTCAATCTCTATAGCGTAACCCCATCGAAGTAGTTGATATAAAACTATTCTTCAATTTTGAGTACAACATCCAATTGTTTTATTATTTCACAGCTGCGAATATTGATCCTCGATTTCTCAGCCTTGATTTATATCGATCCAACCGGTGTGGCGACGCTTAGAAGTCTCGTGGATGAATTCGCAAAGATAGATGTGTCCGTCTACATCACAGGTTGTTCAGGTAAGTAAAATGAGTTATAACATCTCTCTAAAAAATATAAATATTTATATTTATAATCAATGATCTTCGTTGCTCACTTGAGACCGTGAATCCTTCCACTTTTAACTTTTCCATTTCCTGTCTTATATCTTACAATTCTGTAGATATACAGGCTGTTTAATTTGTACGGTGCTGCATTTCAATTTATTGCCGTAGGACCTGTATACGAGACGATGAGAAAATGCAACGTGGCTGAATGCAAAGAAGGTCACTTCACGATGTTCCCGACGGTGGGAGATGCCGTGAACTTTGCGCACTATGAGAGCAACCTACGTCTGACCTCAATTTTAACAGTCTGTAACGAACAAGAGGAAGATACGTGCATGAGCAGATTATAATCAAACTGATAGGTTAGGATTATTCCTTACATAAGTATTTATTACTACCAATCAATTTGGATTGGCACGAGAGACGAGTGTATATTATATGGACTTCCATTGCTAGAGGAAATACCTGAATTTTGATACAGAGAAATTTGTTATTTAATTGGGGTGATGGATACCTGACATAGAGTATATCCAATCACGAGTAATGGATGTCATCAATATCTACCTCAAATTTAAATTACTTATCTAGATTATTTTCAATAAGATATATATGTATATCTTCTACATCTTGTTTGATGAAAAAGAAACAATGGATCATAAAGTTCTGCCTACGACGTCAATACTTTAGATGACTAATTATATACATAGTGGAAAAGCAAAAGGGTACACTCAAGTCGTATGTTCTGCATGGCATAGTATATAGGAAGATTGTATCTGTAGGGACTTCGTTATACGTGAGTTGAAAGAGAAAGGGTCATGAAAGTTGATACAGGAAAAGATTAAGAGCAGCAATAATGCCTTATTTCGTAATTCATCGTTTCGCGAGCTTCTTTCTTTGCATGTACATTGTTTGCACATTCCTGACAATTTCGAAAGCTTCGCGACATCATGTGCCGCGATGCAATCGATCGACTTTTTTTATCAATACCCAATACACGTAGATTACTGCGTTTAACATGTGCTTTGTCGTTAAATGTTAAAACGATTTGCGAATAATAAAGAGATACATGCGAAACATTTTTCTGGCGCTGCTTACAATAGCGCAAAGTTTCACTCAGAGAGAAATGGGTGACTATTTATTGTAATTTATTATTCAATAATATTCAGTAGTTGATTGTAATTTCACCGCTTTCATGATTTCCATACAATTTAAAGATTATCCTATTACCTTGTCGACGCAGTGAATGAGCACCTTTGCTATTTCATTGACTGATCAGTGCTGCAGTCCATCCTTGACTTTACATTGGCTTTCCGCCATTTCTGCCTTGTGACGTCATGGCTCACGCATGCGCAATTCATCAGTTCATGGATTCAGTACACGACGTCCACGTCGGTCGCGTCGATGAAAGCCGGCGTGTCTCTTTAGGATTTTTGAAGTATTAAACGATTTTATTTATCATGAATGCATGTTTACAAGCGTTGCGGTCCGTGCCGACGCATATGGTGAGTTAATCGATGATAAATTATTTTTTTCTTTTTTATATATTCAGCCAAAATAACAATAGTGAAGATTGTCTCAGAATCCTTGTTATGACAGGGGCAGCAATTTTTAGGTTATGCATTCCCGTATGTTGTGCAGTTTAAGTTTATGCAGATGCTTGTTTTGATTATTACGTTTTAAATAATGAAGAGAATATAGTATGTGCAGAAGGTGTCACGTCTATTAGAGAAATGACGTGGTAAATCTTTCATACTAATAATAGGTTATATAATATCACTCGAGGAATGCCTATTTGTTTCATTTTCATTCCCTATTATTACTCTTCTCCCATTACAATCTCCTTTCTTGCCAATAACTGTAACCATGTAATTAGGTTGTTATTAAAGTACATGCTTTATTTATAGGACTACGATGGTCAAGCAAGGGCTGAAAAATTATCTAGGGTCATTATAACACTTTTTGGGGTAAGTCTTGATCGAAATGTTATTTTCTTTGAATAATGTATTTATAAAGATTCATTATACTTTTATTATATATTGTTTCTTAATTAGGTTGTTGGACTTATCTGGGGATATGTCATACAACAATTCTCACAGACAATATACATTTTGGGTGCTGGATTTGTAATGGCTGCAATTATAACAGTGCCACCATGGCCTATGTACAGGCGCAAACCGTTGGATTGGCAAAAGCCTCAGACTGAAGCTCCTGCTAAAACAAAAAAAAAGAAATAATTAACAAATCAATATAAACATTGATTTTTTCATATAATCTATCTATACTGTATATTACCATTCTTACAATTCCAAACAAAATACGATACAATAAATGTGATTTATGTATTTCTCCCCATTAAAAGGACTTGATGTATTGCTTCCTAATTTAAAATCCCTATTCCTATACAAGTCACCTTTTATCATTCATTATTAAATCCAGGTGCTTTAATTTTTCCTTGATGCGTTGTTCTCCGCTATTTTAGTTGCCGCCTTAATCGAACAGCTATCCTAATAACAATTAACAGGCATTTACAAACGTACCCGTCATTGGAAATGTTCCAGCGGCACTTTCTTCAACCCCGTTCATGATAATTTCTCTGCTTTTCGCAACGTGCGGTCATATTTTCCAAGCGACTTACTATTTCTAGCAAATCAAAATCAAACAACTAGTTACTTCCACAGCAATAGCACAGCGTTAATACAATAGTAAATAGACATTTACAATAAAATATGTCACATTCAAAATCAATTAAAAATACGACTGATTGATATAAGTGGATGGGTTTTGCCAAGTCATCGCAAAACAGGATTCACGTAATTTCAAAGATGAAACACTATACCAAAATGTTGCGAAACACTTTCTCTCTATATGAAGGAAACTATAAGTATGCAAGTTGCATTACTTCCTGTAACATTGTCTGCCTTTTGATAAAAAGAAGAAAGAAAAATATTGCATTATCAAAAATGCAGGAAACTCCTCATCAAGGTGCAGTGCACTGGTATTTATTTTTATCGATTTATAAATATTGCTTGTAAAGAATTTTTCAATGGAGAATCTCTCGATGTATAATCTATAGAATTGATGAAACAACCGTTAATGACTATACGGTTTTTTTTAAATATTATGTCATTTCCAATAAAATTATTTCACCACGAGAAACCATACTAGTGACCTTTTCTCATTTCGTTTTTTCAAGATGACTGATTTATTGTTACTACACATGGCACACATCTTCCACGATGGTGCTCCTACGAAAGAAAGACTGGAATTCGGATTGAAACTCATGGCGAAAGGAAGCAGGAAATAAAACGGGAGAGAAATTCACTCGACCACCTGTCTGGTGAAATATATGTATCCCCCTGTGCGTGCATTTATATACACTCATGTGCTTATATTATATAGTACATATAGTATATGTATAGGGAGTATATGTAACATGCGTAAATAAATGGGCGAGGCATACGTATAATTCTGCGGTGTTCCTTCTTTTTTTGTCTCACTCGTAGGATGGAATTATGGATGGAGATTGCGTATTTCTTTCTAAATCAACCATTTAAATGACATGGAGTATTTTTAAAAAAGTTACAAAACAGCAAGGCTACCACTCCTACCGTGCTTCTCACTCTCTTCTGCTTCTACCTGTCTAGCAGAAATGAGGATACACCTTCTTCCCCGACCACGTGGAATTCGAAAATGTGCGTTACGCAGCTACGTAACGTGAGCGATACACACTTCCTTAATTTACGTAACCAACCGATCCAACGGCATCCCTCCCACCCTTATCCTCATGGGAAGTTTTGGCATCGGATCGTCCTTTATAAACACATCGCTGACCACTAAACGCAGAACTGTATCAGCGTTCGGAAACGAATCACAAAGCCTTCAATATGCAGTCTCGCGCTATTGCTGTGAGTAGAGATTAATTTTTTAAAATATAATTTATCACATCGCTAGATAATATTTCGATTTTTACCGAATTACAATATCTTTTAAATCTGTCTTGACTATTTCTGAATTGTGTTCAGTGTGTTTTAAAATACATGTTTATCATGAAAAAAATTATTTACTCACTCGACAATTTAGCGAAATTTCTTTATATTAGATTTTTAAAAATTTGATATAATGTGTATCAAGTTTATGTTATAATTAACAAACTTCAATTTCTTAACAATAATTTTGTGCACTATTCTGGTCCCATATAACGCAAACATTCAGACATAGTTTAGCAACATTTTTGAAACATATCAATCTGTTTGTTACGTTTCAGCAATGTTCCTAAAACGTATCGGAATGGTTTGTGCTGTATGGAGTAATGTAGAATAATACCATGTTTAACTAAGAATTATTTATAACACAGCAAACCTTCATCGTCCTATAGTGATTCTGTGTGACAAAAAGTTTCTGCAGTCTGAAAGCATATGCTTTTTAACTGCAAGACCATTTTTCTCATATAGTTTTGCATGACAATCGCCCTCGTGAAAGTTTCACATAAAGCCCACTGACAAACTCCTAAATTAGGACAACAAGTATATTCATTCACATTGACGTCGCGTAATCGCGCTGCAGAAATATGCAGAAAGACTAGTGAAACGTACAAGAGAATTATTCATTCGAATCGCGTCAACGTGTACGAACTAAAAGTCACACCAACCGTCGTACGTTAAACGAGCAGTCACAAATTCACAAACATGTTCCAGTTGCTCGTCTTCGCCATTCTAGCCGTAGCCATGGCAGCACCAGCGCCAGGTGGATTTGGCGGTGGCCAGTAAGTATTTTGAATTTAAATTATATCTACAAACGCTATCCACAACACTCATAAATTGATTTATACCAATTAATAGTCGTTCATTAAAACATAATCACTTCCCAATTTAACTTTCTTTTTTCGAGAAAAATCTATATATAATTTTCGCCGGAAGTCTTTTCGGCTACGCTAGACTAATTGTGAACATCTTCAATGAACTTTCCAGTGAACATCACGTCATCCATGTACCATATCACGTGCACACGGTACATCATCATCACGTGAAGAAGATAGCCTACCCTGTTCATCACGTAGAGAAGGTCGCTGTACCTGTACCGATTCCAGTACACCATGTTGAGAAAGTTCCAGTACCTGTACCTTATCCTGTTCATCATTACGAAAAGGTTCACGTGCCTGTTCATATTGAGGAGAAGCCATGGTGGTAGAGATGACAGTGTACTCTAATTAAAAATAAATGTATACATACTCGGTGAGTAATATGACAAGGACAATACGATCCTTATTCAAATTGTGGGGTTTACATTATTCAAATATAGGGTGTTTATATTATACAGGGTTCTACATGGAGTTTCAGTATGTCAACTAAGATATACCCCGTTTGTGTTTACAGGTCGTTCATCATCTTCTAGATTAGCCAGGATGACGATTTTGCTTAAGTACCAGCTAAATCCTTGGAGCCTCAAAATAATCCAAGTCGTCGATTGCACAAATATTCTTCCTCGGTCAGGGGATAGATGTATAATTTAACGAAATCAAACACCCGGTACAAGGTGGTTCGATACTATCCAAAAAAGTTATAATAGATGAAACGGACGTAGTAGATGTACGTTTTAATGTATAGAAATGTTGTATATAATTTCATTGTTTTTATGTTGTTTTTTTTGTAAACAGTTTTTTTTTCAAGAACATGCAATTTTGCTTATTCCATATTCTGTCTCTTATTGTATTTCCTTCTATCGATTATCTCCCATACCCTGTGTGTTTAAGGCTTAAGAGAAATGTATTTTTATTTTTCTCCAAACATCCTAAGGGAATATTGATTTTACGCAATGTCAAACACGTCGTTCGGTAATAAATTTTACTTTCGTTTCGTGTCTCCTTCGTCAATGGTATCGCGATCGAGAAATATTATTTTCTCTGAATAATCCCAAAACCTGCCGTTTATTCAAATTTGAGCCAGTTCTACGATTTCTAATTGCCTGTCAGTTTTCATTGCCGTCTAATTTGTCTAATTCTTTACGTCTAATTTGTATAGCAGTACATCTCTCTACAAATTTTTAACACGATTCACTCATCCATTTACGAGTATTTCCTCGTTAAAGTCAGGACTCGTAACACGTATTCCCTATACCTGGCCAATAAAACGCGCTTGTTTTTTTTTATTGCATTTGACTCGTCCGCGCAATTCCGATGAAAAGCTAGTATGTGGCAAAGGAAACAATTAGGAATTTTTTAGATTTTTAGTCAGAACTTTTTACTCATAGGATGTATTGATAGACATGAAAGAAGTCGATATTTATTACGAAATCTCTCGTACGACGGCTGACAAGAGAGCGTCGGTGTATATACGTATACACCTACATCCACTGTGATTCGTGACCGATGCAATACCTTTTCGGTCCGTAGTAATACCTTAAGTGCGCGTGGTACTTAGATAAGGGGAGACAGTCCTAATGGCACGCAACGCTCTAATTAAAGGTCTGACCGACTAAAATTTCTTTGAATCAACTTGTATCTGCTATCAAAATAAAACACGAACTTTCTAAAGCTTTAGATTAGTTCACGACTCGCCTTCGTAACGCACGTGTTTGCTAAGCTAAATCACTGGAAATCACGTTACTTTATTCTAATGACTATTAGACACAGAGTACCCCGTATACATTTAATTAATTACATAACATCATTCAGAGTATTATGAAACAATTATATACGCATGTTTCTGTGTATTTTTATTCGGATATAATTTTTTATAAACAAAAACAATTTATATCTTGAAAATTATGATTGACTGTTAACTAAATTGATGATGACTATTATAATGATGAAAATTGATGAATTTTTCACCAACTATCTTCAAGGTGCTCATGATCATGGCCTCCATCATGAGACTTGACTGGTATATAGATTTTTTTAACGTGGGTATGATGATGTTCATGAATCAAGTGTGGTACCTTGATTATGAAATGTGTGCTAGAGAAAAAAAAAGAGTATTATGAGTAAAATAAATAATTATTTTATGTAACTTAATAATTAAATAAATAAAATTTCAAGTGTTATACTAATAATGTTTTAATTACATACTGATGGCCTCCATGTCCACCTCCTGGTCTTGGCATCGAGGATACTAGACTAAAAGCAATCAGCGCAAGAAGTAAAATCTGCAAAAAAATAAATAAAATAAATTACGTATTTTCAAAAAAAATAGACTATTTTATTTTAATACAGAAATTACATGTGTCTGCTTTCTTCATGAAATCTAATGATAGACACGTTACCATCTATAATCTTCATGTTTGATGTTATCATTATTATTGTAAATAAATTATTTATTATATCTAATTAATAATTTAATCACAAACACTGACTATTAGTTTAAAGCACACAGCACTGTGTTCACATATAAGATTTTATTGAACCAGCAATCACGTTTTATAATCGATACTTGATTTGTAGCTTGTACTAAAACCAATATTTATTTTTTGAATAAGAAAACATCAATGCGTTACAATTAATTGAAGAAAATCCACAAATAAGTCAGAAACCAGCTAATGGATGTCTAATAAATTTTTACCGGTTCACAGAACAATCAAACTATTAATCAATATATAAATACGTCTTTTGTCTTTCAAACGCACATATTTCAGAAATCCGGCCATGTTGGTAGCAGCCCGTGCACTCTATCCTGTATAGGAACTAGAAGAACTACGAGATTCCTGTCCGGCAAGCCTTATAAACGTAAACGTAATCAGTGAGTGGTGCTATAAAGGAACAAAGAGAGTTAAAAATATTGGCCTGCCTTACTCTGTTCAGTTACTCTCACCAGCTACAATTATCCGTCCGCCATCCGTGCATTGTCGTAGAGTCGTAGCAGTTCACTTTTTCCACTAGAAAAACGGAATAAGTTTTAAAAAAGTAGATATAACTTGTGGAGACTATATTTTATTACAGACTGAAAAATTGGATATTACTTTTAAAGAAAATATTTTACTACTGGTAATTGAATTACCAGTAATCAATACTGTGGTTATAGTATAATCTGATCGATTCTCGTGAAAGTTTTCGCAACGTTAAAAGATCAGGCAGTTATCTTTTATAAGGTAATATCATATCTCACACAGATACATCATCACACTGATGCATAATTAAATGGTGGAGAGAGATGTTAACGATGAAAATATTGGATATTTTCAAGAAAGTGAAATTTTCAATGATTCCACACTAGAATATTAATCGCGCTCGTGCTACGCTTATGATACATGGAAAGTCTTCCGGTATGCTCTTTTCTTTTTTCTAGAGAACTTATTTCCTTTTGCCTGTCTGCCTATCGCCAATTTCCTCTAGGGCAAATTTATTATAACGATTTACACTGAGTACCTTTCTTTTCATTATACAATTTGAGTATGCTCCATTATGCTTATGTGGATGAATTACGCAAACATGAAAGTTTACAGTCACTAGGCTCACGAATCATTGCATCATTACCTTTCATGATGTTTTCCACCAAATACCTAATAACAATAATCCTGAGAAACCATATTTATATGGTTACCACTTGAAGTTGGCGCGGTCCACGTGATTACTATCAATTCCTATGGTGGTGCCATCTTCAGGTCAGATCATTAGTTCAGAAGGGCCAGAATAACCTTGTTAACAGAGTCACGTCGTTACTTTCAAGATCACTGCAATCACTCTTTGATAATTACTGCTTGTTCTATTAAATGAACAACGATCAATCAAGTCTATTCATTTAGTTCCTAATGGCTGTGATTTGTAAACACGTCGCTATCAAGTTAAATCACAAATCGTTTCATCTGCGTCAGCCGAATCAAGCAGATGACAAGAATCCAATTGAAATTTCTCCGAGGTATGTTGTACCCAGTGATACTTGCGTATTATTATTTTTTCCTTCGTCTCCGTACTTTAATTTCTCTTGCGCAAACGAAAGTAGCCTCCATATATCTGAACGATATCATTGACGCAAGATTAATCGTATAATATTATAGTATGTGAAGCATTGCGATGACTGTGACGAGTGAAAACGCGTCGTGCTAATTCACTAAGAAATTTCATCGTTTTCCAACTGGTATTTTTGCATTACAATGTCGATCTACGATATATTCAACTATTCTGTCACTTCATTTAGAAGGCTAGAATATTTATATCACGTGCATCCATCCAACACCTAGTACATACGTATGAATATCTATGCTACACAGCATAGACTATGTAGAATAAAACATGACGAAATTCGAGCTGACGCTAAACAATGCAAAAATTCTGTGGACGTTTGGTATGTGAATTTTTTGCATATAGGAACTATTATCCAGATCTACGACTCCTCTTTTTTATTCTCTCTTTCGACACTCTAGCCAGCAATGTTCTCTCGATTGCAACAACGGGGCACCCGAATGTCCGTAATCCAAGAGAAACGCCCGCGAGAAAATCTCTGTCGAAATTTCATAATCCCGAAAAAAAGATTTGGTGCCACCAGCATCTACAATTGGTAACAACGCTAGAAAGGTATTACTCCTAGCGAATTTCTATACGTGTAATAGACACAAGTATATATAAAGATATAAAACAATTTATTAAAATAATACTTCAATAACACACGAAATATATACAAAAACGTATCATACAAACATAACAAATTCAACAAAATATTTTATAGTCTATATAACTGTATAAGGATGTGTTTATAATTAATATGAATATAATAATTGCTGATGGCGAGTGATCGTAATCCAGGATAATTAATCCCGGTAATTAATAAAAGTGCTAGTTTTCTAGATCGACTGGCTCTAGAATGCGAGATAGATCTACACGCAAGAGGATTCTGCTGATTTATCATTTTGATGAATATCAGCAGTTTTACTCTAGCTTTTAGTGAAGGAAGTGGAATCCTGGTTTTGTGCAGCCATTATACAGGAATGATACCTATACAGTGGTCATGTACAAAAGTTCAAAGGTGAATAGACCGCAACTCGCTCTCAATGGAATGAGTACACGGCACTGATTATAAAGGTTCAATGGTGAATCAGGCAGTTTTGATCTTATCATAGTGAAGTTATGAGCAGAATAAATGACTAAGGTTTCCATGAAATGAAGTCAGAGACGCCAGGCGTCTTCAGGTCATATGGTAAATTAATGGCTACACCATGAATTTCGGTCTTCGAGTCAGAATATGTTGAACGTTGTTTGCTGTATGAATTTAAGGGTAGCCAGAGAATCCACCATGTCCATGGCCACCGCCACCACCTCCAGAATAGGAATCACCACCATGGCCGCTCGAATAGGAATCGTAACCACCACCCGAACTGTAACTGCTCAGTCCAGATGAGCCACCATGACCACTGTGAAATATAGAATATAGATCAGCTCGTTCTTATGGATTATTCAATTGTTTAACAGTCTTTGAATTACCTGCTGCCAAAACCGCTGGATATCGAATTCCCGTAGCTGCTAGAACCAAAGGAATGATCATCACCTCCACTAGCACCATGACCGCCGAAACTTCCGCCTCCGTAACCTCCACCGATGTCGCCACCTCCGTGGCTACTGTAACCTCCTATGTCACCGTGGCTGCCTCCAAAACCACCGCCATGACCACCACCTCCGTAGCCACCAACGTCGCCGTGACCACCTGAAAGAAAGCGTTTTATATAAAAAGTGCTTTAGACGCTTTTCTTCATGTCTGCTATAAGAAAAAAATGGTAAACTCTTATTTTATTATGAGATTAGCACGAGACGAATGATATAATAGTGAAAGAAAAGTATATCGTCACGAATGTCCTTGAAACGTTCTATGCAAGAATGCAACTGAACGACATAACCTTACTTTCTCACGTTAGAAGGAGAAAGAGAGAGAACAGTCGGGAAATAGCTGGAATGCACTTGGTAAAAGTCAAACAACGATTACGATCTCGCTGAAGAGAGAAATCTTGTGAAACAAGAAGCGCAATGCCACTTGAGACAAGATACCAAAGTAAGAAAGTATCAAGATCAGTGTTCGTGTAATAGTTTTACAGTGTTCCTTTTGCAGCTGTGTTTTTTTAAAATTGGAATTCAGTGATAAGATAACGTTTTTAAAATGCCTGTCGCGAGCAGACAACAATAGGTACCTCCAAATCCTCCGCCAATGTCACCGTGACCACCTCCGAATCCTCCGCCAATATCACCGTGGCCACCTCCAAATCCTCCACCAATGTCGTGTCCGCCCAATCCACCTCCATGATCTCCACCGCTGATGGCTATGCTGTGACCGCCACCGAAACCGCCTCCGTGTCCACCACTAAAACCGCCGCCGTAACCGCCTCCGAAATCTCCGTGGCCTCCGCCAAAGTCTCCATGACCACCTCCGAAACCGCCACCATGTCCACCTCCGAATCCGCCTCCGAAATCGTGTCCACCGCCGCCAATATCTCCGTGGCCACCTCCAAAACCTCCTATTCCAGGACTAGTAATTTCGATGTGGGAATCGCCACCACCGTGACCACCACCACCGCCATGCTCCTCGTGGTACTTTATTATCTTTTTCTCGTGATGAACATCTTGTATGATCTTAGGTACGTGGATTCTTATATGAACACTGCAATGAAACAAGTATAGTTATTACTCATGAAATGTATCTTTTATACATTTAACCTTTGAGTAATGATACAACGATCATTCAATTAAACGATACTTACTGCTCATGACCGCCGAAGGTTGCAGCAGCAATGGCCAAAAATGCCGCAAGAATAAGTAACCTCATCTACGAACAAGATATAAAATGAATTGCTAATCCTTTTTGACAGGCACAGAATTTATATAAAAATAAGAAAAAAAAGAAGTAACTTGTATCAATATCTCCAGTGACGTTCTTAACAGATATCAATTAAAAAACCGTAAATAAAAAAGTTCCATAAATTTTCATAAAGAATCTTTATAAAATCTATATAAAAATTATTAATTCCCATAAGACGTTCCAAGTCCTTACGTTAAATCTGAGCGCCATGGTATCTCGTGATGGGCGCATCCCACGTTCTTTCCTCTTTTGCTCTGCTCTCTACGGCAGTAAGATATACACTGTTATATATATGTAAGATCTCCTGTGCCTATATATACCAACGTGAGGAAGTACCGGAAGGAAGGGTGGGAGATCGAGTCGCATGTGAGTCTCGAAGACGAGGAACCAAGTCGAGCCGGTTCCCCACTGCGGCCATGACCCACAGCAGACAGAGAAATTCGCGCTCCAGGGCGTTCTCCAAGCTCAATGATCCAGCGCCTGTACATCGTCTCGACGCCACGTGAACACGCGTCGCTATGCTTCGCTGTGTATCCACCCTGTGGGTATACGTTTCGAGCACGTAGATTCCCACAGTAGAAATAGTAGAACCTGTAGCAGTTGCAATCGGACACCTAATACCTTCTTTGAGATCCGGAATCGACCTTGCGATAAATCTAGTCTCGTTTCGTGATACCTACTGACATCGATATAGCGCAACTGGAATTTGTAAAGATCACTCTGTATGTTATTCCATCCTTAAGAAATTATTATACAATTACCCGTATGCTTGTTCCATACTATACAATTGGTAATCGATACCCCATAAAAATCGATCGATTAATTTTCAACTCGAATACGAAGCATCAGTTAGCCTGAACATTAACCTCAAAACTCGTCATTCTCATACAGGCAACAATGCGGAGTCAGATAACCCGGTTCATTAATCTTCGGGATACACGTGTACTGTAGATCACGAGTCAGGAAAGGCTTTCCATGTCCAGGGTAGAAAGTGACCCAGGAGTAGAGGTAGAGGTATCGAAACGGCGTGTTAAAAAATACACTAAAAGGTCAGGTGTAAATTAACACAATATACCTTTTTTATTTATACAGTTTATTTAATTTATTTAGAAATCTAAGGGCTTTTCAACGAACACAGTGTCTAATATGAGTATCGGTTTAGGCACGCAAACTCTATCGTTATTTGGCGTTACGGAATGCCTGTGAAAGCACTGATCTACCTAATATACTTCTAATTCACAGATCACGGTAATTACACATCTTTGATTTCACGATACGATTACGCGTACAGCCGTGTGGACACGTCGGGTTAATAGGAAAGAAAGTAAACGAGATACTGCTTCACTTCGTGCATACTTTACTGTGTATCACATGTGTATCATATGCTTATGCATATTAATGCGAGAAGAGTGGAATCTCGAATGCCACGACATTTCATATATGTGACCTCCAAGTCGCTCGTTTAATATTACATCTTTCGCTAAATAGCTCCATTATAACCTCCTTTCTATCTATACGATATAATTATTATAACCCTTTTTAATAACGATAAAGAAATTAATGTTATAACAGAGCCCTTATATTTCGACATTTTTATCCTGAATTTCATAGGTTAACAAATTTTATCAATATACTTGAATTTATTATAACCTTTCGGAGTAATGAGTAAAAAATGAGTACTTTTTCAACAGCTTGAGCACCTCTAATTAAATTGTCGAGTAGTGACTATGTACTGAAAAAGTATTTTGTCCATTGAACCAGATGGTGGATTATACTCGGGAAAAAAAAGGTAATGAGCTATTTTTATAAAATATAATGGTTTGTCTACATGGATATACAATTGATTATCAATTATGTATACTGCAATCACAAAATATTTCACAGAAACACGCTTAATTTGCATTTCGAGAGTTATCTCTGAAGTTGGTAATGGTGAAATGGACTTTAATTTGGAATCGACACGATCTTCATTGACTGCTATACCAAGTGGAGAAATTCTTGATAATTAATGTATAAGTACGTACATCAGCATAATGTTTGCTGCTGTTTATCTAGTTGTTGATTAAATGCCATAACTCTCATATTTCAGATTTCTTTCGTGGCTAATCCTTTCTCATCCTTTCAACGATAATGCATACATATAATTACGCCCGAAGTGCGTCGACCTTAACGAGAAGAATATAAAAAAGATAATCACGGCTGGAAGCATTGTTCCGATGGCAATTAAAAGAAAGGAAGATTTATATGGTATAATAATAATGCACATTTTTTAATGATACAACCATTTCTCACAAGCCAAATGTTTCTCGTCGAGAAATCCTGTGGATGGAGATCATCAGAGTAATTAGAATTTCAAGAATGCGTTAATTCCCTGCTGTCCCACAAGTAACGAGGACAAATTAATGTTGCGATAAGTCAATCGCAAGCTTCACTTTCGTGGATTAACACCATCCGCAAGTAACATAATAAAATTTGTCATTCGAATGATCGGATGACATGCCATCACGTTACTGAGAAAAATATGAAGATGCATGTTGGATCTCCTCTACGGAATCTTCAATCAGAAAGTGATGGCTCTTTGACATTTTATATAATACTTATACTACCTTCTCGATCGGTCATATACACCGATGCAACGGAAAGTGTTTCAAAATCAAATAGAACAGAGTTACCATATCCTTTCACTTCTATCTCATTAAGAGAGTCTTCAACTTGGGCTTAAATTTATTCAAATCTAATATGATTGCTCCAACAGCAAGCAACTCTTGGCTGTGAGATTGTCTCTTTGTAAAAATGAAAAGAAATACTTGAAAAGAATGTAAAAAAAATTTTAATTGCCAAGAAGTATTCCATTTAATTCAATAGATTCAATTTCTCACGATTACTAGAGTCTGTTCGTCATGACTTAAACTATTTTCATAAATGCCTTCCCCAGTTAGCAAAGGAAATCCGTAATAGAGTAGAATCTGACGTATCATGCTCCACGCTAGCCGACCTTCTCATCATTTCCAAAGAGATTGTCCTCTGGTGGTGGGGTCTGATAACGCCTATGGCAAGTATCGTCTCTTCCTCTTTGCGTTGCTCTCAGTCGTGGAACTCCTGGCGAATGAGAGAATGCTTTCATCGGTATCCTTTCCCTTTCACAGTCACTTTCTGGAGTATACACACACTATGCTGATAGAAGATAGACGATCTTTTGCCAAGATCAAGAACGCCTTGGTCATGGTTACCAGGTTGCTGCAAAATTCTTGAATATTATTCATTGACTTGGGACAGCTGCAATTTTGTTTAATTTATCATGTTGAATATCTTGTTTTTAGGTATACTAAAAAATCACAAAAACAACGCTTTCATACTTGTCCCAAAAATATGTTAAGATACATATGTATATAATGTCGCATTTACTCGGCAGTAAAAATAAGTAAAAATATCTCATACGTGATTTCATCCCACATTCCAAATGCTTCCTACGTGTCTGCTCTTAAACGGGTCAATGCCTTTGATGCATTCGCAATCAAATTTCCAATTCTCAGTTCAATCACGTTCATCGCACACCGTTCTACACATCATTAGATACTTAAAGAACCTATCGGAGCATACAAAGTAACTGCAGTTGCAAGAACAAAGGAAACATTAAAAGGACATATTATACTGAGCTACTGTTCAACGTTACTTAAAGTCACTGCAGTGCGTCGATCCAATAAATAAAAATGAAAGTCATCGATCAATACATATTGACGATATTATTGTGCCAGTTCTAATCTCGGATTTATACAGTGAGACAGAATCCAATCTAATTGCAGTTTATACATATCTTATGGTATATCATATATATACATATTGAATTTAAATTTTTGTTATTTTTTGACTTATACAGTCAACTTAAAGAATGTTATGGATTCCCTCTTTTTTAGTGTCAAGTTCGCTGTTCGTTATTCATGTGAATGGTGAAGGGGCGAGGATCAACGTGATCTTCTTATTGCAACAAACTTTCTAGACTTTCAAACACTCAACTGGTCATCGGCTCGTAGTGAAAGTATGAAAGGGATGTGATCCAAGTGACCGTGGCATTCGACGATGATTGTTCTTGTTCGGGATGCTGTTAATTGATCTGAGCCATGCTGCTGAATTATGAACTGAGGGTGGAGACGCTTGATGAAATCTAATGGTAGATTTTAAAATGAGGATATTCCTGGACCTGAGTATATACATATATTTACTTCAAGTTTACACTATCCTAACTAGAATAAACCTATTTTGTCAGACTATGATATTTCTCATGCTATTATATTACAATGGCTACAGTCTTAAGCAGAGAATTAACATTTAACGTGTAATGCACACTACAACTAAACTACGATTAGTTTTTATCAGAAATAACATTGTGTATATCTGAGCACCATTTTCTAATAAAAAGTTTCTTATCAGCAGATTCAAGTGTCTATTACTGTTTGTAAAAGCAAACTCTTCTGACTTTGACTTTGGTTATGCTTTACGTTAATCATTTAGATTAGCAATCGCAAGGCTAATTTGACATTTTTTCTAGGTTCTTATATACCGGTGAGATGGAGGAAGGTCATGACGTCATTTCACAACCCGTGCTCTTCCTTGAATTATTACTGCTGTCCACTTCGGAATAATCAGTGCAAAGTGGATACATATGTGTGTTGAATATTCAATAACTGTCACGGGACAGTTCACTGTTAAAATTCAAGAAGAGACGCGAAAATGGCACGACATCAAATAATCGCTGGCTCCCATATACATACGTTCAGACAAATTACCTTACACGATACTGGCTTCTACTATTGCTATTCTAGACTCCGAATCCCGGTCAAGAGTACAGATAATGAGGCTAATTTTAATATAAATAATTAATTATATTCTAGAAATATCTCGCAGCGATATCTACGTTATTAATAACGCACTTATAATAACTGATGAATTATCAAGGAATAAAGTGTATGATAAACTTTTTTCCCTATCCATGTAGACCTTGACCGAAGGATGGTAACGCATAATTCAAAGGTAGTGCCAGTGGTTGAATAGGCGCAGTACGAACTGGCATCGTTCTGAAGTCATGAGGTTCCTCCATGGTCTCTTCTTTGACAGCATAACTAGGTTGACCAGGTGCAAGCTCCTTCAGCCACGTAGAAGCCCCAGGAAAGCTAGATCCGGAAAATCCTTTAGCAGAAAACTGTTGAGGAAAATCTACAGTCTGTTTGACACTTCCAAAACCACCTGCAGTGCCCAATCCACTCAGTTCACCACCAAAGTGTGATACACCTGGCCAGCTTTTGGTAAATTCTTGAACCTTCCTGTTGTAATCATCCAGTGAGATGCTGTCGCGTATAACGAATCCTTGCTTTATATCAGGTCCACTGGAGAAAGATGGCTTTGACGCCACCAGCGCACTGCTCTTCAAGGATTCTATGGTTTCCAATGGTGACTTACGTTCATCTCCTGGACCTATACCAGAATTTTGTACAGACTTCAGTATTATATTCTGTTGACCGTTACCATTGGTATTCTCAAATTTGGAACGTCCTAAGGCTCTTTCTTGAAATACGAATTTACTGTCTTCTCCGTCGGCATAAAACGAGTCTGGTTCTTCGCTGTGATAACCCTGAGGAATATTGTACTCTGAAGTATGCGGATAACTGGCGCCCTCGTATACAGAATCCTGATGACCGAACTCTTCCTTCCTGTAGTCCTGCTGCTCGTTTCCAAGGGAGAAGTGGTCTTTGATATTCTCGTAAGGGATATAGCCTTTGCCATAAGAAATGGCATGAGTTATTCCCTCGCCATACGGCAAGACAACGTGATTCGTGTTTTCGTGACCTTGATCGAAATCGTCACCACCGTGTGGATAAGGTTCCTTAGGAAAGCGTACTCTACCACTCCCATAAAAGGTATTAGCATTCTCATAAAGGCTTTCCTTGTGTAAACCTTTCGATCTATAAGCAGGCTTCTTCAAATAATTAATACGACGTTGATTCTGTCGCCATGGTAAACCATAAGCTCGTTTAACGTGTCTTGGGTCTTTTAACAACACCCTCTTTCTGCAAATATAATCCCACAATGTAATACCTTACTAATAACAATATAATATATTATTATTACTTACGAGGTCACTAGTAGAGGATCCAGGACGGTCAGTAGCAGCAAGAATATAGCCTGTAGATTATAAGAATACACTATAGGTATAGTTTTATGGTATAAACACTACCGTATGTATATTATCCAATTTTATGTCATTCGAACGTTCAGATTTTTGTAATAAAAAACACATGCATCCCCACACCCGCGATGGTACACAACGAATATGAATTGTACCAGGAGTCTTAATACTGTTTTGTAAAGTCGACGAAATGGCGCCACTTACCGCGTACTGCATTCTGACCAGTCTGATAATTATTAGCAATGTCGAACAGACTGGCGTGACGTGCCAATCGGAGCGGCCGGTTGCGATAGGAACGTAGAGCGTGTGTAAGGCGAGCGTATTCCTCGCGAGTGATCCAGATATTGAAGGATCTTACACTTAGCCTCTTCTCTTTTATATAAGATAAAAAGAAGAACTCCGTTAAAACCTCCCACCAGATATTTCCACGCTGATAGTCACGAAATAGCAGGTAATGGGTGGGTAGACCAATACAGGACTAACCGATCCTAGGAGACCGTGCCTGTGGAGAGCGTGACTGTGATGAAGAAGGTGGGTCAATGTCGGTCCGATGATTTTTGTCATTCGGGTAAAAAGAGCTGTCGCTTATTTGATCGTCGATACATTACTTTTACCAAAGCCAACGCCCACAGGGGCTCGTCCTTTGTTAATGAGTATTATTATATTGGTAACTTTTTATTTCTTTCATCATTAAGTGTTCTTGGACCTCGCTTCCTTTTTGCTTTAGGGATCGTTAACGATGATTCTTCTCGACTGCGCGATAGTAAGTATTTTCGACGGACGTTCACGTGAAAAGCCAATCTTTTTTCGTGCGAACGAATTGAGGGAAGAACGAAAGAAAATTATAAAGAACGAGGATAACGTTATTAGATGTATCTTCAGTGTGTCTCACTGTACTGTAAGTAGGGGTTACGGAATGATGGTCTTGTGATTACAAAGTTTAATGTGTCGTGTAATCAAGAACGGGATGTTAGGAACTTTTGTCGCGACTTTCCCCAATTTACCTAATTTCGCTCGCGCGCCAAGCTCGGCTACGTGGAAAAATTTTGGAAATTTTAATGAAAACGTTTTAGGCGAAAGTCTTAAAAAAATTGTGTTGCGCGCATTAGTCTTAACGTATTCGTGTTTTTTGTCCGTTGAATTTTCAAGGGGCAACGACCTTTCGATGTAATTTTATCAAAAGACAAAACTTAAGTTTTTCTTATCGGTATGCTGATTTGCTTATCATTTTTATCCCTACTTCGAGTATAACCTACAACTATTGTATGGACGTGGAAAACTGATGGATAGCAAAACTTGACATTTTTATTTTGATAAATAATAGAATTTTTATTAAAAAATAGTATCCTTATCTTTTATGATTTCTCATTCACGTATAATCACTCCTTCGATGGACCAAATTCTCTGAACTGATTTCTCCCTCTCATGAAAATCCCTAAAGATGCATAAAGCAATTATGTCTCGTCGTAAATTTCATGTCGCAACGTTACGCTCCATATAATCAACATTTCTCGGGAGGACTACTAATATCCATCGTTGTCGCTCAGATGAGAAAAAAATGAGCAATTTGCCGAACAGCAACCTTTAAGAAATTTATCTACAAAATACATTAATCTTACAACCAAACTACGGTACATCGGTTAAACGCTATAAAATTTATATAGATTTTTTGATTTTGGCGAAAATTTTCATAAAGTCAAATTGGGAGAAACGTTATGGATTTATTTATCGAACAGTACAACTTCTGCCACGATTTCTGATCTGTCACTAAAACGTGATAAACATAGTTGACTTTCTATATGTTAACTGCAAATTGCCTCTTGGTATTTTCAGAACGCGATACACGCGCTCTCTTTCGATAGTGGCAGCGAGATTGGAAAGCGTTTAATTTCTCGCTAAGTAATCCCCATTATAAATTGTCCTTGGTTCTTCGAAAACCAAAAAAAGGGAACTCGTAAAATATGAATCTATCGATATCCAATTATGGTAGAAAATCGAATAGACCAATAGGATTCCCATAGAACGTATAAGGCGCGAAATCGGAACCACAACGATTCGCAATCAATATGAATGAAGTGGTCGGAGCAAAACCGCAATATATATATATATAAATTCCGATAATTAAAGTGGGTCGAATGATGTTTCTATAAGAGTGGTTTTTAAAAAGGGATTTACATACATGACCACCTGCTGTAAAAAAATTACTCTTTTATGTGTGACATCAGAACGATGAATTTCTATATACTATTATAATATACGTAAATAAATATGCATATATATCGTGCTCTATAACGGCTAATGTCGTGACACTCTTATTTCTTTTCACTCGTTCCCTATGCTTTAAAAGAATACGAACGTACCAGCTCTCACGCACTGTTATATTACGCTATTTATCTGTTTTTCAAGAGTGGATCGGTTTCCCTTTCTCTAGGATTACAAACACGACTATCGAATGGGCGCAGTGCCCTGCCTTTCTTCATTGCAAGGCGTTCAGTATCGCTGAACTAGAATTCGGTCATTGTCAATGCCAAATATCTGGTACATGAAAAAACGACGGGTGTGGATCGGTAGTAAGAATTTTTTTTTGAATTCCATAGGAAAAAGTACTCACCTCCCGCGCCGTGCAATGATTGTACAATAGAAGGTGGAATAAAATGTTAATGCCATTTTATTTCACAAGTGAATGACTTTAAAGCGTAAAGCAAGTCACGTATAGACGTTAAAAAGACTAATAAGAACATTTCGAGCAGTCCGTAATTTTCGCGTAACAAGCGAAACAAAAATTCTTTACCTAACCTTCAATCTCTTGACAGACACACTGCACGCAATGCTCATCAGTCGAATGTTCGAATGAATCGATTGGCGCTCGTTCGTTTCACGCTTCGTAGGAGGTTCTCTGGTGCAGTCTACCGAACCAGGACACTGTGTGCATTACGAGATAGGAACACTTGTAGCTTTGACACTGTAAAAACAAAATCATTAGATTCAAGGTGGAAGAAAACTAATGATTACCGAAGTAAAGAAGGTTTCACTTCAGCCTGGCAGTTATTAACTTGTACCAAGAATCCAGAATAGATTTTTTAGCACTGGTAAACAAAGCACGGTGAAACGTTTGAGGTTATGTCGGCAATCTTGATCTTGTACGTTCTCTCGATTGTGAGAGGCTTTCATTAAGTGAATAAGACGAAAAAAAAGCGGAAGATAGAAAGAGGAAGGAATCATAAAAGGCTAAGACTACTGTCGACGGTTGTGAACGTAGAAAATAAACAAACCCTGCTCCACTATGGTGGGTCGTGGATGGGCGACTTTTTGTTTTACATTCCTTTCACAGTTATACGTTTGCATGTAAAGCTCTGTATTCCTTTCATTTTTATCGTGCTATCATATAAAAGGCGAACGCGTGCTGTGGCCTAACAGATCAAAACCAAGTGGCCTGAGCTACAGAGGGATCACAGCCAATCCAGAGCAGGTTTCAGGGATAAACCTGCAAGCAATATGATGCCGAGACTTTCGGTGAGTTTTAAACTATTCTTTCAAACGGATTGATATATCTACCTTATCATTGGATCGTGAAGTCGTCACTTCGTTTCCTAACGTTTATGTTTTGCAGTTGAGTTTTCTCTTGGTCGGCGCTGCTGTCTTAGGTTTTGCTCATGCAGGAGGACACGGGCATGGCGGACAGTAAGTCTTTCTTTGATTATGTATTTACAATGGTCGTACGCCAACCAGAAGGTTTTTCATTGGGTAAATCAATGGTATGGAACAGTCACTCGCTTCGTATACTAAACTTTTTACGTTCGTGGTCGTTATTCCATGACGGGTGATATACATAAGTAACTTTGAAATGCTCATGCTGCATCCTAAAGTATTAGTGACGTCATTAGGAGTGTTTGTTGCGATTTTAAGGATATGGTAGGCATTTCTTTTATCAACTTACATGTCTCCATGAATCATTGTTATTTCGTGAAGCATCAATATCATAAAAACTTTACACCTTTTACCGGTAAATTTCGAAATCCTTTCACTGTACTTTGACATCTCGACGCTTGGCGTCTCATGGGATTACGTGGTACCTAGCAATCTTTCACTTGCAATAGCTACTTGATTGAATTTCGAAGACACATATCAGCACTCGAAAGGCTGTTGTATACACAAAGTCTTGACTATTAATTGATTTGAAAAGTGCTAATTACTATTGACATCTTAAAATATAACAATGACCTTTCAGCGATCATGTAGTAATCCACGTGCCGTATAAGATCAAGACAATCCATCATACTCATACGATCACTAAACACATCCACCATGGCGGTGGCGGTGGTGGTGATAAGTACGAAGTCCTTGGCTACACCGTGGGTCATCCTATCGACCTCGGTGGTCACGGAGGTGGTGGTGGAGGCGGTGGACACGATTTCGGCGGTGGCTTCGGCGGTGGATTCGGCGGAGGTTATGGAGGAGGTTACGGAGGAGGTTATGGTGGAGATTTTGGCGGCGGCCATGGAGGCGGTGACTTCGGTGGGGATTTTGGAGGAGGTGGTCATGAAGATTTTGGAGGGCATTAGCTCACCTCTTAGGATCCTTTGATCAACTTTAAATCGTACCAAATATTCTATCTCCTAACGAACACGCAGAATGTTTAAAATCAAGATCAACAACCGGCATCCATATTGGATATTTTATATTAATGGAATATTCTAACCCACCTGCTTTCAATCGTGGTGAAACTCCGAAGTAGTTCTTTGACAATCACTGGGTAGCGAAATCAAAAATCTCACGTAGAACGTTGATATTGTTGTTTTTATGAAAAGAAAGAAGAAAGTGCTTCGGAACTGGTTTCGGGCGGGATAAGTGAAGGGGTTGCTGTGTGGGAGTGACAATCACTTTCTATCTATCGTTATACATTCTCTTACCTGTACCATTCATCCTAGTCTGTCGTTAAACCTCCATCATGATCCGTGTACATAGTTTTAATCGTTATTATCTTTATTTTTTATACTTGTTGAAATGACCTGTTAAATAAATTATATGTAGAACAGAATAACTCTTTTTTCAATTAAAGTTTTCATCATGAAAGTCATATCTATAGTCGTTTTCAAAATTCGTTAAGAGACTCAAACCTTCTTAGAATATCTATTAATTTTATTTACCAATCCATAAAATAGATAAGAATCCAACTACAGCTCCGTCACTTACCCTGTTTCATTGTTACCAATATACAGATGAATTGAAAAAAAAAATACTACATCTCGTAGAATTAGGTGATAGAAAATTTATTTACAAACAAAGGTACAAAAGTGAACATAACCAATAAGTCAATTAATACTACCATCGTTTCTTAAAGAGCGTCTAATAAATTTCTAAGACTCTTACAATTAACATAATTAAATATTCCTATAACTTGTACATCGAATAGATCATACAACTAAACCTAAATACCAATGGTTAACGTCGCTGTAAGTCTATCGCATCCCAATCAGCCCCTATTGGAAACAATATCGATCTACCGATCACTCCGAAAGAACGATAACCAATCTACCTGTAAGTATGCTTCAAAAAAATTGTCAAAATTATCATTGTCAAGCTCAGTCATTGTTACAACAAAAAAATTCCAGTTTGATTCACGCGATTAAATTTGCTGACGTATCCGTTACCACTGCCTCCTATCTGGCATGTAAACTCGAAAGATGATCATCGTCGGCGTACTTGTAACTATCATGATCATCCATCCCGAAGTGATTATTATCGTTAGCATAGTATTGCGCGTGACTCTTGTCATATAATTCGTCCTGATAATTATTTAAACTCATATCAGCCTCGTCGTGTTTATCGTCATAAAATTTCTTCAATTCGTCAGAATAAACGTGTCCCGTTTCCGAATGTAATCCCTTACGATAACCTTCCTCGTGACTATCCTGATAATGTTGCAGATTATTATGAGGCAGTTCGTTAACTGTTTCGTGAACGGCATATTGAGGAGGATGGGAGTAACCAACTACACCATGATTACCAATGGCACCCTGAATTAATCCTTGATGAGTATCATGAAGTGTTCCAAAACTTTGAGGATGCGCCATTATCTGCTCAGCCGGCTTGCCAAAGAAGTGTGCATGAATTTCTTCCATGCTCATTGTAGCCGGTGGACTGTATGTATCCGTTATGGACTGATGTGAATTTTTGTGACCCCCAAGACCACCCAGATGACCCATTCCAATAATTTCGACCTGATTCTTATGATCACCACCACCGTGCTTCTCCTCGTGGCCACCATGATGATCGTAAGAAGAACTCCATGAACTGTAATCCTCATGATGACTCTCCTCGAGATGATTTTCTTTCTTCTTCGGCGCCTCCTTTTTCTTCCCGCCACCCCCAGTATGCACATGGATGAATACCGTCTTTGTATGTATATGATGCTTTATTATCTCCGGCACGTGAATTTTGAGGTGAACGCTGCGAGGTGAGTACAATTTTTTTTTTATTATCATAATAAATATGCATATGACGTTTTTTGACATTTTTTTTTTATTTTTATATAGTACTTACTGATGCTTTCCTCCGTGGCCTCCACCTCCAAGTATACCATCCACGATAGCAAGGAATATGAATATTGCGATTTTCTGCAAAAGGAAATTTTATTATTATTTCACTAGATTTTTTTAATTCACTGTTTACTGTCTGGCACGTTATCAGCCCTCGTGTTATATTTTTTATCATTATGTTACGCTGGTGCTATTTCTTATGGCACTTGGTCATTTTATCCCATAAGGACGACTTTAGTATCGTTTAGTTGATTTATTACCATTTTCAGGGACACCTGGAGGCTCGGGTTTGTCCGTGTTATTAAGAGTTCGTGGGACGACGGTCCAGTAACGTTTGAAGCTGTCGTCGGGGCTCTTCGTTTATATGCTATCTTTTTATTGTTTGACTGTTTTATTGTAATACGTTTTTATATTGACTGCGTGAGGGAATCTCTAAGGCTTAGTGATGCTGAACGCTTTCGCCCTGACTGCTGATTCTTTCATACGATATGCTTGATCTCTCGCGATTGGTACTACCTTAGAAATCATGGTGTCTTGTTCTCATCGACTGAATGCGTTAAAAAACTCATCGCGATGAAGTTCATTGTCAGAGTGAAATTTTCTTTCTTTCTCGCTATCGTTTGCGCCCTCTGTTTATCTGTCACAATGGATTTCGATAATGTTGACACTTTTTTTTTACAGAAAATATTTTTAACTTTTTTTTTCTAAATGCACAGTTTAAAACTCGATGTCATACAGTATTTTTCAATTAACCCTCTCACGCTTAGCTGTGCCATACGCCATTGGCATGCAACATTTTTCTTCGAACTCAACCTTAAAAAGATGATATCGCAAAATCGACGTAATGAAAAAAAATAATTCCGAAATTAGAGTATTAATGGGATACTTTTTTTATTCTTAAATCAATTATTAATACGTAATTATTTTTCGTCATATCTTTCGAGTCAATATATTTTCTTTTATAATAAAATTATAATTTTCTTGGATAATAAAATAACAAGTACAAGCAAAATTTCATTACCTCGTAAGTTTATAAAAGTTTGGAGCTTAACCATTATGAATGAAATATTCAACCGAGCTAGGTAAGTTCGAATAATTATTTTCAATGAGAATAAAATTTTAGCGCTTTCTAAATTTATAGATAAAATAGTATTAGTTGAATTGTCCTTCGCGTTTATTGATTGATTATTTCATTATGCCATAGCAAGTTTTTCAGCAGTATTTTTTGTAGCATTATCACGCAAATCTTTTTAATCGGACAGTACGGTTGGTATGAATGATAATTCTGAACCTATCATTTATTCCATTTCTTAGTCTCGCAAAGTACAGCGATCCACTCATTTTGTGGATCGTAAAGTGACATTAGGGATGCCTAAAGAATAACTTCTATCTCATCAGACATCTTGAAAACTTCTAGAGATTATTGTCCAGGAATCTATTAAATTTAAGCATATTTTTCTTAAGGACCAATTTCACTCGTCATCAACTTGTTTATAATTGAGGTCGTTATTCTCTGAAAAGTTTCAATTTTCATGCGATTTGGTAAAACCGTGAATCATGTAAATCACTTTTAATAATAACTTTTATTGAACCATATATATTATATAACAACATACAAATATAAAACTTAACATACCACTCGTTACATTAAATATAATACAGTCTGAATAAAGATTAAATTTGTACATAATAAGCCTATACAGTCTATTCTTTGGGTGTAACACTAACGTAGTTAGGTTATAAAATTCTGATGGATCCATTATATCATATAGAAATAAATTAGCCGTCGATACAATTATTTACGGTAGAATTCATAGTGTTCATTCTCATGTCCATAACCGTGATGATCATCATGACTCTCGTGATGATGTGGAATGATTTTGTAAATGGTATGAGTGTGCTTGACATTTTTAATACGATAAGGCACATGTATCAGTACCTTCTTCCTATAAAATATAAAAAAGAATTAATTAATTAAAAAAAAAAGTTAATATATCTTTTTATTTCCATCATTAAAATACTTACGCTTCACTCGATTCTTGCAGGAGAACGAAGACGAATAGGATGGCGATGATATGCTGTATAGTAAAAATAAAAAAATTAATGAATTAAAATTATTTGAAAATTTTATTATTACGCTCTCATGATATATTATATTTACCAATAATTTAGTATTCATCCCGAATTTTATACAGCTGACGCGAAAAACGTCTTACTAATGCTTTATAATGGCTATTAAAGTATAAGGGCGTACTGTGCTCAGTTCAACCACGTTTAGCTTTATATATAAGCAGTAACTAGCGAGGCGCATCGGATCACAAGGTATTCCGAGAAACTCCGCCCAGCATCTTTATCATATCTCTTTGCACCGCTAATCAAATCGATTTGCACGAAAACATGTTTAAAAAAGCCGTTCCAAATGGTTGGTGACCTGAAATTCAAACGTACCTCACGTCCCTCAATTATTTTGTCGCTGTCATCTTTATTTTTCATGAAAGTACACCAAAGGATGGAGTAACCTTAAGAAGAGTGAAAGTCAATCAGTCATGATTTTCAGGGTCAAGGTAAGAAGATGAATTGAGTGAAATTTAATTTTTTGAAAGACTTCTAGTAACTTTTATTAAATTTCTGAATGTAATAAATATAATCATTTTTCTCGTATGGATAGATACGTGCACGTATCGGTATTATGATGGTCTAATGAAAATTCAAATGTAGCGTGAATTAAAATGGTCTACAAATGAATAAAAGTGAAAACATCCAAGAAATGGAAAGCTATGCAAGACATGAATATTCCCATTAAAGATTTAGTTGAGCGTTCCCATTGAACATATAAATATCAGATTATCTAATGTATAAACATATGTAGATATAAATTATATACCAACAATATTTATGAGACTGATTCGTGCAGATTTGCTTGCGTGTCTAGTAACTATTATAATCTTATCTCATATATCAACTTATATGTAATTAAAGAAGATTCAGTGGAACTCATTAATTTCTTATTGATTACAATTTCTTTTATCGTACACTTCACCATTTTCAGGAACGCCAATGAATTCCACTTTACGAACGAAAAGAAAGCTAGGGACTTTCTGCGACTCTTTTTTCCCTGGTGTTATCACAACTGTACTGCTAACTACGCGGCATGCCGCAAGAAGTCACTAGTGAAAGGATACTCGTGATGTGGCTTATTCTCAGTAAATCATTTTTTGGCTCTTCCTTTGTTTTTTTATTTTTTTTTGAAATAGTGAAAGGTACCCTAAGTTCTTCGTGTCATTGTTTCTTTTAGGAAAATTCACTAGGTATCATTAAGTTTTATTGACCGTGAGAGAAAAGTTACGCCATAATAGATATTTTTCCTTTATATGTACGTAAAACAATATCTGTGGAAGAGTAACTAAGAAATTACTCATATTCTACAAGATGAAGATGTAAATTGTTGTATTCGTAACAATCATTAACAGTAGTATGATAACAATAGTGATATGGATAGTTGGTTCTTTTATATGTACTAATAAATAGTATGGTAACATGGTGGTAACAATGTATATTATGTGGTAGATAGTATTTATAATAAATTATTAAATTTTATTAATTGAATATCGAAAGTCAAGTTGATTTTACCAATTTTCTATCGATAGACGTTAACGTAATGTTATTTGATTTTCCTAATCTAGTGCTATCCTGGTAATCATTTTGGATCTCGTAAACTGGTTTGATATCCTGCTGTAATTTATGTGTCGTTTTATCATAATGCCAAGGATTATTCGGTGTTACTATTATGACACCTGGTGTAGATTTATGAGTCACATTCTCGATTGTTGATGTAGAATTGATGATTTTTTTATCATTCCTCACAGCTGATTTCTCCACTTTCATTAATTCCTTATTATCATAATGATGACTGGAGTAATTGATCGGCGCAATGGTATAAGTCTCCTGAATGTTATTTGAATTCGAATTTTTTAAATTAGATCGCGATCCTCCACTTAAAATTGGCGGAGTAACGATCTTTAACCCACCACCCATATTCATTTGGGTTTGAAGTTGTTTAAATGATGCGCTAGATGGCACTATACGGTTTGATCGAATTATCTGCGATTCTTGAGATAAAATATTCTCCACAGGATACAAACTATCTTGATTCTTTTCCTCAGCATTTCTACTCTTAGCTGGTAAGGGCGGATAAATCGATAAATTTTTAATTTTCTGTGATGATTCCAGTGGGAACGTCATCATATTACCCTTATTATAAGATGATCCTTTCTTTTTCTGGCGTATATTACTTAGAGTCTGTTCTATAGCAGGTGGACGAATATTAGAAATAGCTGAATGATATTCATGAGATTCATAGGGACGCTGAGAAAGAGGGATGAAATTTTTCCCTCCATCTAATCCAGGGTGCATATTTTGAATCAGAGAATTATGCCCTCGAATATTTTGAAGTAACAATGGTTTGGAATATCTTATTCCCAAAGTGTTTACATTCGACGTGTTTTTCTCGCCATTACGATGATTCGCAGGCAATGAGGTTTTATCCAAATAAGCTGAGGCGTTTGGTGGCAACAGAGCTGAGCGAATAGTCGAGGATTTTGCTAAGGAGTCTAATGACACTGAATTCGCACTCTTCATTGGAAATTCATGTGGACTACTTGATACCTTCTGTACTAAATGTATAACAACGTGATCTGCTTCTTCGTGGACAGGATCGAGTTGCCTGATGTAAACATTACCGTCTATACCAGGAAAATTAACAGGTCCTAGCAAAGGCCCAAAATTCTTAACTGACGTCATAGTCTTGCTGTAATTAATTTTATCGGAACCAATAATTCGGCTTAAAAATGTTAGCATCCAATCAAAAATATTATTCCGATGCACTTTGTGGACTAAGGGCTCCAAATGAATCACGTTCGAGACTTCCTTATGGTTGTAACTGTACTGACTTCGCTTCAGGGAATTCTGGGTAGAATAACCGACGTCTAATGATCTTCTTCTCTGCGACGAATTCAATCTTGACAATCCCATAAACTTTTTCATCTTTCCAGACTGCACTGGTAATTGTGACTTTATTGTTTTACGATATCCCATCGGACCAATTGTAACTCTTGAATATTTTCTAGCACGAACGTCCCTTCCTTTGCGAACAGATTCAATTTGTCTAGCAGACGACTTCAAACCACCCGTCATACTTCTGGCGTCTGTTTCCACCATCGATTTCTTGTAACCGTGAAATCTTCTAAATGAAAATAATTAATAATAAATTAATAAAGAAATCAAGATTACATATTATATATCTCATACCTGATTGGCGTATTGCTATTCTCTGCATGAACTTTGGACAGCACAAATGTACCAACCTGTATACAAAGTTCGTATATAATGTGTACCCACTTACGTATATATGTGTGTATGTATAACACGGCACAGGAGTCAGAGATAATTACAAAAGTATAATTAGCAAGCGTCAAACAAGACCGACTTTCCTCTAGCCTGAAAAGTTTTAATGCAGCTGAACAGTCTAGTCCGTGGTACGTGATTCGGATTATCTCGCGTTAGCACAAAAAAGGGCCATAACGTCAAGTTAACCTATTATTTTATCGCTAATTACGTTACATCGAAATCTTTATACTCATTTATATCAAATCTAGTTACCAGCAGCAGACACAGGATCTTCATATCTACTAGTAATTTTTGTCAACTAGATCGACTCACTATTGTCGCACTACAGTAACAAACTGCCATGGTGCAACGATGGTACTCACGTCTTTTAAAGGCTTTCTCGCACCATTAGAACTTGCTTCGTCAAACTGGATAAGTCTAACCTGGTCTGTGAATCGCATGCATTCCAGTTTCTTTTTAAAAAATTATTCTTAGCGAGTTTGACCGTAGTAAACTAGAACGCAATAAACTTTGACATTGACCAGGCTAAACTTCTTCCTTCACAAAACCTACATATTTTTTCTACACACAGACACGTGTATGTATGTATATATGAATGTCTCTCTTGACATTTAATAATCAAATACCTTGGAACTGGACAAAAATCTTAACATTAATTTTGAATACATTTAAATACTTTGCAGGAAATTTTGTGTTGAAAGTAATTCGTGTGGTACATTAATTTCGTATACATTTATAAACTTGGCTGTACTGTGTAATTTATATTTAAAATTTTACGTGTAACTTTTAAAAATACATTTTTCGTTGATGATCGTTAATTTTTGTTTCTGTGTTACCTATATATATATTCTACTGTAAAATTATAGTATTAGGTAGAGTGAACTTAAAATTCTTTATACAAGTCTGAGATTAATCATCTAATGAATTTGTTTTTTGTTTCCGAACCAATTTGTTTGGCCGCTTTAATGTGTAGTGTCATGGATATACGTGAGGAAACCGGTTTATAATTTCTAAAAGTGAAAATTCAATATCATCAACTGTAACGTAGCTTGATTTCTGGATGACAGTATATCCGGTTAATTTGAAATTACGATTTTACAAAGAAAAACATTTATTGTCATTGAAAATATTATACAAAATCAAATCTGAGTATACGAATACGCATAAATTTGAGGTAATTATTTTATTTGAAAGTGAATCATATTTTCATTACGATTAGTATACATATCTAGTATACTATCAATCATAATTAAACCGTCTCTTTCCATCGAACCGGAAACCATAAGCGGCACTGTTAGGGACGCCGACAAGAGCAGGATTTCTATACTGATTGAAGGATCCATGAAGATGAGCTGGTCTTGCAGCATTTTGTTGCTCACCCTGCGGCCCCTTCAGATAAAAGGCTTCAAATTGACCTTCCGGTAACAATATATCCTTCAATGAATCGTCCTCAGGATCATATCCAAGGATATGAACCACCATGGTAATAAGGAAAAACAGGGGTATCTGTACAAAAATAGTTTTCCATGCAAGATTAGATTATGAAAAAAAAATTAAATAATATATTAATAATCTACTTACCACAAATCGCATGGCGTATCCCGTAAAAAATAATTGACGTTAAAAAATCTTCCAGATCCTATGTGGATACTAGGATTTATACTGTAATTAAACAGAATTAGTGCGCATAATTAAAGATTGTAAATATTAACAAATTAAATTCAATTTCCAATAAATTAATTATAAATATATTAATTGAAAGAATTTTCGTAATGAAAATTTAAGTTATTGTGTCTATTAGCTGTTATAATAATAACCAAAGATCACTGCTTTCCTCCTGCCAGGTGAACGTTTCTTAGGGCCACAGGATTGCCATGAAATGTTCATGGTCAAGAGGGAGATAACTGATCGAGTAAACGTACTCGCTATATCTGGAAACCTTCTTGAATGTCGCGTATCACAAGTAATTCGTTAATAGTAACGTAGCAAGGTAATAATGCTGAACTTACCAAGCAGGCGAAGCAAAAGTGAAAGCAGCCAGTTGTGCCGAATACCGTGTTGCTAACTGTTCGCCTTTACGGCCTTGCGTAGCAAACTGTCTTGAAGTACCTGTTATTTGAAAGATAGGAGTTTGAGCGGAAGTCAATGAAAGTCATCAAGGTTCAAAAAGAACAAATATACCCGTCATTTTCTCTCGGTGCATTCAATATTATACAGGTTGGACTGAAATATAATTGATTGATAGTAACACATGGTATTACATAGTGCTGATTTATTGTTTATCAGTAACTTGATCTTGTAAGATAAAATTGTGAAGGTTGAATCTATCTGTACTTTAAATTTGATTTTCACTATGTATTTTGCTAAACAAAATACTTTTAAATGTTTGCATTGAATTAATCATACATCATTGTGTTGGAATGTCTTTGGATGATTTATTCAGTCAAATGATCAATTAGTATGATACAGAAAATTGTAAGTAATACAAACACTGGTCAAATGGTATCAATTAACCCGGGAATGGACATTTTGTTTTTCATTTGAAAAGCATTGAATTGGAGGGGGGGGGGAGTCTCAGACAACCCACGCGTCTATTTCTGGATTAAGGTATGGTTTAAATAAATTCGTTTGTTTCTGTGGAGAGAAACTTTTGTGTTTGACATTAAGTAGGTAGTTATTCTCTTGCCTGAAATTGGCACAATTATCAGTTGAGTATTCCGGTTATTGATGTTTTTTTTCTCAGGAGAGAAAATAATAGGCTTTTCTAAGCAAAAAAAAACAACAGATACATTGATTAAACAATAATTAACCTGCATCAGTATTATGCAAAGTCGACGCAATTCAGATAATTATATCTGTAACAGAGCATCTTTAGAAAGTGCAATACACTCGTGATGATATATGGAATAGAGATGAACAAATGATATCAATAAAGTTTTATGCGTTACACAGTTAACGCCGTGATGCATCAAATCTATACATGCTTTTCCATATTAATTTGTTTAATTAATTATTTTGATATGACTACTTAAAAAATTAGCCACACTGCACAAATCTTGATATTGATCTTTGAAGTTTATAATCCTTGAAACGTCACCTTATTCTAACACAACCGTGCTATTTCTATCTAATAATTCACTAGCTAGACTAGTTTACAAATTACGGTATAAAAGGTACATTGATTATTTGTATCAGATGCTCGTACTTTAGAGATACAGTGAAAGTACTTCTCGTTAAGTACCTCGATAGAAAATTGTCATGACCTCTTCGCGACTGAATGAAAAAAGAAAGTGATCGTATAAAACTGCAAATACGTCAAAAAATCCCTGAAAAAATACTTTCGACTTTCAATTTACGGTATTTACATATACGTAATCCTACTACAGAAAAATCCATTCATCCTACACAAAAAATAATGTACATTATACATAAATACGTCATCGAATGTATTTTCAGGCACTGTTACAAATTACGGAACATTGTACAATTAATTAAATTTTCAAGAAATACCTACACTCCTATTTATACCATACTATTATCGCACTAGTTCTAAAAAATTTATCAGTGCTGCTGTTTCTATTGTTCTTGGAGCTCCCTGAATGAACTGAGATAAGTATTACATGAATAGAAAGAAATTCTGCATATTATCTTACGTGTCAAAATGAACTCGTACAAATATCCTTGCAGAACTTCTAATATGATATTAAGTTAAATCTGACATGCGCGTATGTAATTTGTAAATTTATAGGCATAACACATTATATGTGATTTACGTTGTTATATATACATATCATCGCCATTTGGGAGATTTATGACTCGATTATTAAAATACCTTATACAGAATATAAATAGGATTCTAGCTTCATTTTAGCATTTGGGGGTGATGTGAAAGGAGAAAACCAGGCAATAGAGAATCTTCCAAATACAGCTTGTACAGACTTCCATTTACTGTTACGAACCCATCTTGCTTCCTCTTTTTTCAACTGTTCGATGCCCTGTAATACAATTTTAACCCAATAAGTTTGTGAAAAATATGGATGATATTTTATATATCAGAGGCTTTTGATCCTCATTGCACATTCAAAAAGATATGTTAAAAGTAACGATTAAAAGTCTATACGTACCGTCTCGTCATTCCATATAGCTTGCAATTGAGTTCCCAACATTACAGCAGTGAAGATAGCAAATAAAAGTGCTTCAAATGTCAAGAATAATAGCAGTACTACGGTAGCAGGAGGACTGAAAGTGGAACATTCTCGCCATTCTTGTCTCACGCATGTTGTAAACTGTTGAACGCAAAGGAAGAACGATTGGAGTGAAATGCCAGCTATATAAAACTGAAATTTTCATCTATTAGTATTTAATGCGGACCACAGCAATAGTGCTATTGTTTAAGAACTCACAGTAAAGAGTACAAAGTATTTTTGATTATTTTCCCCTACACAGTTATTAACCCAAGGACAATGATGATCCATTTTTCTAATGCACCTATAAAAGTTGTAGTGCTTTAATGATATTTATTAATGCAGCATAACTACCCAACACACCTTTGGCAAACAGAGCAGTGATGTGCTCTATCTGGTTTGATAGAACAACACCTGGCACACTTAAATATTACTTGACCCTCTCTAAGTCCCATTTGTTTAATCATCTCCTTTGTTGCATTTCCTTTAGGAACGGCACCCTGCAAGAGTAAATAATATCTAGTGCCGAAAGTAGTTAAAAAATCATTCAAATAATTTTGCATACATTGGAAATTATATACATATGTTAAATACAAATTCATTTCTCAACTCACTGGATCTGTGAACATAGTCCTAAGATGTGATGCAAAAGCCAAAAAAGCTAATGTTTGAAATATAATCATATTCAGACTGGAATAAACAGTGTTTATACTGGGAATGAGAATTACTGCCATGACTACAAATTCTGCATAAATAATTAGCAGCCATGTTAGCACAGCACATATGATACCACATATATCCTGAAAAATATTAGAACTATATTCATCGATTATAATGAATATTATCAGTGTAAAAATAATTAATTTAGCATATCATATACCTTAATGCACCAAAATTTTCCACCCCAACATTTATTATGAATATCCTTTTCCCTTTGAAAGGGCATATACTCGTAATCCATGATTTATAATTCACTACAATTCTCTACGTCTTAATACATCATAATTACTCCAAAATAAAACAATGATATTGTGGTTGAACAAAGATACATGGTTAATTCTCTGAAAATTAATAAACATGTATTGATATCATAGTATAATGAACTTTTGCTCTCATGTTTCACATCGTACATTCACCTCAAGAAAATGAACTGTGCTTGAGAGGTGTACAATTTCAACAGAGACAATACAGGTATGCATTGAAATTGTTATCGAAAATATACAATAAAATATATTGATTAACAAGAAAGAATTTATAAAACATCAGAAGAATGTAACCTACTCCAAAATATACTTACATTGTACTATATATTACTTTTCATTGTGGCCAAAATTGCAGAAAACTCATTTCACTACATGTTTCTACATAAGACGACCTCCACTCCATTGATGCTGCAAAACTTTAACATTTTCGTGAAATCTATCATTGTCACCTGTCATACAATCAGAATCAAGAAAATACACCGCCACGAATAACGGCAGTCATGAGAGTGAAACGACTTATCGACTTGTGAAAGCAATGTGGAAGCAATCAAGAAATGAAAGGTCAGAAGTATTTATAACGTCCAATTAAAAAAGTGTGGTTTTGCAAATTCTATCAGGTACAAAACAATTCACAAATTGAGTGTGAAAATTTCGGAAGTGCGTAGGCGGCCTAGGCGAATATGATATCGCACCATAAAAATCTACATAAAATCGTTATACAGAGAAACTGCATCACGTTTTACTAAACAGTCGTAAGATGTAGTACGCGTGCTACAGGATGTGTTACGGGCAGTAAAGTAGTTGCAGCTACAAAGTACTTTCGTTTTACAATAGATGACAGACATCACGCGAAATTTAGGCTTTTTGTATATTTTGGTTGATTTTGGTATTTTGCTTTTCAGTGTCTGCCTTTTCCTCCGTTATTACATATTAAATTTATAAAAAAAATGACTAGCAAGAAAAAGTCAAACAAATTGTCGAATGCAACGGACAACACTGCTACAGTAGTATGGACAAAGGCAGAGAAATGTGCTCTTTTGAAATCTTTGAAAAAATACGGTCATAAGGACATTTCAAAAATTGCAGAGACAATACCAAGTAAGTCACAAAGTGACATAAAAATTTTAATTGATAAATTTACAAAGCAAGCCCGTTGTAAGAAACATATAAAAACTGAATCACCAATTGATAACTGGTTAGCAAGTGGTATGTTTCCTGATACTGATACTCTTATACCTGAAGCATTGTTGTTTATACAGTTGTATGAGAAACATCCACCAGAAGAGCAAACTGGGGGATGTAATTTAAGGTATTTACTTATAATACTTCTAAATATTATGGTTGGTGGAACGCAGTTTATTCACTGTTGTTTCTTTACTCCTTTCAGGGAAGTATACAACTTTTTGTATAGGATGGTGCTTGGACAACCCACCGTTGGTATCTCTCCTGAAGTAGAAAAGACTGTATATTATTTAATATCAAATATTACTAGAGAAGTATGGCCTGCCTCTCGGACTGAAATCTTAAATGAAATTGCTAAACTACCTGCTAAACAAAAATGTTTAAAAGTGTATCCTGGTAAAAAAATGTATTTTTAATGTTATGTTATACTAATAGATGTATTTATTTATATTTTTTTATCTAAGGTTGTTAAAAAAATGTTTTTGAATAGGAATCTGTTAAGTAAAAGACAAGTTATTCAGTGGATAAGCATGTCGGTGATATCCATTTGTAAAGTCTTCTTGTATTTATATGAAGGCATTAAAGAACATGAAAGATTACATGATAAAATGTTGAGTAAAGAAATAGATATGTATTCTTAATGTATAATTAATATGTATCCAAACTATTACATCTACAGTGATATGAATATGCAATATAACAGTAAACTAAATGTACAAAGAATTCCAGTATATTTTTTTAAATGAGCAGTAAGATACTATTGCAACTTACTACATACTTATCAACCCTTTCAAACATAAAATATGTCATCTAAATAAAACAAAAATTGTGCACGCATTTTTAAAACTGACAGTATTATGGTTTATAAAATGCTTCATTGTTTGTTTAGACTATTATTATAATAATGTAACATCATTACTATTTTCTCAGATCAAGTTTATTCTAAAATCTCGTTCGTCAATGGAACATACAATGATGATTTTCTAAGGATAATATGCATTATACTTTGGCAATCCTCTGTCTGACTAATCTTTTAATTTGTCTAATGTACGTAATTCAGGTGCCAACTTTATTTTATTATTTCTTTGGATTTTATGTCAACTATCCATAGAAAACCAATTATACGGTCAAGAATATTTTATATTTTCTAATAAAAATACTTCTCCTAAACACCATAGTTATCAATAGTGATACACATGGTATTTTTCAACAAGTTATAACATAGATGAATTTCAAATATGCTTTTCTTCCATTATCATTGGCTATGTAAACAGTTTTTTACTATTTGATTATCATGTAGTGGATAAAACAAAAACGTATATAAATAACTAAACGATCGAAGCTCGATATTTTTTATAATTAATACAGCGATCGTTGGTTAAAAATGATCTCATAAGTAACCATTTCAATGTTGCAATAATTTTGGATGAATACTATTCCATGTACTATGTAATTGATAAACAAGTTTTATAAAAGAGCACAAGTTATGTCTCTTCGCAACACACTGTGGAATTTTTTACTCAATTTCAACTAATACTACATATCCTTACAATTTGTTATACCACACATTTTTGATACCGTATTATAAGATATTAGGCATATAAGTTCTCGTAGTATTTTATTTTATTATAAAATTAATTTAATCCCATGGTCAATCTCTACGTATGACGACACCAGAAAAAGAGCAGTAGATTTGTTGGAATAATTGTCTATTATCGACGATCAACGTCCATTAAATATTTTCAAAGAAATCAACACAATTCAGAAATCCAACAGCATATGGAATTACAACAGTAAACTCAAAACGTTATTTTTTGGGGAATAATAAGTATTCATAGCGTGCAACAATTTTCTTTAAAATTTAAAAATATTCAGGGACTACGCATACGTGTAATGTTCGTACATTAAAAATGCATTTATAGTTAGTAGCGGTAACTGTAAACATGTAGAGATTGTTATATAAGACATGTTCACAAATACGCGACAGACGGAAGCCATGCATCATTGCATCGAGGAGGAATTGATAAAAAGGAACAGCCTCTGTGTATTCTGTGTCTGAAACGAACTGTATGTTATTTCAATCCCCTTCAGAATTTCTATATTACTTCCAGCATATCTCCCGTGTCTATTATGCCCACTAGCTACCATCAGACACAAAGTCCCATAAGGCTGGCGCTCTTTACTAAGATCTCCTTAGTGATCATCAATAGAATCTATAGAAACTTTGAACTTCAGAAAAGTATCATTTACGACAGTGACATCTAATTCTTATTATTTCACCTAATTTAACAAGTCCGACCACGATTCTTCATCGGCCTTGGACTGCTTTTTTTCTTTGAAGTCTGGATCAAATAATCCGATCTCTTTCCGAAATTGTGCTTCCTCCGATAATTTCATAGTACTTCTGTTACTGGATGTTGAATCACTAGTCACCTTTGAATCACCACCCCAATCCCAGGAAGAGTTTATATTTGGGGAGTTACCTCTGCAAGTAATGACAAAGGGTTTCATTCAATGCTTCCACAGATAGGTAAAATAGAGGAAATACTTGGAAAAAAACAGTTACTTACTTTTGGCTTGGTCCTGTAACAAGAGATGACCTCTCGGTGGAATGTGAGTTAGTGGTTGCATTGTTCTGATAAGTATTTGATGTATTTTGATAATGTTCACTTGAATTATAATGCTGCTGCTCAGATGAATTGCTCCCTGCTATATCACCCCAACCTCTTCTACCTAAATCGCCAACCTATAAGTGATTGAAAAAATTATCACCGCTCTCATAATTCAGGACGTATCATGTAACTGATTTGAGATTTTAATGTTTGTTGTATTAGAGGAAACTACCTTGGCAGCTAGAGTATTAACTTGTGCTCCCATATCTTCCAACAAGGTACCATCTCTCACCTAATAAAATCCAAAGAAAACCCCCCCAAATAAAAACCAAACAATGTTCAATAATGAGAAATAAGTAATTTGATATGAATGAAAACTAAGAGTGAAAACGTAATGTAAATAAAATGTAAAAAAATTAAAAAGAAAGCATACCTTATTTCCCACAGAAACACTAACTTCTGATACCTTTTGCGTAGCAATGCCACCAATCTTTATAGCATTTTCCGTTGCTTTGCTTGCAATTTTTGTAGCCGAGGTAGAAAACATTGACCAACCCTGAAATTAAATTTTGTTAATCTTTTGCATGACAGATACAAAAATTTATTAATGATAAGAAACCTTACACTTGCTAAAGAAGATACAGCAGTACCAAAGAATTCCTGAGATGAACTCTTAGGAAGAGGATCCATTTGATAACCAAAACCTCCATATTTTCCACCTTGATTTGGGGGCAAATCGCTGCAAAACTGATACTTATGAAATAACCATTCCAAGTGGAAAATAGTAAATTTCTATTTACACATAAATAATACTCACTCAGGACGACTTGCATTTTCATTCTGTTTCCTTGCAAAGAATGATTCAGTTTGACTTTTAAAACTAGGAGAATTTATATTCTGATAAGAGGGACTTTGGTCACCCTGGTAAGATCCATATTCTTGTGTTTTACCTTCTTGAGGACTAGTGCTTGTAAATAACTTTGCACTTGCACTAGATGGACTCCAATTCTCACCTCGTGCTAGAGTTGCTATCTAATAAAAATATGTAACATTACATTAAAATAAAATAGTATAAAAATTAAGAATGTACTAATGAAGAAGGTTACATTGTTCTGAAAAGAAGTTTTGACACATGACAATATAACTCCTATTTATGAATGAATAATTACTCTGTAACAAGAAGATATCACTACACAAATTTTACCTTATCTCTGTATAATGCTGCTGCCTTGGTATTATATTTATGTGATATTGGCATAGACTCATCCCAATCTGGTTGAGAATCCAAAAATTCTCGAGCATTTCTATTTCCTCCAACTTTCATCTTTTCCAGTTCAGTGTCTTTCCATTTATCCATTGAAACGGAACGAACAAACGAGAGATGTACACCAAGTCCTCTATGCTTACCAGAGCATTCAAGGCAAATCCATATTCCATATGTAACCGAGACCCATTGTGGGTTATGAGCTCCGCATTCAAAGCATTTCTATAATGTAGTTAAATTAAACAATATCGCTATACCTGATTAAACATACTGGACTTCTTACATTATTTTCATCTCGAGGCTTTAATTCTCCCAAGACACGCCGTGTGCGAGGACTCGCCATGATTGCTTCCCCGTGCGGGCAAAATTAATTTCCAAAATATTTCAATGAACTGCCAAGAACCTCAAGTTTACTCAAGTGCCACACGTTACTTCAGCCGATTGACAAATAAGCTTCGTGGTGAAGAATATTATAGAAAGGAAAGTACGAGTTTGAATAGAGTCATGTGCTTTCATATGCTACCATCTCCGCTGTCTTTTGAGATAACAGAATATTCTGTTACATTAACTTCATAAAAAAAACCTTTACGACATTCCTCATTACATACATCTTCTAACAATATCTGAAAATATTTAAATATCAGTGTAGATCTAAAAAAACCTAACGAGACAATATACAGATTTTTGGAAATATGAGAAATTTTGCTTTATTTTTTAATTCATCAGCAAAATACATTATATAGATTCTATTTTCATAGAACTTATATAATTAGAATTTACAACTGTGTGTTCACGGTATAATTTTATAAGTAATTTTACTTTGAAAAAAGTGTTTAATAATTTGAATTGTTGCAAATGTATCTCTAGTAGTCTACCGCAGAAGCAGAATAGTTGCATTGTGGATCAGGCTTGCGCGCAAAATAGTCAGTTTAGGAACCCGAAGCAACCCCACCTATCGTCCATGACAAATGCAACTTTTACTTCCGGTTGAGTTCGGCCGCCGTACAAGATTTTTTGGGTTTAACAGTATTCTTGCGTAGTGCTTGTGTTATCCTACATCATCCGTCACTTTTCTCGACTGTACTTGCAATTTGCAGTTATATATCTTCGAGGGATATATTTTGTTTGTCGTATGTCCATCCAGAATCTCAACACATTCGGTAAATATTATATTTTCCATTCATTAAATCCTTCGTATCCGAGAGGATAGTTTTGGCAAAATGGCCGTCGCGTCTTCGCTTGCATCATACGAATCAACCTGGTTACAACGTTCTAGCAACGTTTTTATATAGTTTATTAAAATTTTGTACCATTCTGACTTTTCTTAAGTTATTGGAGCAATTGGGCTTTAGCATAACATGGAGCATTTGTTTGTTTCACAGACCCCTTTGCAGATGCAATCAAGGGTTCAGATGATGATGTCCAAGACGGTCTCGTGCATATAAGGATCCAACAGCGGAATGGTCGCAAGACCTTAACCACGGTGCAGGGGCTTTCTTCTGAATATGACTTGAAAAAAATTGTCCGGGCATGTAAAAAGGTGAGACATCGCTACTTTGCGGATCTATTGTCTCTTTGCTGTCACTTTGTGTTAACTTGTCTATATTTAGAACTGACGTGAAAGATTTTTCAACCGATGGAATACCGTTGTATTTATCGCTGACGATCTATATCTAGTAAAAATAAATTTAAATCATTTGTATTCTCGTTAGTTTTGCGTCAATTGGGCCAAACTATCGGCAATTTGATATTGCTTTGAAAATGGTAAAAAAAAACAGGTTTCTAGAAGATGCTGGAAATTTTAGTTTTCTCTGTAAGTTAGTCATACTGTGATTGTTCTAGAAATTTTTGATGAGTAATACATATTGAAGCTTATGAGAATATATTTATATATGACCTTGTCCTCATTTGGTATCACCAATATGTAGAAACAATTATGGATGTGACCTTGCTTGTGTTGACCTTATAATTGATGGCTGCTCCTGAATATGCGTACATATGATCAATGAATTCATCAGTACAATTCCATTAATGTTAATCAAATACTTTTTTCTTTGTAAGTGATTGTTTTATTTATTTCCAATGTAACTCATATGCTGATACTTTTGGAGCAATCAAAATACAACAACTTATGCCATTTATTAGAAAGCTTTGATGCATAATTAAAATAGGAAAATTATTTACTTCTAAAAATAATTACAGGAGTTTGCCTGCAATGGGACTGTAATTGAGCACCCGGAGTACGGGGAGGTGCTGCAGCTGCAGGGGGACCAGCGAGAAAATATATGCCAGTGGCTAACGAAATCAGGTCTGGCAAAACCTGACCAGCTGAAGGTTCACGGTTTTTAATCAACCAACCATCCATGCCACTACCTAAGACAACTCCACCATCACCAACACCTTATCATCTTAAATTATCTGTATCAGTCACTACTACTTGTTGATACTTCGTGGGATACCCCATTATATACGCATATATATTTCAATAAAAAATATATAACAATACCATATAGGCACAATATTCTAATCAGACATTTTGTAAGATTATAGGAAAAGCAATACCTTGCAGTCTTATGTTAAATAATCCACTGAATTTTTCTCACATTTTAAATAATAGTAATAATAGTAACTATTTGAGGAAACACATTTACAAGCGATAGATACAGATAGTAACGGATGGATGTTTCTTTTCATATTAGATGATATGTATCTGGATGCGATAGATGTCTTCAGAGAAGATAAAATGCGTTATCCTAGGTTTCAGATTGGCTTCTCCTTTGTAACTACTGACTGCTTTGCTTTCTGTATACAGTAAGGACAACAGAGTTTAGTTTGCGCTTAAATATCATTTGTTTTCGATTTTCGTGTCTTTTATTCCACATTGTATTATTTATTAAAATATAACATTTTAATGTAACAATAATGATAAACAATTTGGGGGGGGAGGGGTTTAGTTAAAATAATTTTTTTTCATTATAAAACCAGTATTTACTAAATGAATTGCCTTTTTAGTAAACACATGTGACTGTTCTAGATAAATAAATGGTAATTCAGTAGCTTTTGAATTTATTTTATTCTATCCTCTATGATACATTTGATACTAGTAGTAATACAACAGGTTATACATATATAAAAATCGACAAATTTGTATTTATACTCTGTATGATGTTTCTCATATCAGTCCATGTAAAAAAGCATTTTAAAAAAATATTAATATAGTGTGTTATTTGCTAAAAGTGAGACTTTATCAAAATTGTATATATTAATATGATATTGGTACACGTTAAATAAATATTTGGTCGAAACAAATGGTGCAACACATTACAGACCTGAGATGCACCGACATTTGTTCAATTTGACCAAGTCATTTATTTTTAGACGCAGATTCAGTTTCGTGTCCAAATCCATCGCTCACAAAGTATCTGTTGACAATGAGTGTTAAAGATTCAATTCTCTTTAACGATAACAATCTCACGCATACATGAAGTTATATTATACACTAAAAGCATATTTTATCTAGACAAATGATAAAGACAGAACGATCATTCGATCTATTATTTTATTCGTTTGCATTTTTAATTTAGAATATACGTGAACATGATCATGCAGTCGGTTGCTGATTTCTTATCAATGCTTACCGGCAAGAATATTTTTAAGACCCCTTTATATCTTTCGTATTTACTTTGACTTGAAAAGGATAAGAACTAAGCTTTATTTGACAATGTTACTATACAGTTCAAGAAGTTTTATTTTCAGATGAATGAGGTAGAAGTAATTTTCGAATTTTACGTAACGATAAGGTAAAATTTTAATTTGAGTTTAAATGTCCAACGTATTCAATACGTACGTATAAACTTTCCCGTTTCCGTTAGATACAAAATGGTTGCGGATCCACTGCAAAATTCGTCATGGACCTCGGATAACGAATGTGAAATCTTGGAAGGAGTCAAGAATTTGACGTATGTGTTAAAGGTCATGTTTGAATTTAGCACAGAGGTATTTTTTGAGAATATTAAATGAAGATTTTTTTCTGTCTTTCGGTACAGTTATGTGCGTTGTGTGCTCGTTATTCTTTAATTGTCATACGTGCGTGTAAAGTATTCTCTCAGAGTAGATGATGTCATTTCAGGCGTTTTCGGGATCATACGGGATCGTCGTCGATGTCCTTAGATTAGTCATTCCATGTTCAGATAACTCTACTGGGAGTCAGCCAAAGTGTAACGAGCCAATCGCATTCTACTATGATGAAAATTGTGCGCCATGACTGGTGCATTGCAGTACAACTGGTGTGGCGGAAAAGAAACAGTCGAAGATAGATTAAACGGTGCTGACAAATCGAGCGTTTGAGAAGAGAAAAATACTAGAAAATTAAGAAAGGAAAGGAGACAAAGGTGTCACGTATCGTTTCGGGATTAGCCATGGTTGATGGGTGTTGTACGTTAATCGGGTTGAATAAAGGGCGTTCTTGAATATTCGATCTATAAAAGAAACTGGAACAGGGCTTGAAGAGAGAAAACGGGACGTTGCAATTGCGTTGAGACGATGAGTTGATTGGAGTTGATACAACGTTCGAATCTGGCGGTTATACCGGTTGTTCGAGCGAAATCAAGAGATGGCATTACTACTAGCCTACATAGCTACAACCCACAATGCATTGAGCCACGGCATGTGCCTTTCTGTGTCGGCCATTTTGTAGTTTCCTTGAGAAATTGTGTTGAGTTGATTCTTCTCCTCGGTAAGATTTTAGCAAAATTATCAAACGGCGTAATTCGCAGTAATCCGAACGATGTAGAGGAACGGGAAGACGTGCTCGTGGCTAATGAATATTGGCTCAAGGGAAAGGAATAAGGGTGCGTTTCGCACACGGCGGTGTGTGCCCACGGTCCTACTCCCGAGAACGAGCCAGTAAACGAAGCTGGCGAGAGCAGCTATTGATAAAGGCACATGGAATCCGGGATTGTTTCGGGATGAATGGTGATTTCAGTAACGACATTTGCTACACATAAGTGCACTCGCGGAGTGGTTGTCGTTGTGGTTGCGTGCGTGATCGCCGCTAGCCCAGCCAACATCTCGCTCTATATTTGGCCAGTCGCATCCAACATATTGCATATCTTGCCCTTTCAAAATTCTTACTTTCCACGGTGTAACCTTTCTCAGACAGCTCCGCCGGAGGGATACAATGTGACGTTCCAACGTGAACATTGGGCGATCGCATGCTGTGCTTCCGCGAGGACAGTAATTCGCATGTGGTATGGTTCGTCCGAACGGCTCTTGACTTTTGCTTTTGAAAGCGCTAAGAAACGAATTTCGAGTTTTTTTCGCGCGATGACTTGTCGATTTTTCTTCTTTGCTCCGTGATAGTCTTGCTATAATTCTATGGTTTCATTTGGCCATAGCGTGGTTTATGAAAATCTGGTACAGCTACGCGTCAAATCTTCCTTCTTTTTTTTCCTTCCCTTTTCACTTCATTGACTGCATAGTCAAAAGTGCGGCGAATACAAAATATAAACTTCAGTATTTAATATTTTCATAATTTTCAATGTTGCCTCTATCAACAGTTTGTTCACGTTCAATCAGTTGTAAATTATATATTTTTAAAATATTTGTCTTTCAATGTGCAGCTTCTTACTTCGCTTGAGATTTAGCCACTCACGTCAGAAAGTCATATTATTCTCTTGAAAATTGTTGCCTCCTATGATGCAACCTTTTTCAGAAAAATCCATAACAGGTATGTAATATGTGAGAGTTCAGCTGTTGTAGGCATGATATGCTGTGCAAAAGGAATTTCTAACGTGTGTTATTACTAGCTTGGGTAAGGATTGATTTGTGAGTATAAAAGGGGGTGGGGATCTCAATGAAAGGTTTGCAGCATATCCACAAATGTTTTAGTCAGCTAGTCATCATAGATTTTTTTTGCATGCTAGATTACTTAGGACATTGATGTATAGTTTCGTAAAATTGAGTTTTTTTAATGCAACGACTCAATTTGAGTGATGGATACTGATCAGATAAACTTGAATGAAGATTAAAATTATGGTTCAAAGTTCTTTTTTTTATTAACAAAAACATTTCATGAATTTTAGTAGTAGCCTTAGATAGATCAATAAGTAGAACAAGTTATTTGTCTATAGCTGATCGTACACTGAAATATGATTCCAGCAACTTCCATAAGTAATTCTCTAATTTTTAATATACTCTTCACTTAAACATTAACTTATACAACATGAAAAGCACAAAATTCATTACACATAAAATTAGATTAGGATGATCATATTTTTTATCAAACTGAACAATTTCAGTGATACGTTGATGAACTATTTTAGAAACATCAAACACAATTAACACAAGAATATTAAGATTGTGTAAAGCAAAACCAAAATTCCAAGCATAATTCTCAAAGATCTGCAACTATGTGCTCTAGCGAAAAGACAGCACATGCATATCATACAATGCAATTTGGTACTTCCATATAAACACTGTGTAAGCATAGGCATCTCTATTTTTTTTTTTAAATATCAAATGCTCTTACCATGTTCATACAATAAAAATGACTAAGCAGTATTTTCCCATAGCGTTCACTTTGCGTTTCGGAATGATCCATAAGGAAATAGCAGCACGTGTCGTGGGTAAACGATATCAAATACATGTCATTTGTCTATATATATTTTTCGGTTATGTTCCAGGGTACGTGTACATGAATGGGGACATTGGGAAGCTCCCACCAGGGGCGGTTTACCCAGCCACCCCTGAACCCCTGGGTACTGTCGGGGGTGTTGTTGGCAGTAACGCTTCGAGTTTAGACTACGGCGTCATGAACGGAGGACCGAGCGGAGGTGAATTGATGCTCGACGCGGGCGCGGGTAATCTCGATCCTACAGGCCAACATCCCATAGGTATGGGTGGTGCTGTTGGCTATGCTCCAGTCGATGTTGCACCCTTAGGAGATGCACCCCCTGCGCCTGGACCGATGGCTGATCTCTCCGTGCCTGGCATACCTCTGGAACAATTGAAACAGATGCTCTCTTCTCAACTTGAATATTACTTCTCCAGGTAAGTCAGGTCACTTGAAATTTGGGAAATAACTTTGAGTTTTTCTCGGTATTATTGGACCATATGGGGATTCAACTTGATTATATGCATTCTGCATTAATTATTGCATTATAAGATGTTCATGTTATATCAACATTGTTGATATCAACACTACTTGAACTAACCTCGTGACTAATGTCTCGTACACTATCTTAAAAGATTTGGGTATGCTTTACTTGGAACTTATAATGTATCTTCATTCCTTCACTTAATAATAAAAATATGTTTATGCAATTCAATCTCGGTGGTTGTATTACAAGATGCAATTCCGTTTTATCACTTACATTAAATTCCATACGCGCCATTGACGCGTGAAAACTGTAAACTCGTATGAATTTAATTTAAAATATGTAGAACGTACTGACTTAAATCAGAGCTTAATACCGTTGCCAGCTTATTTCGTTACTGTACATGTATAAATTTGTATCGCTGAACAGACTATGACGCATGTGGTCATGCTTTACGTATATTTCTCGGTACTATATACCTAGTAGTATGATCTGTATCTTTATTATTGCTTTATGATTGTAGTTGAGGATAGTATTAACCGATTGAAAGAGAAAGAGAACAAAGAAAAAATGAATGATCAACAGTCACGAAGCAATTATGTTTCTTCTTTCAGAGAGAACTTAGCCAATGATACATATTTATTATCGCAAATGGATAATGATCAATATGTGCCGATATGGACGGTAGCGAATTTTAACCAGGTGAAGAAATTGACGAAAGATATAAAATTAATAACGGAGGTGCTGCGAGAGTCTCCTAACGTTCAAGTGGACGAGGAAGGACAGAAAGTGAGGCCAAATCACAAACGATGTATTGTAATTCTCCGGGAAATTCCAGATAGCACACCGCTAGAAGACGTGAAGGTCAGTCGTCTTTTTGTTTCAGATAATATTTAATATATTATATTTTAATATTTATGATTACATATGTAACAATAACTTCAAGGAAAAACAATTTTTATCGTCATTATATATAATCTCTTTTTGGATATATTTATCACGTTCCAAACTGATTGTTATATATATATCTGTAGAATATTTTTGTGCTCCGAGACTTTTGCATTAAAACTGTCTTTCTTTACGTTCACAGAATTTATTCTCAGGAGAGGGTTGTCCAAGGCTTATCTCGTGCGAATTTGCCCATAATAGCTCGTGGTATGTAACTTTTGAATCTGACGAGGATGCTCAAAAGGCGTATAGGTTTCTACGTGAAGAAGTACGAGAATTTCAGGTAACGTATTACTTTTTGTACTATGGCATTTAGAGGCACGTATTGGTAGGCGCCTAAATGACCTGTGCTGTAGTAGTATAATATTAATAATAATAACAACAATAGACGTCCTGTTGTGTATCAAGATACTACTCGTAACGCGTACACGTATAAAAAAACAATTCTGTCTCAATCAAATTAAATAAGAATAAATTCTAGTTATTATCGATTGTTCGGTTGTGGTCTTAAATCAGGTGGTCAATGGAGACATATCGATTTTAAGTCATAACACGTTAAAATACATGCGATAAGAGATAAGAGATTATTATGACGCAAGGATAGATTGACTCTGATCAGTCATTCTCTAATTGCCATGATCAATATTACCATACCATTCGCTGTAAAATGCAATACATACTCAACCACGTGTCCTTTTCGCCCTTATTATTCAGGGAAAGCCAATAATGGCACGCATCAAAGCTAAACCAATGAACAGGCTACCGATCCCAGCGGTAGCTGGTGTTGGTGGGATTAAAAATGGATACAGAACTCCTCCAGCACCGCCCGTTTACGACCCGAGCACCTATCCGCCTGGTCAGCAACGCTTCCTGTACACTAATGGTACGACTATGCCGCAGACGACTATGCCGCCATACCCCAACCAGGTTCATGTCTATGTGAGTAAACATTAAATAACGATACTGAAACAATACTTGAAATGACTTTACACTCTTATGTGACTTACGAGAGGTGTATCGAACATCAGCAACGGGTGAATAACCGTTGAGAGATTTATTTGCGGTAGCAATTTGAAGATCGCTAACGCTCGAAAGTGCAGCAGGATCTAATGTTTCAGCATCAACCGTTTTACCCGGCCGGGATGATGCCCTGGGGACCTGCGAGTCCTGCATATTTCGATATGGCCGGTGTCTTTACAATGAATGGTATTACACCGCACACTTCATTCAAACCACCCAACGCAAGATACAATCAGAGAAACAGGTAAGCAAGATCTTTTGCATACGATATGAGTTTGCCTGCCGATACACAGACGTATCGGTAGAATTTCTCCAGATAGCGCTAGATAAGCTCTAGAAAATTGTTAATGATGTTCAGTATATGATTAATGATTATTAGACATTTTTATCGTATATATTGAACGTTATTGCTCTGCGTCAAGGTTTAGTTATTTAAAAGACAAAAACGTTAACAATTTTTTTCTCTGTGATTCAGAAATAAGCAGAGAAATGGATCCGAAAGGAGTGGCTTAATGGATGGCGGTGGTGGTATGGCCCCGATGGGTCGAAGTTCGCATGCTCCAATAAGCGGTGGTGGTCCAGTGTCCCTGGGAGCGACGGCTCCCGCGCTCTCGTCGAGCTTGCCCACGATGAAGCCAGCCTCTTCCTATCAAACTGGCACAAAGTTCCATTCCTCGCATACAGCCACGTCGGCTGGAGAGGCTCAGTATAGTAGCAGCAGCAACAGCAGCAGCAGCAGCAGCCACGTTAAAGGGCCGCAGGAGAGTGACGCTCAGAGTCTGGACTCACCGGTTCAGTTTCCGCGTCATCGTACACACCGCAGGACCAAAGACCAAGATGCCCTCGCTAAAGCCAACAACAGTAGCCCTCTGCCGTCGATCAGAGAGTCCAATCCGGCCAGTAACTCTCAGTATAATCGAGGGGTCCAGTTTGACTTGGAGGCTGCTGCCTTCCCTCCGCTTCCTGGCCTCGATGCCGATCTTGCAAAGTCTCACAACACTCCGACCGAAAGTGCTGCTACCGACAGCTTGCAATCTCAGAATAGGCTTTCGGACGTAGTGAAGGGCACTGCTAAGCTAAAAAGCACAAAGGACAAGGAACCCATGGTAGGGGCTGCTCAACAGTATCACCACCAACAGCATCAGCAACAACATACTAGCAACAGCAGCAGGTCAACGAGCCCAGGGTCATCAAATGCTGGCGCTCACGGCGATCCTGTCGCCAATCCTGGGACTTCGGGGCTAACTGTATCTCAGACTGTCACTTCCGCTGTTCAGGCGGCCATCACCACCAGCCCTGCTCCTGTCGCAGTTGCTCCCGGCATCGGTGCGGCTTCCGCCACCGCCACAGCCACTACCAACACCAATGCTTCTGCTAGCAACACTGACTCCACAGACATCGCTCTCAGCACCATCACTCTCACTCCCCCGTCATCTCCCGATAAGTGAGTGTGCTTTATTCTTATATATATTTATATATATATATACATATATATAGAATTATATGTGATTATATAAATATAAATATATATATATATACATATACATATATATATATTTACACGCGCGCTGGCGCTCTAATGCGTGTACACGCGTACACGCGGTTACGCGAAGAGACAAAGTCGCGCGCGCAGACAGCGCTACACTCGACATGCACGGGTTCCATACGCGTGCATGTTAAAGGGACTTTCGTTTCTTTTCTTTTTTTTTTTTTTTTTTTTTTTTTTTTTTTTTTTTTTTTTTTTTTTTTTTTTTTTTTTTTTTTTTTTTTTATTTTTCATCGAAATATTCTTTTGCAAAGCCTTGTTAAGAATTATTCGATTGCTTTAAATGGTGTTCATTGGTATGTCTATGTGTGGGATGTGTATGCGTATGTATACATATGTGTATACGCGTACACATATGTCTACACAAAACTCGTGCAACGGCGGAACGATAAGGTGATGTACAGGTGCAGGACACGAAGCCTGCGGAATGCTGAGTTGTCTTATTAAATGTCGTTGGCTGCGTAATGTGCTATGCGTTTTTTACGGTGGATGCGTATTTGTTTTTTGTTTTTTTTTGTTTCCTTTTTGCTCTACGATCGTCATCCCACCAACGTCCACCATCTTGTATACTCGTGATTCATATATTATAGAGGAAAATGAAAAGGTGTTGCGCGCTCACGGGAAATATATCAAATGTTATCCTTGCGCCGTGGCAACGATCTGATTTTTTTTACCCCTTTACGAATAGTCTCTATTTTGTTTTAGTCATTTATAAATAGCGCGAGAGATTCGGGGAACGAGTCGTGTCTTGGTCGGTGAGCATGTGAAATCGTAACGCGAGGCTGCAAGTTCGTGCGGGAGAAGTCGCCCGGGCGTAGGATACGACAGGTCGACAGACTGGCGCGTCTATTTCTCATAAAAATTGCTTCGAGAGATAGGGAGGATATGGAAATGATATGAAAATTAAAAAAAAAGAATATGGAAATTCATGCCCGATAGTCGCATTGATTGCCTGAAATTTATTTTTTAGTTTTTCTCTCTCTCTGTTATTTAGGTAGTGCTCCGTTAGATGGCGGTTGTTTTGTGTGTGGTGGCGCATCGTGCAAGTGTCGAATATGATTTTTTTTTTCTTGTTTTACAACAGTACCTCTCGTCCAATCTCGGCTCCTCACGTTGTCCCGCTATATAATGTTCAGCCTTCAATTACGAGATTCCTGTGTGAATAATATCTATCCAATACAGTAGTATATATATATATACTTTTTTATCAGTAATTACCCTATCTCTATATTATTTTCTCAATCTCTCTCTCTCTCTCTCTTTCTCTGCTCATTCGTTCGCTCGCACGTTGTACAAATCACGGGGTCCTAAAATCGTTTTTCTTTTATTTCACGTTATATAAAACTAAAATGCATAACCGATGCAATCATATATATATACATATATATATATATATATATATATATATATATATATATATATATTCATAATTTCATACGTATACATATATAGCACAGTAATAGGACGAACGAGTGGCACATATTTTAACTCTGTCCTTCTTTATCATACTAGTAGCCAATTTTTTTTCTTCTCCTATTATTCCGTCGCTTCTATGCTTCATTCTTCGACGAGGCGCATTTAACGTTACCGGCGTATATATCGGGATTCCCCATCCGATGATAACCCTGTTGTTGTACATAACTCTCGTGCGGCCCCTCGCCTTCGCGCTTTTCTCGAACGACGTTCGACATCGTCGCTCATCCTATCCCGTATGCGGTGGTCGTTAAACAATTGAGAGATGTACGTGCTCTACCGTCGCTTCAATTTGCCATTTTGTTTTTCTTTCTATTTTTTCGCGATCACGACTCGTTTGAAACGGGCGTTAAATCTGCTTCCCACGTCATTGGACAAGCTATGTGCACGGACATGTACATAGAGTTATTCAGTAGAATCGCACTACCTGAACATGGTTGTACCATAAAAATCAAATGGACGTTTTTACTGAATAATCCTGTACATACAATCGGGGTGCCAATTGACTTTCCCAGTGCTGTCGTACCGATACAGCCTTTCAGAAACAAGAGTCGCCCCTCCGATCTCTGTACGTGAGGATGGAATAGATATTATTTAATAGAAAACAATGAAACTAAAAAAAGATTAAGAAAATTGAAAAAATGCGAAATTCGCTACGAACAGAGCCAAGGAGAGGGTATAGAGGCATTTGGTAAACGATAGTTAGTCAACGCGGGTCCATGCTGCACCCCGCGCAACGTATACTCTTAAATATGACACGCTGTCGTAATCTATATATATATATATATGCAGGTATGCGCGAGTGCATGCAGTACTATGTGGTAGCACAATGCATAGGTCTCTCTATGTAGCATGGGTTAAATTCCTTGCCTGTACTGCCGCGACAGATGAACAATACCTAGGGACTACTATAATATTCAGGGTTTATTATTATTATTATTATTATTATTATTATTATGTTATTATTATGTTATTATTATTATTAATTGTTCGGTTTCAAGTTACTTTTAAAGGCATTTTGAATTAAAGTTTGTAGTTTTAAATAATTAATAATTAAGCTGTAATTTTTCGACACGTAAATACAATAAAAGCATGGTTCATTATTATTTGGTAATGACTATAGAATCATTGTCAATGAAACTAAATAAACGATGTGTATACTGGTTTTTTAACCGTGTGTTGCCACCTTGCAAGTACCCATACTCCCGACTAGGATTAGCTGTTTCGCCAATAGAGAGAGAGAGAGAGAAAAAGAAGAAAAGTCCCGCAGGAGAGAGAGATAGCGTAGGAGACACCTCCGACAGGAAGCACGTGTGCGCTGGCTGTGAATCGAATGATTCGTGCATGATGGTTAAAATTCCGTAGTAATGCCCAATTGTCATTAGCGAGGATCGGTTATATCGAGTGTCCTCTTATTATTTACTTAAATAGCATTGTATTTGGATTATCGGTACGATTGGTATTTAAATTTATTGTCTTTCTCATTATAATTGTTATTATCTTTATAATATTTCGTATCTTTTGACGCGACACGTACATATTACTATACTTACGCACGCCTAGGTTTAGCCCCTTACTACTGAAATGCACCGCTAACAGATCTATAAAGACTGACGACTCGAACATGGTGAACGGTGTGGATGAGGCCATAAGTACAAATGCGCATGCAGCAGAAGATTCCGAACCAGTAACCAGTTGTGACTGCGACGTCCCTACTACCCCACAGAATCCTCAAACACAAGCCGGAGTGGCGTCTGCCTCTCCTTTAGTAAGTAATCTTCATCATCTTGCTTACCAAACTCTCTCTAAGTCCTCCCTCCCTCCCTGATGATCCTGACAATTACAATCGAACGCTCCGATTGAGTTGTTTGGATCGAGGCATCGTCTTCTTTGCGCTTTTCTATTGACTTAAGATTAATAATCAATTAGGTCTGTGATTAATTTGTCTCCTTTTTTTTAATTCTTTTTTTTTTCTTTCTTCTTAGTCAGATAAGCCATTGCGGTGGTCCGTAGTCCCGTTGCGTTGTTCATGGTAATTGTCCCAGTCCGTCATATCATCTTTATCGCATGACTGCTGGTCATCGACCTTGATGATTGATCGATGACGATCCATAGATCATCTTTTTTAATTGAATCGAGAGGATATCACTATCACATAGTACAGCATGAGAGAGCTTGAGGGACTGTCTTTTTTTTTTTTTTTTTTTTATATATATATATATATACAAATAGCTAGTTGATATTTACGTGTATCGTGTTACGAAATTATTGTTCTCTCAGATGTAATATGATTATTTATTGTCTCCGTTGTCAGATACGAAAGAGATACTTTGTTAGTGGTTAAGAAGACGTTACCTATTGTGCTGTACGAAATATTTATAGAAAATATTGAAGTATAGTTATACGATACTCTTATTTTCAGCGTTTATGCCATCCGGCTGGTTGGGTTAGACTTGTCTTTGGGACGATATTCAGTTAAACTGCGTTGCAAGAGCGTGCACGTGTTACTAGAGTGCAACAAAGATTTTTGGGTTCACGCTAGAACGACACTTGTGTAATGTAATATTATTTATCAAGAAAGCGAAGTCTTGATAGTCATTCTATTATTTTATGTCTTTCGCGGATCGCTAATTAGAATTGACTGTTAGCTTACGGTCTTGTGGCGTAGGGTCGATTTAGAATACGCGTGTAAATCGATGGCACCGTTTACCTTGAGTCAACGCGGGTTACTCTTTGGTACTTGGGGGGGGGAAAAAGTAAAATTGTATAGGCAAGAGTCAAATACTTTTTCCATGTAAGAAATGTATTAACGTTTGGATGACTTGATTTTTTTTTTTTAAATGAGGTTTGATAAACTGCTCGAGCTGCCCTTTCGAGAGACTAATTATTTTCTTTTTCTTTCTGCAGGATCTTACGAGGCCGAGCTATGCCCAAGTAGCGCAACACTGTCGAGAGGTACCTTGTACAAAACACAAAACGGACGAGAGGGACGGACACGTATAAAGGCAACGTGTAAGTAACGAATCGACACGTCTTTATACATTTGAGAGTCCCTGGAGGCGCGACTGTCGCCAATCCGGACGTGGAGTTACTAATGGAAGTTTTCGATGGAAGTCCTTAAACAATGACAGACCCGTTATATTCACACGAGAACTCTTACAGATATCACTGCAATCAATTTCGATATTTAGCAGTTACTCTTTATTTGGATCGAAGTGGATTGATTAACGCTGCTTTTAATCCCAAAGTGGTCGTACAGTGGGCACGAAAAGAACTTTCTACATTGTACAGTGACTTCGCCTACAATGAATGCGGCATCGATTATACCACAGGTTATTATGGAATTATTCAAAGAGACAGTAATTCGCCCTACGTTTAAGGGACACGATCGCTGACAGGATAATACATACTGTGCAGGGGGAGTATTGTTATTGCTTTGGTTCTGTGATTTTGGAGGTACATATTTGTTAGCTTGTAAAAATGTTAAACTAACGTGTTAATCCTTTTAATTCCACCTATTATTCCACGACTCCAAAATGAAAATGACAAAAAAAAACTTACCCCCACCTACTCCTTCCTACTACCTTCTTACCCCACACTCAATCCTCTTGTCCCTCGTCCTTCTTCTTCACTCCCGTTCCCCCTTTCCAATGCAGGGCCGTGACTGGGAAAAAGTTTATCTTTGTGCCAAACCCTGCTAACTCATACGCATCTTCGTAAGCATCTGGGAACAGCGACAGACTTGCTTAATTGCGATCTAACCTTTATTCGAGAATATACGTTATTATTTCAAGACCGTGTCGAGAGTCGCTATTCGAGGAACCTCCTTTTACTTTTAAGAAAAAAAATTTAAATGGAACTCATCGTATATGATGTACTTGCGTTCATGACTTTCACGAGCGGTATAACTTTTAGTTTCATTTGGATGTTTAATTGTCGACTTTACGTTTTTCCAGAATATCGACCGCGCCGCGCCAAAGGGAAAGAGAGATCGAGTATGGCTATATTAGATCTAACGTGCTTTGGTATGACTTCCAATATCAGGGAACAGAGATATACATATAGTTTATTGCCAATATATTGGAGGATTCTAATGTTTTTTTTTATTCGCCATTCTTTTAGCATACTTGTAGGAGCTCGACAGAAATGTTTAGGGAGTTCAGGAGAAAATTATTAAAAAGAAAAAAAAAAGATGCAAACGACAGCTTCCGTAGTTTAATTTGTCACGATACTAAAAAAAAATTGTACTCGTATAATAGACAAAGATTCTTTCTTTTTTTTTTTTTAAGAGATAGAGATAGATGTCACTTTGCCTGTGGCACGGAACAAAGTGTATCGAAGAAGACGTTACAAATTAAGAATGTTTTGTCTCATGGAAAGGAAAAAAAAAAGAGTAGGTTTCATTTATTACGTTTTTATTCTCATTTATGCCTTTTGAAAGAAAATCAATTTATGATACTTAAGCTATATCTCAGTCGTGTAATTATTGTAAAGTAATAGGGGTACTAGGAATATTCAATTTAGCATAATATCGATGTTCCAGTATGTTACACCTCATAATATGTGGAACAAGAAATGATATCAATATACTTCACGAAATACGAATTAAAAGTGTATTTTCGAAAATTTACGTAGAAGGAATGTGCTTCGGTTTTCGCCAGGTAACAGGATACGTCAGATCCCAGTTACAGGGATTAGGTTACGCGGAGAGACGAAAACGACGGTAAAATGACTTGGTTGACGTAAGAGATAATTCGAGTGAAAAATTCTGATGTCGAGGTAAAGAAGAAAAAAAATGTACGCTGGGCTCCTCTCGAAATATAAAATATCCAACGACGGAAACCAATACGGTACCTCAGCGAGAAAACGTTCACGCGTTACGATTATAAAATTGTAAATTGCGTGCACGCGATCTTACCCGGAATGGCACTGTCGCCATCTTGATTTAATCGTGAGAATTAGTGAAATAATTGTCGCGATTAAATTCTAGTCTCTGTTGGAGGAAGCTTTGTAAATTCTCTCTCGATAATCAACGACAGAGACATCAGATTAAATCCCTGTATATCGATATTCTGGAAGATCTTCGTGCGACACTTTAAATTCGCGTTTAACCGAGTGAAATTGTAATTGTTGCGCTGTTCGACGACACCTCATTACGGCACTGTTTTATTTTAAGGTCGTTACGAGAGATAACATATTTAGAATTATGCTTTGGCAAGTAACATAAGAGATGTCAGGAAAAATGGTATTTGAGCACACAATTAAGTGCCTCAAGTGTTGTGTATATTACAGGAGCTTGGCTTTAGATGTTATACGATTATATGTACCTATACATTATAGTAAAGAGCGCATATGATATATTTGTTACTGATATGCGTGCAGAATTAAGGTAATGGATGCTAAAACTAAACAACAAAAAAACCCAATCTCCTGAATCACGAAGAATTATTGTCGTATGTAATTAATACTTTAAGTTGAATGCGCTGCCTTCTTTTAATTTCACTCTCTCCTTTTTTTTTGTATTTTACGCGATCAGCAACAATGCCGCAGATACGACGAGACATGGTTAATTTGTATTTGTCGCCGACGAACCGATTAATAATATTAATTACTTCAGTTTGTAAGTTGGTGCTGTAGACGGTTAATTGTAAAACTATGCGTCTTGGTTTTGGCCCTGTTCTTTCTCGCATTAAAGATCAGAAAAAGTCTACATAACCTCACAGATAAGTTGCGTGCGTAATCGATCGATCAGATTTGCATACACATCCAAAAGTTGTACCATGACCTTTTAATTGGTAAATCGACATTTAAACTAGCCTCCACGATCGAGGCAGTGCTATGCTTTATTCGATTGGATTATTTTCTTTGTCAAGGTCACGAAGGTTGCCAGAGAACTTTAATGGACTCTCTGCACAACCCGATTTGCATGAAATTTATCTACTCGCAAATGCGTTTTACCAATGAAAAGAATGGGCCGGCCTTAATTGTACGAAAATCTAAAAAAAAAGTAGTATTGGCGAAGAATTGTCAGCATTTCTCGAACTTTTTTCATTTAATATCAATGATAAGCCATGAGCGACAGAGCGAACGAAAAATTTCATCTATCGTCGCGTATATATATATATATATCGTCGTTTCGAGGATGGTAAATTTATGATGCGTGCTAGTATATTTAATTTTGCAATTAATTGACATTCGAAAAGTCGAAAATACGATTGTCCGTATCGTGGACACTCTCTTTACTAAGCACGTAACGTAACGTGGCACCAAAATGGATTATAAGCGTACGACCATGTTAAAGATACGATGACCAACAACGTGACATTACCTTAGCCTTGGATCTAACGTTTAACAAGAAAAGTGAAATGTTAATTTTCACGAAAAACTAATTTTAAGGATTTGTATCTTTCTACGTTAATGCGTGCACGTGTCACTTGTATTGCATTCGGATTTAAGATAGTTCTTGCTCTTCTATTGGAAATAAATTGCATACGATTGAGAAATCAATGTGTGGAGCGTATATCAATGATCGTGGTCGCAGGGATGTTTGTATATACGATATGAGGAACGTAAATAAGTACGTGGGTAATATATATTAATTTTTTTTTCTTTCTCCATAGATCCAAGGTGTAGGAATTCCGCTTGATCGGTACTAAGTTATTCGAAAGTAAATGCAGAGTAGGGAACTAACCTAAGCATATTGTCACAGAATTCTCTCCCTTTACGATCCATCAACAATATTGTGGCTGGTAATATTTAGTTACTCGATAAATCAGCATAAACTGTGATTAGATACAAAACAAAGTAAATCCACGAGAAAAAAAAAAGAAATACGATGTAATGTACAATGTAATGTTTGTTTGGTAGGCTGCGGGTCTACAAAGTCTGATTTTTTTAACTACTACGAGAATGTGTATTATAATATGGTCTACGACGTTTGTTTATTACTATGTAAAGTGACAGATTTCAAAATTAAACATTAATTACTGTTATTCGTTTTACTTTTTATTTTCTGTACTTACGGGGTTGCTTGAATCGTTATTTGGTACTCTTTGCCGCCGCGTTTCTTAATTTCTCGAATTTTTCTTTAGTTTTCATTACTTTTTTGTTGGTCGCGTGCTGCCAAACGTACAAACATATTTTAGAATTAGTGCGGCCTAGCATTACAAGACAGTGCATTACGAAGAGATGCTGGAAACTATTTCGAATCTGTCTTTACCTATTAAAAATCTATAGTTTTGTGCACGAGGTTTGAATCAGGGCATATACTGGAAACTGCCGATATTCTTAACAAGTGAGACTGACTGTAATTTCACTAGACGCAAATTAGTTGTCTTCGTCTGTAAAATCCCAAAATTCTTTCGACACGACGCCAATCTTTTAATTTGATGCGTAAAGTGCCCATTTGAAAATGGGCACAGCTATTGATAATTTAAGAATTAGAATTTACTCCAATCGCTCTTTATTCAAATATTAACAATTTAATTAAGAACCGCCTCCCCGCTCCCTATCGTGAAAAATAAATAAAAGAACTAAGAGAATGAACGAAATTATATCTCAAAGGTGTGTGCAAACTTTTCAAACGATCAAAATGGTATGTTGCCATCGTTTCGATATTCAAGTCTGGATTGTAATTAACATCTTGTAAACTAATCAAACGTAACGTTGTGTGACTCTTCGAATAATTATCGAAATCTCCAATTTGGTGTATAACTGTTATGCGAATGCAATGCTATTGAAACATTTAAAGAGCTCTAAACGGATTATTAAATTTAGAAGAAAAAAATAATAAAACGTAAATGAAGGTAATTGCCGGAGTAATAGTCCTCGTTACTTAATTACGTGTAATGTAACGTTATACGAATTGGACAAAGTTGTCATTCACAGTTACGAATAACGTATACTAGGAGTGCATTATCAAAATGATCGTATCGTTTCGTATTTTTCGAGATATAACGATAAACAATTCAGAGGTTAGAAATTGTAATTGGTTCTATACGCTCCACTTTCTAACGTAGCTGCTGCTAACTTTGTTCGTCTTATCGGTATTTCCATTTTAATTGCTACGACCAGCTTTACGTTTTGTCATAAGTCGACCGTGGAAACTAATGTATCATTAAAGAAACGATAACGTAGTCGGCAGTAATAATGTTCCTTTGAAACAATTAACTACTGCTTAATAACAATATTAGCAATGCCATTTTTTACTTATATAATAGTCTATCTGTACAATAGAATTCGTATAACGTGCAAACATATAAGACAAATCTTTCAAAATTGTACAATTCATTTGTGCTCAGTCAAAGAGAAGAGATCTGTTTAGCTCTGTGTTCGATTGATGTATACCATTTTTTTTCCTTTTATCTCTATCTCTTTCGCCGGTATGCACTTTCCTAGAGTACACGATATAGTATTATGCTAGAATTATTTTGTAAAAATAAAGAATGATCGTCTCGACTCATGAGCGTCAATATATACATAATGGCCAATCAAAGTGGCTTATGAATAAACTTTGTACCGTTAACTTATAGCGAATGCTAACAATAAGCACCACGATAAAAACCATCCAAACCTTTTCTGAAGATGAGAGGAATGCTGCTTTTAAATCAGCCATTTTTATGGATGATGACAGAATGGATAGAAACAGAAGATATATTGAATTAAACTATTACATGGCAAATAGAGCCCAATCTGTTAATTTGAATTTTCTATTACCACTCATTCGGCCATGAACAATATTTACGTTTATAATCATTTTCTTATTACCGTTGCCACTGCATGCAGTTTATATTATGGTCATGGTCGTATATTATCATTTTCATTCTCTTTGTTATTGATGATTAATAAAAACGATTGATAAAAGCAAGATTAAAGAATCTTGCAATGTAAATGACAAAAGTATTTATTCGGTATTTATTATGAGACTCGTATAACCGTTTATATCTACCGTGGCTGATTTTACTGTACGTTCAGTGCCTTTTTAGTACACGGCCAAAGCTCATTATGACAATGTATATTCATATTCTTGCCATCTCAGCTCTTTAGACATAAACAAAATAAGCTCATGGCAATAATTGCCGAAACCTCCCCAAGCTCGTATTGTATGCGTTAATCAATAACGCAACTGATGATTGAAAAGATTTTTTAAAATATCAGCATTTCCCTTCATATTAGATTGGCGGATAGGACGACAACTGCAGACAAAGTCAAACGGAAGGTTCAAATAGTTTGCATTCAGTTAACAGTAAGAATACACATATTTTTATAACTTTGTTTCGATATCGACAACATTGCTTATGGAGCGTACGTGAAAATGTGTATGAATGTTATATGGGCTATTGTTGTACACTAAAGTAACGTATAAAGAGGTATTGAATTAATTCGACAGCAAAAAAATTTAAACGGAATAGCTATGTATACTACTCAAACGACGAGATATAAAAAAAATCGCAGCTCATCGAGTACATATACGTTTGTGACTGCAAAGATTTTTGGTGTACCTATAATGATATAAATGTATATAAAAGGTTTATCCATTGCGCCCAAAATATGGTTAGAGCCTACTTTGTACATAATATAAATAATATAAATAAATCGATATACATACCTAGCCTAACAGTGTGTTTTTAAGTACAAACCATTTTTTTTACCCAAAGAAACTTGTTACTTAAAAACTGTGACGTTACTGATAATCATAGGTCACATACGTGAAATCACTATCTTTTTTATTATGAATATTATTGACGATTCTGTACAGTATTAAATTAGGTTAATACAAGGTGATAGTATTTAACTTTGTAGGAAACTGTACATCCAATTCGCGAAACTCAAAGGCACACTGATTACGTTCCACTTTATGATCCAACTCGTGGTAAAGTAAACTTTGCAGGTACAATGTGTTCTTGACTCTACCAAGTGCTTCGACTTTATTAAAATGATCCTTTGCTTTCGACAACGCCTTAATGGCTTCTTGTACTGCGGATTTTCTTATGCTGTTGGAACTTGCTGGAGCTGTGGCAACTAAACACTTAGCATAGAGAACAAAAGCTCTGCCTTGATCATAGCATCCACCGTGGCTCAGTATTTCAATAATGGCATTATCAACTAAGCGCATTGCTTGACTCGGCATGCCCATTACTAACTACAAATCAGTTAATTAATGATATTAATAAGTTATTTCTGTACATTGAAAAACACATACTCACTTGTATATTAGCAAGATGCATTTCAAGCAAGGCTTTGTAGTAAGATAAATGATGTCGAACAGCTATATCTAAGGCTGAGTTAAGAAGCACTAAGGAATTTGATCCAGCTATTCCACTTCCTGGCAATATCGACGCACACATTATTTGGCTTGACAGTATCATTGCTCGTACTTTATTTTGTGGCGTTATGTTGTCTGTCTTTTCAATAGTGCTGATGTATTCAAGTCCTTTTGGATAGTCGCCTTTAGCTAAGCAGACTTCAGCTTGCCTAATATATTTTAAATAATTGTTAATATAAGTATGTTACCAGTAGACGAGTAATATTATGAACTGATGTTTACCTAAATTTACTTTCTAATGGATCCAAACTCGATATTTGCATAGCTATGGCTTCAGCTTCGCTCCATTTTTCATGTCTCATCGATTGAACAAACTCGTAAAGTTGTTCACTTAACATCCAGATCTGAAATTAATTGTATATTGATACTATTATGAGTTTTGATTCATTTTTAAACAAATTATCTCGTATATGCTTACCTTATTACTTGGCTCATTGGGGAATCTTTCTTTGGCGTGGGATAATACAACATTAACTAAATTGTACTCTCCAAACTCAACTAAAATATTTGCTATAGTAACGACTGCTTGACACGTCGAAGGTCCATTGAACATATGCTCCTTTTTATCACCACTATTGTGAAGAAGTAACAATTGAGCACATATCGATGACATTTCAGTCTTACCATAGTAAGCCCACAATGCTGCCTTTTCGGCATAAGTCATAGACATGAGATCTACCATCGAGTGCTGACAGTTCAACACATCTGATTTGATCAGAATCTAAATAACATTAAAGCTTGTAATGTAATCTAATTAACCCTTCCCAATCACGACTATAAAATCTACAGTGCACATTAATATATCGTATTACCTCAAATACTTGGCAAGGATTTTTTCCTTCTAATGCGGAGTGATGAGCTGATGCTATGAGTCCAAGACTCGTCGTATGAGTAATTCCTAGCATACTTGCTTTTCCAACAGATCGCTCGATTAGGAGACCTCTGTAATAGTATAGATTCTTATTAAGAAAAATAATATTATGCAGTAATGGGGAGATCGTACTTCTGTTGATTTGTTAAGCGATATATCCAAGCATGTGCATGCTGCAGGCACACATTATCGCCAGCTTCTTGAGCCAACATAATTGCTTCCTTTAATGCAGACTTGGCAACTTCTCTGAGAAAAGTTATGTTGATTAAAATATCATACATTTTAGTGTTTATAATATGATAACTTACTTGTGACCAAACTGAGCATGTAACGCAGCTAAATTTAGAGCTGCATAACGAAATGTTCGAGATCCATCTTCAGGAGCAGATCTACTTTCTAAAGGCGCAAACCTGTCGAAGCAATGATAAAGGCTATCCAACGCTCCGCAATATTCGTTCACTCGTAAGCAGTTTAGGTAACTCAAATAATGCTGAAAGTTATAAAGATAAGTTACATTTGAATCATACTTACTATATTCAATATTAAAATAATATTGCATACAGCTTCTGCATAATATGGACTACATTGAAGAAGTTCATGGACAAAAGCTTGAAGCTCCTTAGGAGACAAAGCTTTCTGCTCATCTGTCTGCAATGCATGTGCCTGTTGAGCCACAAGCAGCTCCGCTTGTCTTCCACCCCAAATGTATCTGTCTCTAATAAAACATATTTTAAATGATATTACATTTTTTGGAAATATGATTAAATACCTCTTACGCGAGTCTTTGCATACTTTGAACTTTCAGATTCATCCATCTTTGACTTTGTAGATAGCCTTGACGTGTCAATGTACTTTTCTATATACTTCCATAATGCATTATAGAGTGTTACCACCTGGTAAAATGTCAATTTTTCAAACAAAACAATAACACGTCGGACATACAATCCAAGAACAGAATTCTTATTGAGAGCAGGTAAAGAAAGAGAGTGGTCCAAAGCAGGTTTCGTCAGACGACCAAGACTATCAAATAAATCCAATAAACCCTCAATTTCTTTCGATGCCAATTCACATAAATGAGTATCTAGGTGACGACCGATACGTTGTAGAACATATTCTGGTGAATTAAGTATATTCAATAAACTCGACAAATCCATATCTGGAGACTGAAAAAATGACAAACACAAACATTTAATACAAATGAAATATAAAATATTTTTTATTCAGTATTCACTAATTACCTGTATAAGTTTCAATGCTACTATGCAAAAATCCCGTCTCTCCAATATAGCTAAAAAAAATGAATACAATTTCAATTTTAAATATTTTACTTAATTACATTCTATACCTTTTTCTCGGTCCATGCAATACTCTCTAATTAACATGACAACTGCTATTTTATACGGCGTAAGTATTTCCCTTTGTGGTTTCTTTAAATTTGCATCAATATTTGTTAAATCTTGATGCATAATTATAGAAATATTTTATGTTTGAAAAAACCAGTTGATACCGCAAGAGCCGGCTGTCATTAGGATGCATAAAGGCGATTATTCATGTGAACCGGAGATGAGTAAGGAGATTGCCAATGAGCTGATTTTCATGGTCCAAGTTTTATTTCGGCGTGGATGCGCCACCTAAGCGGTGGACCCTCGAACCAGTCTCCCGTTTATGATTAGTCGAGTATATATAGTAATACTACGCGTCATATTCGTATCCGTAGCTCCGTGAGACGCATGGATTTATGTCGGGTGGCACTCAGTGCTTGGTCCACAAAAATCGGCTCATTTGCAATCTCCCTACTTATCTCAGTGTCAACGATGCAAGAAACTTTTCATAAGAAAACCTTGGACAGATACAGTTGGACAAACTCATTTGGCGAACACACGGAAATTCATTCGTATATAACTTGTACCGGCAACTACAATTGCTGATTCAGTGAAAACTCGCCCTCGTCGTGCTGCCCCTCAGTAATGCACCGACAAACTAAATAATCGACGTCAAAGCTGTCAAATATGGCGAGAGCAACGAAATGTAATTGACATGTAAAAATGTGAATAGGCGCCGTCATAGTGATTTGTGATTGAAAGTGGCACCGTGATGTGCTCGTTAGAACGTGTATAATGTAAAAGCGAAATAGCGCGCCGGAAGTGGATGTGTAAGGTACTCGTCCTCGGCATATTTGCGGCCGGGGCGGAATATAAGGGCATGTTAATCGAAGAACTATGGGTGCCCAACAGACTAAAGACAGAGTGATTCCTGCCGGGTCTGCAATACGACAAACTCGGAAACAACCGAGGAACCCCAAGGAGTCTCGTATTATCGGATCGAACATTTTCACCGAGCACAGCGGTAAATTTTATCAATGCTTTATTAATGCCCTTTCGCCGCATATTCCATTTCTTTTTCTCGCACTTTGTTCCGGAATACGATCTCGATGAGGCTGCATTTAGCTCAGGTTAGATTATCGAGGAGCCATTGCGTGTAATCGATACAGCATTAATTAAAATGCCGACTACATTAACCAACACGAACAGGAAGTACATTCTTTCCTTGCCCCCTCCCCCCTTATTGCCATATCTATTCATTTTCCCATGGGGCACTGTGCGTGCTCCATGATGGTAGGTGGCTATTTTTGAAACGTCCTGTACCAAGTTTATCAATGAAACGGAAGGTCTTCTATCAGTTTTTGCCCTCTTTTAAAAATTACATCAACATTATCAATAATTCTTTATTGAGAAACGTTTGTCAGCCTTTTTTATGTTAGAGTGTTGCATTCATATTTTACTATAGATAATGATGGTAGTGATTATAGATACTGATCAGTGATTCATTCAAGTCATATCCACCATTTGTATTGATAGTTTGATTGTTTGTTATCAGTGTAGCTGATAGATGTATATATTGGAGCTGCTTGTCAAACTTCTGCCTCTTTATTACTGCAAGAAATTTCCTTATAAATTCGCATTTAAATGTGATATGCTTTTTTTTCTTATCAGAGGCACTTCTGCAAAGTAGACCTCTACCTCATATCCCTGCATTGCCTGAAGGAGATCCTCCTAGTGGCTCAAGTGCTCAATCAATTTCTCAACAACCCAATCTTCAGCAACATGCCAGTGTATCCAGTAGTGGACTTCTGGAAGCTGCCAATAGGTAAATAGATAAATTATTTTTTTTTATTATTTAATTTTATGATAAGTTCATATAAAGTTTTATCACAGTGTCAGACAAAAAAATCATACTGTATTTGAGAAATATTGAAAAATTTATTATGGAATCAGATTCACTGCACAAATTTTTTTATTCCTTTAAACATATGGTTCCATAACCATACAACGGGCACCAAATTTCTTCTTGAGGTATTTGAGAAAATTTTATCTTATAACAGGTGGACAAGCAAAGAAAATCTCTTAGCACAGGAAGAAGACGATCCGCAGTTATTCGTAGCTCTTTATGATTTTCAAGCTGGTGGGGAGAATCAGCTTAGTTTAAAAAAAGGTATATTAGACTTGTTTTAGAACGGCTTCTGCATGTATCCAAGTAGTAGCTTGTCCTGTGCCCTTGTACCGTAGAGTATAAGTAGTTCTGAAGTCTGTATAACAAACTGTATAACTAAAAATGTTTTAATTCAGGGGAACAAGTTCGTATATTAAGTTATAACAAAAGTGGAGAATGGTGCGAAGCTCATTCAAGTACTGGCCAAGTAGGCTGGGTTCCATCTAATTACGTCACCCCTGTAAATTCTCTGGAAAAACACTCTTGGTATCATGGAAGAATATCAAGAAATGCTGCTGAATATTTGTTGAGCTCTGGCATAAATGGCAGTTTCCTCGTTCGAGAATCAGAGAGTAGTCCTGGACAGCGTAGCATTTCTTTAAGATACGAGGGCCGGGTTTATCATTACAGAATTAATGAGGACAGCGATGGAAAGGTTAGTTACTTATACTCTGTAGAAAGACGATTAAACAAAGCCGATTTTCCTTACACATTCTGTAATTGCAGATGTACGTTACGACAGAGAGTAAGTTTAATACCTTGGCCGAGCTGGTGCATCATCATTCTATGCTAGCGGATGGCCTCATTACCCAGTTACTATATCCAGCACCGAAACATAATAAACCAACAGTCTTTCCTCTTAGTCCAGGTAGAGCTTTTGCTCGATATAAATAATATTGTATTTGATAATTTTTAAATTATGTGGTCATATCTTACTTTGCAGAGCCAGATGAATGGGAAATCAATAGAACGGATATCGTAATGAGGCATAAGTTAGGTGGAGGACAATATGGTGACGTATACGAAGCTGTATGGAAGAGATATAATATGACAGTAGCTGTAAAAACATTAAAGGTACTAGAGTCGTCTAATTTTTTTTTAATACTGCACCTCATTACACGATCTTCCATTTAAGTTTATTTCTTCCTGTAGGAAGATACCATGGCACTCAAAGACTTTTTAGAAGAAGCTGCGATTATGAAAGAAATGAAACATAGGAATTTAGTGCAATTACTAGGGGTTTGCACACGAGAACCTCCATTTTATATTATAACAGAATTCATGAGCAAAGGAAATCTGTTGGATTATTTACGCAATGAAAGCAAGCACCAGATAAATGCCGTTGTCTTGATGCACATGGCTACACAGATCGCAAGTGGCATGAGTTATTTAGAAAGTCGAAATTTCATTCACAGGTATGTCTGGCAAATCAAGTCAAAATATATGTGAAATAAAAAATCAAACCTTTTAATAATCTCCTATCCACTTTCAGAGATCTGGCTGCACGAAATTGTCTTGTCGGTGAAAATCATCTGGTAAAAGTCGCAGATTTTGGTTTAGCTCGTCTCATGAGAGATGATACATATACTGCTCATGCTGGTGCCAAATTTCCAATAAAATGGACAGCCCCCGAGGGGCTGGCTTACAATAAATTTTCGACTAAGGTAACATATCGATGCATATATCTATCCTTGGTGGATATAATGAAGTCTCAACATGTCTTGTTATCTTTGCAGTCTGATGTATGGGCATTTGGGATATTATTATGGGAGATAGCAACGTATGGTATGTCTCCATATCCTGGTGTCGATCTAACGGACGTCTACCACATGCTAGAGAAGGGCTACAGAATGGAGTGTCCTCCTGGCTGCCCACCGAAAGTCTATGAATTGATGCGTCAATGTTGGCAATGGTCTGCCTCTGAGCGTCCCACCTTCAAGGAAATACATCATTCCTTGGAAAATATGTTTCAAGAGTCCAGTATTACAGAGGGTAATATTTCCGATATATCTATTTGAAAATCTTAGCAAATTCCTAAAGAAAACCCTATGTCAACGTAAGAACATTATTAAGAATATATATTTGTTATTTACTCCAGAGGTAGAGAAACAGCTACAAGGTGGCGGTGAGATTCCTTTGTTATCCTACAAGAAGACGCAGACAGGGAGCACAGGGAATATACACGGTTTAGTGCTCGTATCGGATCAATTGTCTACATCAGGTTTAACTCAAGGTAAGAATCTGAAATAGTCTCTATTATAGTTTTCTGACCGTCTTTCTTTTAATGAAGTAATTTATTGTAGACGGCGTAAGTACGATTAATAAGCTAAGTACTTTCATGGGAGGACTCTCGAGCAAAAGCAACAGCAATATTGTTCAAATGCGACGTTCCACAAATAAGAAAGGAAAACAGGCCCCAGCTCCACCGAAACGTACCAGGTATTTATATCATCTTACGCAAACTAATAAAGCAGTAAAAAAATCTGTCATATCGACCTTGTCTAGTGCACAACATGTTAAAATATACATTTTACTTTATTACTGTTACAGTCTACTCTCGTCATGCAGCTCTTTCCGGGACTCTGCCTACCAGGAACAGGACCAACAGAGTACTGACGTAAGCGCGGTGACACTTGATGATGGCACAGATCTAAATGGTATTGATAAGATTTTTGAAGGTATTCCAATACACCAATTAAGCGTAATGACGTATGCACGTGCTGCTTTTATTAGTTTTTTTCTGTATTTCAATTTGGTTTGACTTGACTTTCATTTTGCATATCATACAGCGAATCGAAGCTTAATGTACGTGGGTCATTCTCCTGGAATCGAACCGTTCAATACGTATGTCAAAGAATGCGTCAAATCTTCGGATTAATTGACAAGTTATCATAACTCCCTGAACGTTGTATCGATGTACAACTATAAGCCGATGCATTGTATAAGAGTCGTACGCTGTTGCGAACACGACCGTTGCCTTAAGTACTATTACTTGAAAGCTAAGCATATTCCATCATTATTTTATTCGAATCTTACTTTCCATCGAATGAAGAGGATATGTATATTTCTGCATGATGTAACAATTAGTTCAAACGGTAGATCAAACTTGTCATTTTCTTATGGGTATTACACGTGTCATTATTATCTTCTGTTTATCTCCTTATTTCGTTAAAGATTTTCTATACGTTCAAGCAGTGTTACGTGAGTTTACTAACGGTCCTGTACACTGATGAATTTTACATATGGGAAAAGTCGTGCAATATTATTGTCCATTTCAATTTACATCTAGTAAATCTTGAGGTTGATATTATAATTGGTAATAACACAGTCCGTCAAGTATATCAATATAGAAAATAATGATATTGAAGCCATTTGGCTATTTAAATTGCCCGCTCATCGCAGAGTCATACAATGCTACTAGTGGTTCGTTAGAATATTTGAATAATGAATTTCAGAATAATTACGGGGATAAATAAATAGTACGGAGAATGACCCATACACGATTGGATATTGCGTGCAGCCTATAATCTCTGAATACTATCCAGTACTAATAAGTACTAATATACGCATTCAAGAAAAGCCGCACTCTACTCTGAAATCTGTCATAAACGCAAAATCATACATACACCCGCCTCTGTATTCATACTTATTTCATCGAAGCATTGCTATTGATGTCGACGATTTATCGTTCACACTGTTTCTCTATTGAATGACAACTCAGGTATCACGCGAGATCTCGTGACAATGGCCACACAGTCAATTACCACAGGAGGTTGCGAGGCGGACGACGATGGAGATGGGTCTCAGGGAACAGCCGAGGGGAATTTCCCACCTCAGCCATCCACCTCGCCAGAACCTGTATCCAACTTACAGTGCAATCAGAAACAAATTAAAACACGACCCTACCCGTCTAAGGAAGTACTACCGCAGAAGGTATAATGGTATTGCGTGATGTCGACAGGGCTTGTGACGCGTAGTTGTAGTCAGACGGCAAAGAATCGCCGCACCTGACAGTCCCAGTTATTCCGAATACGTCTACCGAGTTATTTGACAATTGATTAAGAGTACGTTTGACGGTAAATGCATATAGCACTGCTTGAATAGTCCTCTGAGATCACTCGAGTGCTGCCGCCACAGGATTCCGCTTTGTTTCAGTTGGTGCACGTGGGAGCCCTGGAGGTGCAAAACGTTAAAAGGGCTATCAATCGCTACGGTACCCTGCCGAAGGGTGCTAGAATTGGTGCCTACCTGGAATCTCTTCGACAGAGTGGATTGCCTTCTAATCAGGAAGGTGTCGCCGTGGCGTCCCCACTCTCCGGTGCCGTGGAGCATCACGAAATCGCCAGCTCCGTGGATACACCTCAGCATCGCTCTCTTTCACCCCGTCAAAACAATCTACGCAATCAGCCGCAAATGACACGCAGTAACTCTTCAAGTGGTGTGGTAAGCACCTATCAACCGCCTAATTCGCCAAGAAGCAGGGCTGTAGCTGCTAGGAAGAACAACACTGAGAGTATTGGCCTGAGGACCTTCCGCGCACCTAATACATCCACCTTTAGAACTGCCAGTCCCTCGAGATCGGTACAGCCTACATTGGCTGATTTGGAATTTCCACCGCCACCGTTGGACTTGCCACCTCCACCTAACGAACTATTCCCACCCGTGGATCAATGTGATTTACCTCCTCCTGTGACAGCATCACCAAGTGGCGATACTCATATGAAGATTACAGGATCGCCTGTAGGTATCAGAAAGGTGAAAACAGAATGGAAGTCTAAGGACGATGCTACAGATGACCAGGAAGAGAGAAATAGTGACGTAAGGAATGTGGAACCTTCTGTAAAGGAAGCTAGTTCGCGATTTGGAGTCAGTCTCAGACGTCGGGAACCTTCTGGTGAAGTACCCTGTAACGCTGGTAAGCCAAGTGACGATAAAAAAGTCCCGTACAGAGCTAAGGAACCTAATCCAAATACTAAAATGGAAATAACCGCTCCTATTTCTCCTCCTGACGAAGCACCACCTCCACCGCCTTTGCCTCCACCGCCGCTATCTTCAGATAACATCGCGAGTACATTTAATTCAAAGCCGGGAATGAAGGAGATGCTAGAATTAAAGCTCATAAATGAAATAAAGCAAAGTGCTGACATGAAACATGGCAGTTTAACTAAAAAAGTCAATGCTTCTCACAGTACAACTTCAGTACCCCTTGACCCCGCCTCACAATTGCTCTCTGAATTATGCGCTAGCTTCAGCATGGACGCTAACAAGCACACGTTTCAAAATGAATATGCAATCTCCACATTGAAGATCACAGACAGTTCCACTGTACCCCAGGAACATCATTTATCCGGTCAAAGTGCTCCTGAGAAGTATGGATCCTACAAAGAAGTGCATGCAGCTTTACCGATAACTGAAGGCATCCTGAATACCGGAAACGTGGGCTTCAAATTGAAGCGAGTGGATAAGAGAACTAATACCCAGAAGGAGGAAAACGTAGATGGTCAAATAATCGATTTCAAAGCTCGACTACGAAAGGTGGACAACGTCGAGAAGCCTGCAGAAGAAAAGGGAACTAAGCGTTTCGAAGAAGTCAGCAGTGGTATTACAGACTCCACAGAATCCATGACGGACGATCCGGCAGACGATAAACGTCGAAGCACGGGAAGTATCAGTAGCTTGAAAAAGCTGTGGGAAAATAAAGAAGCTACTGGTGATAATCAACCACTGAGTCCTAAGTTAAGTACGAGAGGTGCAAGTAAGCAGGATATCGTTGATCCTGGTGAGGATTCTCCAGAAGATCATAGCGGTGCATCTACTCGTAGTTCAACAAGTAAAGAATACTCAAGAGTATGGCCTCCTGCAGCATCTGTCGAAGTGGAGAAACCTGTTGTCCCAGCTAAACCACCAAAAGCCCTGGTGTCTTCGAGTAAGCATTTTGCATCTTCTATATACGCAACGCCAAATTGTAACAAGCCACAGACTGAGGAAGAGACTGCAAAGCAGGCTGCCGAATCTAAGGGTGCAAAGCACAACGTGATGGAAATTTCAAACGTGATTGAAACCAGTATCTTAAATCTTAAAGGGAGCCCCACTATAATAATGGCTAGTTGGCTTCAGCTGTCCGACAAAGTAGGCTTACTTCATGGGATGTGTGTCAATCTCACGGACACTGCTATAGCGCCTCACGCGAGGTTTCAATTTCGCGACCTGCTCACCCGTTTGGAATTGCAAGCGAGACAATTGCGAGCTGCCGGTACACGCAATATCATAGAGAACACAAGACTACTGAGTGAGGTTCAAAACACGATAAAGGACGTAATGAACACGGTACAGAGATAAAGAATCACGTTCGATGGCAAAGAAATCAAAAGCGAAGTTACGTATTTCCTTATTGAGTTTCTGTGGGGAGACGAAAGTATATGTAACCTGATCCGAAGAGGTACTTGCTGCAACTAGGGTGAATAAAATAATTGAGATCGCACTTTAATAGATATACATATATTAAAAGATGAACAATTTTATTCGAACAAGGTGAAATTGTTCTGTAATCGAATATTACGTTTTGATTGATATCCTCTTAAACACAATTATGTACTCAAATACTGCTATTCAGTCAGTTCTCTCGTATCAGTGCGTTAAAAAGTATCTTAATTGTACAGGGTGTTTCATTTAACGAGTCTAATAGGATTGTGGCTTCACCCGAGCGGTCACGTCCATGTATCCCCATTACTCTGTACTCTTACAGTATCACGAGGTCAGAAGTTCAGTCTCATTTTCCATTTCTTAGTCGAATTGAAATCTCCCAAATAATGAGGAAGCACAGGTGTACTTTCTTAATACGAAGCCATAACCTTGTTGGGCGTCTTAGACGGAACATCCTGTATAAAAGCATAATGCTTGTAAAAATGTCATCTTGTCCTTTAAACCCATCCGTTTTGGATACTCCTAAATCTGCAGCTGTTCTAACTCAAAGCTGATTATTCGATTCACCCTATATGTAGGTACACACATATATATATTTATATATGTATCCAAGTCATTAGCGAGATCCCTCAAAAGACTATTCCCTCTATTTCTGAATCTCTGTTTTTCCGGTATCCTGTTACTCTCTATCTCATGGATCACAGACATCGCGTTTGTAGCGACATCGAATAACTAATGTGAATAAATTTTACGAATAATGATTTTTCAAAACGTAATTATTCTATAACGAGTATTATTCTTCGTATTAGAAAGCGGAGGTGTCTCCGGTCTCAAGTTAAATCTACCAAAAAGTAGCTGTTCGTTGCCATGTGGTAAACGGAAGGATGGATCATGCTATTTCATGTATTTCGTACGCGATCATTAATCACATTTGTTTCGATAATTGACATGCAAATTGTACACTATATTATATTCAAAGTACAAAGGAGATACTTGGCTTCGAAATTTTCAATCAGAATTTATTGATCATGGTGCAATAAATGCATTTGGGCCTGGAGACATGGCCTTATCATATATACATTCTGCATGGTCTGAACCAGCTTTAAGGGAAAATTCAAAGCTATACTATGCAATAGTAAATATGAAATTTACAATTAATCAGAATGAATGTAGTGTGCCGGCATGAAGGGGTTTATCAAGATGCGATTTAGATACGTGAATAAACAAAAAAAAATGAGAAATAAAATAATACGCGAATGCATCGAAGCATCATGAAGACACAAAGCCATTTTAAATTGCTAGGTATTAATTTTTCAATTAAGTTGCTTACCTATCATACCACCATCTCATTTTACATGTAATTTTATACACATCACGAATATTGCTTAGTATATACGATACGCGAGATTTTAGACTAGATTATAAATACGAAAGTTACTGTTAAGTCATTTTATGTGTACCGTGGGACAATATAACAATTTTGTATTTGTATAGAACAAGTTGTATAACGGCTATATTAATTGTACGCCTATATGAATTATCCAGAACATGAAGCAAATTCAATGTGACTAATCGGAATTTTAAGTGTCGTGTGCTCCATTTTGCACCGAGGGATTATATGCGAAGGTTCTTCCAAGTCGTGTGCTAGAAGACTGGATTTGGAAACTTCCATGGGACTCTTTCTGTCAGTATCAGACTGTTTGGAATATCAAGACGTAAATACAGTTTGTGGAAAAGTGAACGGATAATAATTGCATGGGAGTTTTCAAGTGTATGTTTTTGCTAAGACTGCGCTACGCGTTAAGGCGAATGCAATAGAACTGGATTAAAAGGAAAAAAAAGAAAATATCATCGATGAAATTCTACTTCTTATGACACTGCCTATATTACATGTTAACAGCTAAGTAGTACAGTATTGAATTCGTCGATATCCTAAGGACTATAAAAACGGCAAATTCGGCACAGTATCCCAGTTTAAGTATATTATTTATACCTGTGATAAACTGATTCCCCATTTTTCTGCTTTCCCTTTTACCAATGAAACGTGCTCAACTTACTCAAACGAAAAATACTGATTGAATCATTGATTCTTAGTCATTGAAATTACATTTATTTGAAATGAATTGTATTATTCAAAGAGACATGAAAAATCGATGTTTTATATGATATGTATTATAGTAATTTTATGATTATTTATGTCTGTATTTATTTTTTAATTTCTCGTGTAAAATTCTCTCCCTATACAAGTGACCAACAAACTGATCCACCAATACAAAATTTTAATATTGCTTTATACATTGATATAAGATTGAAAATAAAAATAATTATCAAATTATACATGCTTTTCATTTTACACAATGAAAATACATTGATACTGCTTTGTATACTTTGGAAATTAATGAGAAACAATTGTACAGTATTGCAAAAGTTTAAAAAATATACTTCTGACATTTATTTTCTCTAATAGAGAGATTTTATTTCATGATTGAGTTATAGCTGATATAAAAAATATATATAATACATAAATAATTCATAAATACTAGCTATTGTCCAATGCCTCCTGAGCTCTAAAGCAGTCACTCACTATTTTCCATTTATCTCCAACAGCCGTTATGAGGAAGTTTTGATTAAAAGGTTTCGATGACTTTTCTTGATATTTTACTTGTCCGCTAACTTTTACTAGAAATGTTAACTGGTCTGCTACTGCTGGTCCTGAGAAACAATGCATTATTACGTTTATGGTACAAGTGTTTATGCAAAAAAACCCAACAGCCCTTTAATAAAAATCATACCAGTAATTGGCTGAGCATCCAAAGTAGTGATGGTATGGTTCGTAGATGGTAGGTCTATCCAAAATTTTTGTATATGGTCTTTTCCCTCTATACCATTACCATTCCATATTAAAACAGCAGAGTCTAGATATAACCTTGATATCAACTGAAAATAATAAGTTATTAATATAACATAACAAATGTAACATAATTCTAAGGAAATTTTAGTTACTCACATATCTTCGCTTGTCCAAACTCTCATAATATAGCTTTGTGAATTCTTCAGCCGTACGACAGGCATGGTCAATTTTTGCCTTTATATCCTGAAAAAAATATAAAACATTTGGACATATATATACACAGCATCAATATATTTGTTAAAAAGTATTGAAAGAAAACAAAGCTGACTACATCATTATTTAATTATAATCATGTAAATATATTCTTGAGGTTAGATGGACGTTAAATTCTTTTCTAAAATGACATTTATTATCACAAGTTACGGAATTCTGACTGATGATACAGATTAAAGAAAAAGCAGTACGTTTATTGTATCATATCACATATCAAACACATTGAACAATTAACAATTGCATTTCAACGCTGCAATTCTATCCGATAATTATTTTCAAAATGCAAATCCAGTCGTAATAATTAATTAGTGATAAATTGTGTTAGATTCTACGGCAAATAAAATCTTATACCTGTTCCATGATTTATAGTGCTTCCTATTATTACTGTATGCTCTTACGCTGCTTTATGTCAGCTGCAAGTATATTCAAATTCCAAATAGCACCACGAAGATACAAAGTGCTTCTAGTGACTCGTAGGGAGAAAACACTCATACGAATTTACACATCAACGTCACCTCAGTCATCAGTCACGTCTTGATTAAAGTAATATTCGTTTTCAACGGTACCACTATTAGCAGTACCGATTCTATTATTAGTTTTAAGAATATTGATCGAACAATCACGATGTTATTAATCTACGTTTGGTGAGTCAAAACATGCATGGGCATTCTTGGAATTCGCGCAATTCCAGGCAAATCAGGTAAACGAAGAAGTAGAAGACGTTAAAGGAGGAAACAAACTGTCATATGTAAATTGCGTGTCAGTTCACAAGTTCGTTTGTCTCAGCTGGCTGGACAGTGTCGCCGATGCGATTTCCATGGAGATGCTCCCGGTTTGTCTGGCGCAGGCATAAAAACGTACGAGCTCGCCAAGAGGGGGCGTAGAGGACGCGCGTACCTGTTGACCTCCGATCTCAGAGTGATCTATAATCCGTGAAGACGAATCGCGAGATCTCGTTGGTACGGTCACGTGACACCGTACTTCCACAGTTATTTTTTCAGGCATGATGGCGCCAAACGCCAGTATCTACTTTTATGTAAATATATTATCGATTCGGTGCGTTTCGAGATCGAACGCGGTCGAGCACGGTCGCACGGGTAATTTTTGAAAGCGAGCCAGGGGACGTAGGAGCGTCGCAGAGTGAGTACGAACTGGCTATATGTTACTGGAATCGCTAATGAGGACATGTTGGTTAGGCTGCTGTGACAGAGGCGTACGCACTTATCGCTCGCGGAACCTGCCGCCGTACCAAAGATCTAAAGGTAGCGAAGCTCGCTCACCCTGCCGCTCTGCTCCTCTACGATTTTATGAAATCACGTGTGCCAAGTGCGCGCGAAAGTATATTCGGCTAATAGATCAATAATAAGCTATTTAATGCTTTTCGGAGTGTGTGTGGAGACTTGTGTGAACTGCGCGCAACCTGTGCTGCCATCTGTATTGTCAATGTTGTTGGGCAGCACAGCAGCAGCACCAGGAGCACCAGGAGCAGCACCACAGCAGCGTAATGGATCCCTGAGCATTTTCTTCGTGCGAGCACACCGTTATCCATTCTTTCTCGTCTATCATGCGACCTAATGTCGCCTCCGGTGCACCCCAGCCACGACCAGTGCAGTGAGTGAGAGACTTTTCGCGGCAGCCACGGCTTCGCCGCACTCGATAACTCCGTGTCAATGTTTACATGATCTCTAGGATGGGAGCAACCTTTCACGGTTTTATTAAGTTCCGCGACTTTCCTGGCCTGTCCAGTATCATCCGGATCCTTGTAAACGCTCAAACGACTCCCGAGTTAGTGGTGAACGCTCGCGCAACCCTAATTTCCCCGTGGAAATGCCTTTTTTATAACCTCTTTTCTTTCTTCAGCCAAGACAGGAGTGGGATTGTGCTCAGCCAGGAACTACAATTTTATCCTAACCAACGGCTTCGGGACTGTTTGGCTATCGTAAGACACGCGATACAGTGACCGGATTTGATTTTTCGTGATTTTTCACATTACCTGACAATGGTAGCAAGATGAGATCAGTGGGTCTTCAAGTCACACTTTACTCCGTCAAACTGGCTGTGCGCGATTAAATTCATTCTCTTTTTGGCGTGATATTCTTGCAGTTAATTGAAACACTTCGTTGACCAAGTGCATCTTTAAGTTTCATTCATTTGACATTATCCTGTTACTAAATGCGTACTGTACTTACTTTGTGTACATACGATATAAGGATCGTTGAAACACTACTTCCACATGTAAAATGTCGTAAATATGCTGTTTTTAATGCTCATATTTAACATACTTTTGTTTTAGTAGTATATTTGATATAATTTTACTATGTTTTTATTCTCACATAGCATGTATTGCTTTATTTCAAAGATTCCAACATATTAATATAATTTGTTTCTTTCGTGAGCTGGATTCTATGAATAGCTTTAGTTTTTGTGTTCATCATAGAAACTTTTTGTTAAAATTTATTTATATTACTAATATCAGAACTGTGTAACTTATTAAGCTGAATTTAATATTTTACTTGAATTATTTAAACATCTCTGAATCTTTCAAAGTATTTTGACTGATTATTTATTTTCATTGTAAGCTGCTTCTTATATATACTGTTTTTATGCACTCTGTGTATCTATCTGAAATTGTTATTGTTTTATTTTTGATAACTAGAAATATTTTAGCCATCTATTGCATATATACTTTATATTACTTCTAATACTAACATGTTAACTATTATGCATGCCAAATATAAAAGTGACTTCTTGTTTTTTCTATATAATGGTCATAGTACACATTTAATGATCATTATAAATATTATCTTTAAATAGTACTTTCTTTTGTAAAAGATTTAAAATTAGCATCTACAAGTATCGAGTATATTAACAGCAGTGTATTTTACACATTTTTCTCTTATAGCAACACAGTCACCTAGTACAATGCCCCGACATATATATAACACATTCGAGAAAAATTATATCAGATTGTACTTATATCGGTTAACAGTGATAAATTAATTCTCATTCTTTAAAGCCCTCACAATCAGTATGACCAACAGAGCCTCGTAATTTATTATTTTTATGGAAAGTACCATTTAGTAATTAACCACATTGATATATTTCTGTTTCAGTTCTAAGGGAAATTCCATTTCCAGATAATAGATATATGGTCAGCTATGTAGTGAGTATTCCTGAGAATTTACCTGTGAACTAGGAGCAAAGCTTTCAAATGTGGACTTCCTTGCTGAGATATAAAATGTTTTCAGGGTGCGCGCAGCTCACCTGCATGTGCCACGTACCACTAGCTAACGCGGTCTAGTAGAATGGCACAACGAGGAAAGAGAATCAATCGAAGCGACAATGACTTGGCGTCTTGCCCGGGCACGATTAAAAGGCGCAAATGCAGATTGGGCCCAGCAGCCGCAGGTTTATCGACATCGGCGGCGACCCTGGGGCCCTCTGAGGAGGAGGAAACGATGGCGTCGTCCAGTCAAGGGGGGGCATCCTGGACCCCCCGGCCTCTTAGCGATATCAAGATATCCAGTATATACAACCGGTCGGCGACAGAGGCCCCTGCTGAACTCTTTCGCAAAGACCTGATCAGCGCCATGAAGTTACCCGACAGCGAACCACTAAGTCCGAATGAGTACTGGGTGATAACTGATCAGTGGAAGCAGGAATGGGAAAGGGGTGTTCAAGTTCCCGTCAACCCGGACTCATTGCCGGAACCAACGGTCACCGTCACTCAAACCTCACCTTTGAATAAGTCACACGGCGAATTCAAATTGTGAGTAACCTTAACATTCAGCCATCTAAATCACGCTGACGTCCTATAAATTACCTAGATAACCCTACGATACATGTGATCATCATTTTACAGGCCCAAAAAGTTTATAAGAATATCACGAGATGATTACTTCAGTTCTGAGGATCATCACTTGAGCACCACCCCTGGACGTGCTGAGAAGGCATGTGGTTATGACCTTGACGACACTGATATAGCTTGGCTCGATGTGCTTAACGGAGAGAGAGCACAGGTAATTTTAAATATATTAGTAATCTAATCTGGCACGTGTTTGATACAATTTAATACGTTTCGAATCTATGCTACAATTAACAATACAAACTTTCATACAATGTGCTTTTCAAAGACGGTGGAGAAGGTATTTCTAAGGGATGCTGTAATGTCATTGTTTTACAGGCGGGTCAGACGCCAGTATCAGAGTCGCAACTTGAGCGGGTAATAGAAGAGTTAGAGGTTCGCTGCTGGGAAAGGATACAGACGATCGTAAAAAATGAAGAAGGTCTTGGCATTGAGTACGATGAAAATGTCATCTGCGACGTCTGTAGATCTGTGAGTATTTTTATTTTTGAATGAACCTTTGACAAAATTACAATTGTCGCATGTAACTGTAGGTTGTAGAGAATGTCGAATCGATTGGTTATTTTAGTGATTCTTTTTTATATGTCTTTTTTCGGCTTACGTAATAATACCGCGTTGATTACATAAACATAGAAGACCAAAAGTGTCGTAAAAGTTCATCCTCCCAAGTGTTTCTCTGAATCGAAAAACTATCAATAAACTGATATTCGAGTATTAACTGGTATTCGATCGACTTATTTTATTTTTCTTTAGCCTGATTCGGAAGAGGGTAACGAGATGGTATTCTGCGATTGCTGCAACATTTGTGTACATCAAGCGTGCTACGGCATCACGTCGATACCCGATGGCTCATGGTTGTGCAGGACTTGCTCGCTAAGTCAACGTCCCGATTGTGTATTATGCCCTAATAAGGGAGGTGCAATGAAGTGTACGCGCAGCGGTCAGAAATGGGCCCATGTTTCCTGTGCTCTCTGGATTCCTGAAGTCAGTATCGGCTGTGTGGAACGAATGGAGCCGATCACGAAAATTTCCAGTATTCCGGTAAATAAAACTGCTTAGAAGGGGCTTACAGAATTTCATTCTCTCGTTAATAAGTATTCTTGTACGTCGAAAATATTCAAGGTAAATGAACAGACGCATCCGACACACCAGTTTGAAATTGCGCATAAGAATTTTACAGATAGATGTAACGGATTAAGGTGCTTTATCATTTTCATAGCTGATTGTATCTTTGATAATCGATAGTCGATAACGCTGAGAGTTTACAGCACATTAGAAGAAGTGTGCGATGTCATGAGTATATGATATTCGTATGAAGCAGTGATTTCAATGCTTACAGCAAAGCCGATGGGCGCTAATCTGCGTGCTGTGCCGTGAACGCGTGGGTGCCTGTATTCAATGCAGTATAAAAACCTGCAAAACGGCGTATCACGTTACATGCGCTTTTAAACATGGTCTCGAGATGAAGGCTATTATAGAGGATGAGATGGCTGACGATGGTGTGAAACTAAGGGTGAGTTCCTGAAGACGTTAAGTTTACGAAATTGAAGGAGTTTTACGAAAGTAGAAAACAGGATATTGAGGATAGCGGAATACTATGAAAATCTTCTTTGCAGTCGTACTGTCAGAAGCATAGTAGAACAAATACTAAAGATAAGGTCGGTGTTGGAGGAGGTGTGGGTGGTAGCGGCGGTAAAGGCGGTTCGGATTCCGAGGACGGAGAATCAAGAAGGAGAAAGCGCAAAGACATGACATCTGAAGAGAAAAATCAAGCGCGTGCAGCCAAGTAAGCTGGATTTTTCGTTTATGAGAATTTTCATTCAAAATTATGCACGAAAGGCGCTAACAGTGTCTTTATTTAATCTTAGACTACAAGAAATCGAAGCCGAGTTCGATAAACACGTCAGTTTGAAGGATATTACCTCCCAACAACTGGATATTGATCCTGATGGCGTTGTCTATATTTATAATTACTGGAAGCTGAAGAGAAGAGTAAGTTTCTTGAAATTTTAATATTTCGAGCACTGCCTGTACTTTGCTAGTTCTCTAATGCAACAACCGTTTCATTGCAGGCTGGTCACAACAAACCTCTGTTAGCGCCACGTTGTGGTGAACTCTCAGGTGCTGGAGCACGTGCACAAGGTCAAGCAGCTGATCTGGAAAAGATGCGTACGTTTGTCCAGCTACGTCAGGATCTGGAACGCGTGAGAAACCTGTGTTACATGGTGGGAAGAAGGGAGAAACTATGTCGTACGTTCCTGAGACTGCGTGAGCAAACCTTCCACAAGCAGGCTTCGGTTATGTCCGGATCTCCGCTTCCTCCGGCTGCAGCAGCCGCCGTAGCGGAGGCAAATCATGGACCCTCGATATACGACCGGCTTTATTCTCATCCCGATTCCGAAGATCACACTCGAGATTTCGACACGATAGTGGCGAGGATCGCGGGCATGAAGTCCCCTACGCCTGTCTCGAGCGACGAAAAGAAGGTTCAGCCAGACTTCAACGGCGCTTCAAAACAGAAGCTTTACTTCAATGGCTCCGTAAAGACGAGAAGTCTGTACGGCAGCGATTTATCCTCCATGAGCAGTAGCGAGACCGACACTGCTAAGCCAACTGTCAAATCGCCAAGTAAGAGCTCCACTAAATCGAAGAACCACGATCTAGACACCGAATCTAGCACCGAGGACGAGTCCGCTTCCCCCAAGTCGAAAACGGGTCGACGTAAAACGAAGAAAGCCAGTGCTCCGGATCGGCCTCGTGCAACGTTACGCGAGAGCAGTGAAAGTGATAAATTGGACACTACCGGCACTAGATCGCGTACATTGCAACACATGGAGCGCGAACTGGGCAGTGCGTCAGGCAGCGACAGTGACGAGTTGTTACCTCTAAACACGACGACGTCGTCCCGTCTTGGACCTTCTGCTGCTGATACTATTTACTCGGACACCGAATCCGATTCTCAGGAGCACGCTTCCCACTCGGTTGTACTTATAACAAAGGCCGCTGTCAAGCAATTCTCGGCGGCGGATATCTCCAAGAATTCACAGAAGAGTTTTGCGAACAAAGACACGCGACAGGATCATTTCGTGGATGAAGCCTCGAAGAACAAGGAGAACGTGAAGTCTTCAAAGAAGAAGGATTACATACCGTCTGCTCTCATAGTGCCTCAGAGACAAGCCGCGAAGAAGGCTTCCGAGATTATGCAGCGTTCTCAGAGTAAGAAAGATAGCGCGGTAGAATCACCAGAATTTGTCAAATCGCCCACGGAGGAGACGAAACCGTCTAAACCCCACAAGGAAAAATCATCGACGAAGAAGCAAAAGGACAGTAAGCTGGCGAAGGATTCCAAAAACAACGATATTTACGATTTCGACAAGGAGTTCGGCGACGGTACGGAGATCCTTGCCTATGTACCGCAACGGCAGGCTGCTAAAAAAGCAGCCGAGCACATTAAGAGCGGTATGGGAACGAAGGCTGCACAGCCAGAGCCAGAAATTCCCGAGATAAAAGCAAAGAAAGAATCTCCAGAGTGCGTCAGAAAGAAGGAGCCTAAGAAAGAGGAGTCGCCGAAGAAAGAAGAGACCCCGAAGAAGCCGAAGAAGCTTCAGGAAAGCAAACCGCCGTCAACGCTATCCAGCAACAGCGACTCCAGTAGCAGCAGTAGCTGCAGCAGTTCCTCGGAGAGTAGCAGTGACTCCGATGAGGGTAAGAGTTCCACCCAGCAAACTTCGAGTACTGCCAAGGAATTGGCTATCTCGTCGACTACCTCGTCGGAAAGTGATTCCGGCAATCAAGCGAAGAATAAGACTGTGAATAGGAGGCAGGTGAACAAGACTGTCGAGAGAATGGATGCGGATAAGTCGACGGGGCGGAAACTCAAGAAGCTGCCCGATAAGAAGCTTAAAACTTCCGACGGGCGGCATGGATCCGAGTTTCAGCCGCCGTCTATTGAGAGAGAAGAATCAGGTAGAGCCTCAGTGTCCAAAGAGCATCAGCATCAAGCCAGTAAGAAGACAGATCAGAGAGATTCATCCAAAAAGTCACTATCATTGCAATCACCATCACACCAGCAGCAGCATCAACAACAACAACAGTTGCGACGTTCCCCATCACCAGCACATCAACAACAATCATCTAACCAAAGCTGTTCAGTTAGTGGGTCTCGAGATAATGATGGGCCACGAAATACTTCTGGGCCCAAGTCCGCAAAGAAATCAAATCAGTCTGCTAAACAATCACAGCAGCCAACTACCAAAAGCAAAGAAGACACCGGTAGTGCAGCAAGAGGAAAGCCCGAAGCTCGTAAACGAAAATCAAGCGAGGCACCCCAAAAGGAAGAGAAGAACAGTAAGGATGCGGCTTCGCTCAAGAAAGTGGAGAAGAGGGTGAACGAGAAGGTGGCAAAAGAAACTGAGAAAGACAATAGCAGTAAGGACGAGGTCAAGATTCTTGAAACGGAACCGGCCAAACCATTCAATGCTGAGAGTCCGCCTAAGCTTGACGACAAGAAGTTCAAGAAAAGCAGCAGTAAGAACTCAATAAACACGCTGGAGGAAGAGATGAAGCAACGACGTGCTGAGAGAGACAGTCCTAAGAAGTCATCAAAAGGCTTGGACAAACTTCTTGAGAAACGAGAACACCTTGACAAGTTGTCGAAGGCTAAGAGTATGGACATAAAGATGGAGAACTTCAATGAGGAACCCGTCCAGAAGGAGTCGCTTCAAGCTAAGGGAATGGTTTACGATACAGTGAAGAGCGAAGATCGTAAGAATCATACCAGTGAGGATAACGTCGTCGTCGTGAGTAAGGCTATTACAGTGGATGAAAAGATCAAGAAGGATGCTGAGGACACTATGCCCGATAGATCCACGGAAAGGAAGAAGAAGAATGATCAGAAGATGGAAGAACTACCTGTCACTGACGGTTGTGAAACTAGTACGGTTCCTGATACGATCCCTAAAGAAACTGTTGATAATCTTCTCACAAAACCAGTTCCTGATAAGCTAACATTAAATGAGATTTCTGAGAAAGAATGTCACAAACGAAGAAAGTCTATCAATCGGTCCATATTCTCACCGCAACATGGTAGCAAGGATCAAAGTGTCTCTGAGCTGTTTGACTTCGATCAGGACATACTAGCAGATGATATGGTTAACGACGATGGTTTTAGTATACCACGCGATGCAGAAGAACGTGCAGCACCCTTGACCTTCTCATTTAATAATGAACTCTGGTTCAAGGAAGATTCGAAAGAGGATAGTGCGCGTGAAACTCTTCATCTAGTAGAAAAACTTCGCATGGAACTGTCCAAAAAATCGAATTCCAGTCAGTTTGAACTTGAATCCGTGGTAACTGAGGATGAGATCAAGAAGGAAGAAGTTCCAGTTGACAAACCGATGGAGCAGCTTGTATCGGAAAAGGAAGTTAAGATATTAGAGTCAGAAAGTGCACCACCAGCTGAGATCAAGAGTAACAATGACATAGCTCAAATATCAGAAGATCTGAGCTGCAAGAATCACAATGTTGAGGAAAAGCAGAAGACCTGTTATCCAAATAATAGCGAGGGTTATGTACCATATAGTAACGAGGATCTGGAGACTGGTAAAGTTACTGTGGCTGAACGTGAAAAATTAGATAGGGCCGAAGCTGATGAGAGGTGGGTACCACCTAGTATGGAAAACTTCAATCCAAATGATGTACACCCGAACACCTTGATGGAGAGTCAGAATCATCGATATGCTCCTCATCAATTTACGAATGATATAAGTGCCGTTATCTCAGACAGTAATAACGAGAATTTGGTCCATTCTCAACTGAATATGAGTATGCAAGATCAGTATCAACTTTTGCAACAGTCACATCCAATCATAAGACCCACTCAGCACATTGATCCCCATTCGGAGTCACGAATGCAGTCCGTCCCAATGATGGATCAGCAAGTGGGACCTCTGACGAGTCAGATAGTCGATGAAATGACACCCATGGAGATGGTAAACAGACATCTCATAGGATTACCAAATCCTGAAGAAGAGCAAGGAAATGAAATGGATCGTGTTTTGGAAAAAGAAGAAATTTCTTCCGATATGAGACAGGATTATACCCAGAGTGGTTCACCTTACAATGATTTGAATAATTCGCGCCAAGATACGCGATGGGCTGAGAGCCAAGTGTTACCGTCGCGAAGATCGACGTCGTCTTCCATCACGTCGGCATCCTCGGCCGAGGAACATACAGCGATGCCACCCTACAAAAACATCGCACCACTTCCGTTTCCCCCTTGTTCCATGGATGCAGGTCCTTATCACTCATACTCCGAATCCAGTTCCTATGCAGGACCTGTCTCTTTATTTCCGCCACAATCCTGCGCCGCATCTTTACCTTATCCGTCACCAGGAACAGCCATGTTTCCTCCACAATTTGGTACACCCTTTCCAACACCACAGTCTCTGTTACCACCTGTTCCTAAGCCGCTGGACGATTCATTGAACATGCAAGCCTCACCGTGCACAGCTGCGTTCACGTCATCCTCTCATAATATGGCATTCACGGCAGCCATGGTCTCGCCTACAAAGATTCCTACACCTCCGCCGCAGCCACCTCTGGCACAAGAACAAGAGCACACTCAGGAACTCCAGCAGCAAGTGAATTCCCCGGCATTGCCTATGGGATTCCTAAACAACATGCCTGAGACGCAGGTGGACTCTGTCGTTGAGAATCTTCAAGAGATGCTGACAGAGAGTAAAGCACCACAATCCGGCAAGAAGTCTCCATCGAAGCCAACAAGAACATCGGCTAGGGTCACGTCGCTCCAGGGTAAATCCCCAGGAAAGTCACCACGTCAGGAGAGTGCCAAATCCGTTCCAACGTCCCGTGGTAGAGGCAGAAGTTCTAAGAGTTCTCAACAAGCAGGATATAGAGGTCGTGGACGAGGACGCGGCCGAGGTCGAGGAAGAAACAGTCAAAACAATTCAGCCTCTCTCATATCCACAATAGCAAATACTATTCACAGCGATGATTCGATTCAGAACAAGCTAGTGGGAACTGTGTATGATTTTGACTCTGATGAGGATTCTGCTAACGAGACGAACATCGCGGATCTACGCACGATGAGGGAGAGGAAGAAGTCGACTGACGTCAATGAGAAGCGCGAAGGTTTGTGTATGATGAACGAAGGCATTCAGTCCCATTTGTCTAGTCCTACCTTGCATAAGAAGTACACCGACGACAAGAGGCTCTCGTCACCAGTGCAGCACGACGGCTCAATCGTTGCTGAAACCGAGTCCAATGCTGATCAGACATTTACCGATACTGTACTACCCTTGCTTCCAGGACCTGTCGACATGAGAACGTACAATTCGACCATCGAAGCGCAGACCTCATTGCTACACGCTCAGTCCTACCCCAATCATTTACTGGGTGCTTTTGCCAGTGGCTCAGCCGACCAATCGCTGCCAGACATCGAGGAGGATCTTGAGAAGGAGTTACACTCTGCCTTGATAGCAAGTAAGCAACAACCGGATCCATGTTCAGAGCCAAGTTCGAACAACCCTACGGTGGAGGCTCCCTCATCAAATATCGAACCCAGCAAGGTCTCCCTTACGGACTCACGTAATCAGCTCAAGGTCAAGATCAAAGGTCCTTTCCTCGATGCAAATTACGTACCAGCCTCCTCCGTGCCACCGTTGGCACAGCAAGCACCTGTTATCATTACACCAGCAGCAACAAGTGCTTCGGTAGCTTCCGGTACGTCGAATCTTCGTAGAATGCGCAAGAAGGAATTACTCCGACAGTATTGCTCGCAGGATATGAATATGGATGATCCTAGCTGCGGTAATGTTGCATCTGCTCCTATTACTATACCACCTATCAATAGAACCGTTATCACTATTCCCAAAGCCGTAGCCTCCATGACAAGCATACCGACCAGAGAGGACTACAAGGCCGTGGTGGATGCAAATATGGAGAAGAAACGTAGAAAGGAACGAGGTAGCTTCCTCGACATACAAGACGAGGAAGGTATATCGGACAGAAGACGAGGTGTGAACGTGAGTAACGTTGATCGTAGAAGAGGTAGACAAACAAGACCCTCAGCCACCAGTGTGACGAACAGTGGACCACCGAAACTTAAGATCAAGATAGGTAACAGTATAATGGGCCAGGAAACGGGCAACGTGCAAGACGACAGAAGCAGAATAAGACCGCCGAAGAAACGGTTGAGCAGTATTCCCAGTAAACCAAGTATAGAGGAACTAAGGCGTGAGAGTATGAAGTATCGTCGTATGATAATGGCTGGATTTGATAACGACGAGAAGACCAAGGTCAAGAGTAAAAAGGATAAGAACGGCAAGAGAAAAAAGAGGCAGAGTAAGAAGGAGGCTCATGTACAAATTCTCGAGGATGGTCCAGCACCTCCTAAACTGATCATACGCCTTGGTAAAGGCAATAATTCCACAGCGAACGATATGCCCAACGAAGTGATAACCTCGAAATCTGTTAACTTAGAGGATAATCGGGATAAACATCATACTAGTGCCGAACATGCTAATGATAACAAGGAGAGTCGTGTTGGACCTCCTCCACCGGAACCTTCCAAGGAGGACGTGGCGTATCCTATGGACAGTAGTATAAATGTAAAGCTGCCGACGGATCCAAACTCTGGTGCCGCTTCCCTGACAAACGTACGCTCCGCGAAAGTCACTCCTATAAGATTAAAATTAACAAGATGTCAGAAAGGTTATGAACTGAAAGCACCGGTGGCAAGTAGTAGTGCAAGTGACGACAGTGCGACGGTGAACTCTATCTCGTTAGCCGCCCCGAAGAAGTTACAATCACAGGCACAATTGCAAACGAAAACGTTAGCTTCGTCCGAACATGAACAACAGCAACAAGACGCCGTTACGAAGACAGAGGAACTTTCGGAAAAGCAATCTTCCAAAGAGGACGAAAGCCCCCTGCTGCCTCAACCTACTGCTCACAATTCGCCAGGTTGTCCGCCTGCACCGCTCCCACAAGGATGCCAAGTTAGGTGATAATAAATGATAATTGTATAATACAGTAATTAATGATTCTTAATAGAAGATACGTATGCGTATACGTATATGCGTTTACATACGCGCCCGCCTGACTTTGAGAGTAATGAACGTGTTATGTGTGGCTTATACGTATACGTATATATATATAATATTAAATGTTGAGACAGAGACTCACTAGAAATGTTTTGTGTAATATATATTATTAATGTATGTAAATGATCTGAGGGTGAAGTGAAATGTCACAAAGTGCCCAAAAATTCACCATAATTATTAACATGTGCATTTCAGATGTGAGGTACTGGTGGTTCGTTAAGGTGTCTTTCGTTAACGAATAATTACTCTACCAGCGAATTGGTCATTTCAGAAAGGGCCATTGCTATTCTCCTACGATCTTCTAAGTGCAAGTTACAGTTGAGAATTCGCGATGACAGATACATACCGCACAAAAAGAAAGACAGTATGTTCTCAGGGCTGTAAACGTAGGGACGTGTTTTCTGCGCAGCTCTCGTTACTGCTTACTGACATCTTCGAAAAGGGACCTGACTAAGATCGCATACCTTTCTTTTTCTTTTTCACCGATTGCCTTTCTTTTGACATATGGAATTTCGAGGATAATCACAGAAAGCCCCCCACCCCCCACCCGGCTATGCCCAAGTCTTAGAAAGATGCGGACGTTGTGTTTTTGTCGATTTTCAACGGACGTAAAGTCGAATATCTTTGTTTCAAAGGCAGAACGCATTCGATTGTATAAAATGAGATTGTAAAAAGGATTATCGTTAGCTGACTTAGGATAATCAAGAACTGTTGGTGCAAATACGTTCTATTTTAGATTTTAGTCGTTGTGCAGGAAAGGCTTAGCTAGTAACGAATTGTCTCCGTGTACTAATTTATTAGGACGTTCTCTTGGAAATCGCTTTTATTCAGGCGGCAGATATGTAGAAAAAAAAATACTGGGAAGGATATTATTATTTCTCAATTGACAATATTATTATTTCTCTATTATTCATATTATTTCTCAAATGACCAATGCGTACTGTTTCGCGGATAGTGGAGGTGGTCGGGACAATTTTCATAAAAAGGTGTTGAAAAAAAAAAAAAAGAAAAAAGCAAGAGGGAGAGAAACGAAGGAATCAGAGGGACGACGGTGAGGCTAAAGTAAGATTACGTGGAGAAAAAAAAAGATTCATTGAATCTGCTCAAGTAACGATCGATACCTTAGCAGACGCCATAACTTTAAAATTGCCCTGTACAAATATCCTTCATAAATCACTGCTTAAATCGTGATTTTTAAACATTAGATATAATAAATTTTAATAAAAACACTATAATTATATTTCCGAAGACTATTAATTAGCGTAAAGGATATATTAACCGTGAAATGAATAATCGAACAGAAGACAGTTTTCTTTTATTTTTTATTCTTTTTGCTCATAGGGAAATCTAGGCCGTCGCTTTATTTAATGAAAAAAAAAAAAAGGAAAACGAAAAATGAGTGAAAATTACGAATTAATCGCTATCCTTCGCTCCTTCTCTTGTTATTTTATCTCTCTTCTTTATTCTTCTTCGTTTTCGTATTCCGCCCCTAATGACCACGCAAATAATTGCGATGCGCGTCTCGCGTCTCGCATGAGAAAATACGAATGAACAATGGCGTCGCGCCTGGTCGAAGAAAAAAAATTAAGTACACGAGCGCGACGCTTGCGCGCATTACGAGATAACAAAATCCGCCTTACCGAGTCATTAAAATTAAGTTTTGAAAATTTTTTGTATCACTTTTTTATGTATAGTTGCAGCTACCGTGTAATCTATATGAAAGGCATATATTTTATATTTAGTTAACCTAGTTATTAATTGTCTTCTTTCTCTTTATTCTCTTTCATTTTTTTTTTTGCTTTAACTCGTTTCGCCTACTTTCGTATCTCTGCCGTGTGTAGCATATATTTATTTATGACGTCAGCTATACAGACAATATTATTTATTTACGAAAATTGGCGGCCCCGAAAACGTCCACCCTTTGCGAATCATCCTCACTCACCCTGACATCCCATATCCCGTGCAGTTACTCTAAGACGTCTGACGAGCTTCGTGGAATACATTGAGGAGCTCTAATCCTTTCTTTTCAATATTTTAATCAGCACTTTCGTGCTGTCGAGTTACGCGTATTAAGAAAAAAAATAAATAAATAAATACTCACGGTTCATCCGAGATGAGAGACGATAGTGCCATTACTATCATACCGGTGTTACAAGCTAAGTGGGTGCAAAAGTTTTGGGTGTCGCGACGCCCAGGATTTTTTCGTCCTTGTTAAGGCGGATAGAAACGAAAATGTCAAAGACAAAGGAAACCCATAGAAGAATCATTCGTGCTTGCCGAATGAACGCGGATCATAGACTCTTGCCAAGTGCGTGAGACCAAAAATCTCGAGTATACTTTTTAATGAATATTCGACTGTCGTGAGGCTAGACAAAGGACAAGCGAGTTTGCGTGCGCAACATTAATCCTGTAAGGTATTTGTTTTTTTTAACAATCAGATTAGTGCAATAACCTTATGCCATCGTCCGTACGTCCCCGGGTAACTTGTGCACGTGCACGTTGATGCATTCACCTCGTTTAAATTTCCTAACCGTTAGTAATCCTTTCTCGTATCTATATCGATTCTCATCGATCTATCGAAGGTCGAACCGATTCAAAAGTCCAGTGCAGTCGATTGCGAGACGCAGTCGCTTCGTTATTATATCCTTGTGGGAAATCTTCTACCGAGAACTGTAGTGCCTAGACGAGTCGCGAGATACATTGCTGGTATTGCACGACACAGGGGGAATCTCATGTGAAATCGTGTGTTTACGTTCCGTGAAAACACAGCAGTGGCCAATGTCAACACAGTTCACAATGTCCACGCGAAGTACACAAGTCCGTATTACGAAAATCAGGAGGAATATATTTGCGCCTAGGTAATATCGTTGCCTCGACACATGGCGATTATTGAGGGAGGAAAATAAATAAATACAAAAATAAGGGAATATCGTAGTTTGCGACGTAAGCAATACACTAGCTAAAGGTATATATCGATAAATCGTGTACAGTTATAACGGAACTAGAGAGATACTCTGACGGAGCGTAATTTATAAATGTTTTACTGCAACACTGTTTTTTTTCTTCTTTTATTTTTCAAAAAGGAATAGACTCGCTTTTTTTAGATACTTGATCTACTTTACGTCTCACGACACGGTCTGCGCGTTAACGAGTAGAAGAAGAGGATATGGATAATAGAACGGAATGGCGATACACAGGGAACGACCTGTCGATATGTTTGTATATATTTGTATCCCGCGAAATCTTCGCTTATCATTACTAATTCGTCATCGGTATGAAGATTTAAATAAGACGGCTGTGTAATTGTACGGTCTCACTCTTCCAAACTTTGTTTCTGTTGTATTGTAGATGCGCTCTAGCGCGCTTTTTTATTGAACGATCCGACATGGCACCGAAAGATTTATCTCATTTGTTTGACTTGCGTGAAACGATACTTTCTTTTTTTGTTTGTTCAAAAATCTCGTTTCAACGGATAACTCGTTTTTTTTTCGTACGATTCTGCAATTTACGATCTGTTCCAAGATTTTAAATATCGTTCTTTTCTTTAATCGACTAATTTATACTTGTCAGTGGATTGCTACTTTTTCAAACTCCGACCGAGGACGCTATACGTAATCCTTATTTTAATCGGCAAAGACTTGTCTACTTTGCCCTTTGGTGGTAAAACTTTCGACGAGCCATGCAAAAGTCCTAAATCGAATGCGAGCGAAAGTTGTTTGGATTGTCGCACATCTTTGTGCACCTCTCTACTTTATTTCTTCTTTTTTTTTTTATTAATAGTTAATTAACGTATGCAATCGAGTATAACACTTTCCAAGACCCACACTTCATACCCTACACTGTACTGTACATTGTCAGTGATAAGAAAGAGTTTTAAGAGCCTATATTGTACAGATTTAAATAATAAATATTTGGTTAATTTTTAATTGTTTCATACACATAATTAACGATAACGATAATAATAATAACAATGATGAATTTAATATTATATACATAGTTTTATTATAATGCAAAATGAGTAATATGATATTTAGTTACTGTATATAGTGTACAAGAGAAGCTGGTCTTGTAAGATAAAGATAAGGTGTTTTAATGTGCACATAGCCGCGTCATTGTCAATAATCATATTACTACGATTAATAATAATTACAGTTTTTTAAATATTGTCTCTCTTTTACCTTCCATGTAATTCATTCATGTTGACACTTAAAGTTTTTCCGCCACCACCGGACTGTACCTCTGACAAAATTGAGAAAGGTAAGTAATACTACAAATGATAAGATAAGACTTATCGAAAACTGCATATTTATTGTTTCAGTCTCAGTGTTGTACATTGTGGGTAAAACAAATATAATGCGACATTTAGAATACTTTGTACCTACGCGAAACGCATAAATCACATAATAAAATCTAATCGACTTAAATGCGCAGTCGATAATCGAACACAAGCGATACATCGAACTGATGCCAAGTAAATAATAAATCGATAAACAATAACAAGACCATCGAGATTTGATAATATAATTATTTTCATGAACAAACGAGAGGAGTGTCAGGATAAATAGGTTGAACTAAATAATTTTCCAATATGCAGACAAACATAATCTGTTTACGACTCTCGCATGATTTCAATTAAAATGAAATTATCTGATTTTTATTTGATCAATTTTCGAAAGTTAAACGAAAGGTGTGACTGTGAATGAATTTAAGTTACGTTTACCTTTCGCTATCAATTCTGTTACTACGTGCGAAGTAAGGCTTTTGTTAGTCGTGAGGTTTTTATTTTTTTCAAATCTACCACCAACCAAAATAACGATCAGAGGAACACTTTGAAAACGACATCGACAGTGATAAGTGAAATAAAAGAATGAATGTGATCATCCCAGGTATTCAAGTACCGCCTGTCTACCTGGACACAATGAATGCTATTACCCCGTAATTATTACAATTTTTACAGTAACTCCATCAGATACACACACACACACCTTCGACACAATTAGTCGTGCACGAATTTTTGCAAATCGTGAATTTTCTTAAGCAAGCGAACGCCAGTATGCACGTGCAAGCAAATTTCATTAATTAATATTTCAGGATATCACTTGACCGTACATGCATATCGGAACACCTGGTTTGAGTTCTGTACGTCCGATTGTATATATCTGGCTAGTTATTATTACACATCATCATCCTTAGATTAATTAGCCGAATAATTTTTTTAATTCCTAGCAACGCCTTACTTTTACAAAGTGATCGAGACGCTCTTATGTCACGGCCAGGACGACGTTGGCGTACATGCTACTTCTACAAGGAATAAAAACGAACTTTATACATCTACGTATTTAGTATTTGTACTATTATATTACAAAATAGGGGTTTGATAAACTTACATCTGCTGTTACTGAATGGTGGTTAATAGCTTAGGGAAGTTACATGGGTTTTGTTTTCTTGTATGGCTTTCTTAATACAGTAAGAAACGGAACATTCGTATGGAAGATATCGCGAGGGTCTATTCAGGAAGATATTGGAAGAGTGGAGCTTCTTTTACAGGATTTTGGACATTGTTGACATTCCGTTAAGTAAATACTTGAGTGCGGTATGATTATAAATTATTCTATGGCAACGTGTCCGTTTAAAATACGTATCCGTTCGCTTGAAATTCCTGTTATAATAACGTGACGGAATAATCAGCGTTTGATATTGATTATAAGTAGAACAGTCAATGGTATCTTTTTTTCTTTTCTTAACAATTTCATACGACAATGTCAAGTGAATGGAAACGTATTCTTATACTTGTAAAAGACTAATCAGTTAAAATGCATAAGTCAGTATTTGACAGCTGTCAACATGACTGACGTGTACATTTGAACTGAACGGTTCATTATAATAATACTCTACACGAGTTTACAAAGTATCTTGCGATGGGCTATATAAAATATTCTTGACTAATCTTATATAAAATACACAAGTGTTGTTGCAAATAATAATAGTAATTTCTCTTTTTATAGTAATATACGATCTTTTTTTGTTCTTATTAGATATTACTTTTTATCTGCAATATCGTAAAGCCTTAAATAATACTTGTACTCATAACTTGTTCTTAAAATACTACAGGGTCGCTACGTACAAATCAACTTGATCAATTCTACAAATCGTCGAACGCTTCATCTAGTCAGTAATCCGTTAATGCAAATAGACTTAGCTATTCCGCGAACATTATGGGATTTGATATTAATAAAAACAGAATTGTTTACACCAAAAAGACATAATTCGTACGAAATGCGCTATTGTAGGGTGTATTATCCAACATAGAATCTCGCTCTGTCACATCGCGCAATTATAATAAATAACTAAATATGAGGTATCAAAAGATCAGTCTATATCGATCAGAACTCCAGTTTGTCCACTTAATGAGAAATAGCTTCGAGTCATATTTATGGCTTTAATATCTATAACAGTGAGTCAACTGTTCATTAAACAAATACAAATTAAATTACTAAGCTGGTTATTCGATTCGTTTTCAAGCTCGATTTTGATAACATGTTTATATAAAATTAATAAAATAGTTTATTGTTAAAAAAAATTTGTCATGAAAGTAAGCAACGATTTGCCGATACGTACAACAGTCAATATTAATGTAACCAAAATAATTAAGTCTTTGTTAAAGGAAAAAGAAAAGGACATAAAATAATAAAATATCAACCACTCCTGGTTATTCTACTATAATCTAGTTGGAAATAATAAGTTCAGCTATTCAGTATCTTCTAATGGAATGATTTTTGTTTGGAATTATTAGTAAAACAAATTAATACGATTCAGCCGCTCTGGAGAAACGAAAGTAATCTCTAAAAAAAAAAACCATAAGAGTACTACTACTGTACAAATTGATAATAATTATTTACAGTTATACGGAGCAATTACAGCAAAGGCATATGCCTTGCGAGTTAAACAAATTGCCAAGAGATCATTCATATTATACAGTCTAGTATACTCTTATGTAATAATACATGTCCTCAATCTCATCGTGTTTGTACATTATTTACAATCAGCAGACTAAAACCACTAATGCCATAAGATATCTGGAAACGAAGAAATTTTCATAACACGTGTTAAGATCGATCACAATATATCTTCGGATATTTGTCGCAAGTGAATAAAATGTAAATTATTGTAATACGATACAAAAATTAATTTCATTGTTCTTTTGCACGCAAAACTCTCTTTCTGTAATGACAGTTAATGAGAACTTGACTTGTTTTCATATATTAATGACTGCGAAACAAGCGCAAAGTGGTCTCTGACAATAACGACCACATATATAGACATATGTCACATCTCTTATTCTTTTTTTCCTTTCGTTTTTCAATCTCCTTTTTCTGACTAATACAACGAAACTCGAGAAGTGTGTACTACAGTAAAATCGTGGCAATATTCTAATCTGAAGCCGAATCATTAATTGTATATGTGTAAACAATAACTTTCATTCGAAAAATTTTTCAATAAGGCAGTTGAGATGACGGTTAAAATAGTGAATGTTTAAACTCTGATGAAGAGTTTTTAATCAGCTGCCACAACGAATATTGACTACAATCAATGATGTATAAATATTAGCGATTCTTACAGTTGCACGTGGATGATTATGATGATGACGAGAATAATGATGATAGTTGATTAATGATTTGTGGTTAATATGCTGATTTGGTTTGTTTTATGTATTCACTGGTTTCACCATGTTCACTGTTTCATGGACACTCGTGGGAATTCATTATCCATCAGACTGTAATTATGATTAAAGTTGTTAATTATGTTAGGGCTAAAAAGTTTTGTAGGATTCATAACTAATATACTTACCGATAGTTCTTTTAGTTTTGTCTTTGCACGCAAATCCTATGGTTAAAAAGAAGAAAAAGAAATTTGGATTAGAGATCTGTTAGTAGATGAAGAAATTATTTTACAAAATTTATCTAATAGATCCTCAATCGTGCTCTTACCTTATCTGTGTATTTTATATATAGCGTAAATGGTTGACGACCATTAAATAAATTCACAAGGAAGTTGCTTTTGCGTAGGATCTTCCATTGATAATATATCTACTATGCATAAATCTTTGCATATGATTCAGGCACATATAGTATTAAGTACTTTGTTATTTAACAGGATGCTCAGTATTGTATCTTCTACGATAATCATTATAGAAATGTCAATTAACTGAATGTAATATATAGAAATATTCGTTCTTTTTGTTTCATGTCAAACGTAATTGCAAGAAGAGGATAAAATTTGTGCAAGTAGAAAATTAAAGCCAAGGAACCATCTTTAACCTGATGATTCAGATCTTCAATGATGATTTATCTTCCGGTGTTGTATTCATTTCTTCCGTGTAGTGATTCATGTACGCTTGCCATTATCGAATTTAGATTTTAATGAAAAATAGTTGAAAAAAGTAATGGATCGAATCCAGCATAGGATGAAGAAATCCAAGATGTGAATTTAAAGTTAGACCGATAAAATAAACTAGAATCCAAAGCCAAGCGACCAGCATATATTTATTACTGAATTTACCTTTTTGAATGGTTTTGGATTCTTTTCCTTGAGGTTTCTGCTGATTCACAGCAAAAATGACTCTGTCGTTTTCTAAGTGAGGTAACAATTTCGAGGTGACCTTCCTTCTCTTCATAGATGGCTCTTCGACGCTCGTAGCTGATGAAACAGATCTTCTGACATTCTGTTCCTTCGCAAACTTGGTTGTATGAACTTTATTATTTCGCATAGACCATTTAGCTCTTGATATCCTGGAAACCTCCTCTGGAATCTTAGCGACATTTCCACTTTTGGTATTAATAATTGTTTGAGTCGGTTGATTAATACTTTGCTTAACAGCAACTCCCAATTTAGAATGGACTGTATACGGCTGACTTCTTGTTGAGGATGTGTTAACAGTTGAGCTTGCTTTGTACAGAACACTGCCACGACTGGGCACATCCTCTTGTAAAGTCTGCAGGAACTTTTTATTTTTCGGACTCCTTTCGAACACTATCGCTGGAGTAGTCTTTCCATTTAGATTAACCAACACTTGCTTATTTTGTTGAGTAGTCCCATTTAGTTTACGTAAATCTATGTGTTTCAATTGTTTACATACTGATTGCGGTGAATAGACAATATTTGATTTATCATGGCAATAGGATATTTTGACAGGTGTTAAGGGGGCATCAACTTCAACTTCTCGTCTTCTTAACCGATTTACAGTCATCTGTGTATCTGAAGATTCTGTAGTTTCTTCTGAATTTTTTTCGTTTGTAGTATCCATTGCACTTTTGACTTTTTCCCTGCAAACTCTCTTTGGACGGTCAAATGTCTTTGCCATGAAATCTTTTTTTATATCGTTGACTTGTTCTTGCTTCACCTTCATGGAATGTAAGGTTCTTTGTTTGAGATTACACGAAGAGAATCGTTCAGCACAAGATTCAATTGATCCTGGCGACGTTGCACAGATGCAAGGAGACGTCGGCGAATCAACACTTTGAGGTGGAGTGAAATCTGTGAGAAGACTTGTAGACAGATCTATACAGGTGTCGATTTCGTTACTAGATGGAGTTATTAAATCCGTGAGAGATTCAAATTCTTTCAAGTTGTCCACTTTGGAATATAGATAAGGTGCTCCAGTCAAGGCTATGGAGTTAAAACCATGCGCTGGTTCAACAACACCTTTAGATAAGGACGTACGCGATAACTCGGGCGTTACACTATCAGAATGAGTTGACAGTGGAGACTGACACGTGGATGGCGTTATGGGAGTAGTTATTGGATCCTCTACTAATTCATGTTGAGATAATTGTATAACAGTTTCTTCTTCCGATAGCACAGATATCTCAAAAGTTGACTTATCTGAATTCAGATCATATTCTACCAGAGCCACCTTCCCACTAACATTGTCGCTTTCATCAAGAAATACAGGATCCTTCGTTTTCTTTGAAAAGGCTTCATTTTCATTAATGGAGTCGATGAGCAACTGTTCCTTATGCGCCAGGAGATCGATGCTACCATTTGAGCTATTAGTGGTAAGATTTTCATCTTTGGGCGGTATTCTGATCAGACGAGGATCTACTGTCTGTACGTTTGAATACATAAAGTCATTGGGAGGAGAATTCATACTGGTTAATTCAAAGTCAAGTAACGAGTTTAATATGCCAGTTGTACCCAGGCTTCCTTCAGGCAACGATTCTATCGAGAATTCTGAATTTGAATTGCAGACTGAAGTTTTCTCTCTTTTCATGCGTGATTCTACTTCTCCGTGTTCAAAAAAATCTGTGATGCAATTAAATAAATTAGTCGAGTTATCCTTGTTGGGTGAAGCTAGTACGGCCGAAGTAGGATCCTCTAAGATTTCTTGTTTATCTTGTAGACTCATATCTCCATGCAATATACTATCCAGTATATCAATATTTTCAAACTCGTCAACTTCATTCCTGCTGGGAGTCCTAATTTCTTCTGTATCTGCGTCATTGAATAATGATGATTTAAAGGTATCCTCCGAATTGGATAAATCATCATCATTCTTCGATTCACACTCCTCCAGGTTTTCATACATTTTTTTAATCCGCATTTTTCTCGTTGCTGTTATCGAGTGCTTTTGAATGAGACTCATATCGCTTATTCCCAAACTACTAGAAGCTTTTCCAAGTTTTTTAGCGGGTGATACGATTTGAGAGTCCTGGCCTTCAATTATACTTTGTGTCAAAACTCGGTCCAAACTTGTTGGATATGCGCCCGGTATTACATCCCAAAATTGGGTCCATACTTTTTTTGGTTTCACAAATAAATCACACGCACTAATACAATTTGAAATGTCCATAGATTTATCAAGATTATAGAACTCGCTAACTATATGTTTATCACAGGCTGATTCATTATCCATTGTACTATGATCTACTATATCCTGTAGCTCCTTCCCCTGTGTCACTGCTAAATTATATTCATTGATATCTTCTGTATTGCGCATTAATCCATTAAAACTCAACAGATTTACTTCTACGCTTTTATTTGGAATAGAAGCCTGTTTATCGATAGCCTTATTCGACTTAGGTTTGGTTATTCCTGTATTATTTGATATAACTCCATCACTGCTATTCATGCGATACACGTCTTTCGATGAATCTTGAAGACGATTACACGAATTCGTAAGAACGTTATCATAGGATACATTTAGACTATTCATTGTATTATTATCTATAGTTGAATGTGAATCTTGCTTTATAATCTCTGAGGTTAGGTTACAGTCTTGGCACAACGCGGGTGAAGCTATTGCTTCTACGGAGTTTTCTCCCTGAGAAAACAAGTCGTTATTGACCTGAGATTTCGTATAATTCAAAATCATTTCACTATCCCTCAAAGGAGATACTTCCGACAATATTCCATCTTTTTCCTTTTTCTCTGCTTGCTGCAGATTCATTGAGGCATAAGCGATTTTCTTGACACTGTTGCATAATGATTTGTTAGTTTGGCCATTTGACAACATACAACCTCCGTACCTTTCGGTTACTTTGTTCTCAGATACTGGCACGCATTCGGAAATAGAACTGGATGGATTATCGTCATGATTTTCAGTAAGTTTCGCATCCGGTGTATTTATCCAGTAGTCGGATTTTGAAAGATTAGCCTCTTTCTTTGCCTTTAATTTCTTCTTACCTTCCCTTAACCATTCTGGCTTTTTCTTACATTTTTTCTTCTTCTTTTTCCTCAAATTTGTTTCTTTATTCTCTTCCTCTTCCATTATCAAGTCAATCAGTATAATCTCACCTGGTTTTAACTTTGGTACTAATCGCTTGAACTTCTTCAATTTCACCGACTTCTTAGCCGGAGATATTCCAATCGCTGGAGTTTCACAAAGTGTCATGATTTTTGGACGATTCTCATTTCCTACCTGAGTTTGTTGCTGATCCATTGATACTGGATGATATGAGTTTCTCTGTTGAAAAAGAAATATATAAATATGCTAGCCTTGAATATATGAAAAATGTATTGCAAAATAATTGCAAGTCTTTCAAGTTAATTATATATTATAATTAAATGATAGAAGTTACCTTTGCAGTGGATACGACGTTATTCTCAATCACTTTTGTCGTTGATTCCTCCTTTGGCAAGGACACAAGATCTTTATCTTGAAATGACAAAAAGTTATCACACGCACTTCTCAAATCGAATGAGTTCGGTTGCATTAAAGATAATGTTCGGCTTTTATGACACTTTGGTGGTTTCGGAATAAATTTCGCCAACTCCGAGCCCACGTTGGGTACCAACGGACCCAATTTGGACAGAGCTAATTCGTTGATCTTCTTTTTGTCACGGGAATCTTTCTTGATCTTTTTCCATAACTTCAAAGCAAGCAAGTAGCGCACATACGTCACGTCCGACATTGGCTCTATGTTCTTTGATACGCTTGCAAAACATTTCCTGTTTAACAAATGAAAATTTAGAATGTTACCACTGCAGTTAACTGATAAGGAAATCATTTTTACATACGTGAAAATAAGGTCAAATATGTCACTGTACTTCTTTGTGATGAATTTTGCTCTGAACAATACTTTGAATGTATGTTCCTCCGAGTTTTCTAAAATAAATTATCTTATTTTAGCAACTTATCAGAATACTTGTTGCATCGTTATATTTGGTAGATTCTAATGCCTAAGACAAAAAATATATATTTACCATACCTAGAAATATGTGCAGAGCAGTGAGGAGTTTTGCGGCAACTTTAAGACATGAATCTTTTCCCCTTTTGGATGCTTTAAGCTCCATATCCATATACAATCCAACTATTTCAGACATCTTATCCAAATATGAACTGTGATCATTCACTCCCTGAGAGGAAAGATTAGTGATTAATATTTTTGTATGAATGAAGTAAAAATTAAACAGTAAGGGAAGAATATACCTCTTTTACGTCTTGCCAGTAAAAATGAAAAAATGTAAGAGTATTATTCATATGATTCTTTAGTTTAGCTGCTCTATAAGGCTTAGAGTAGCATGTATTTACATCTTTGGATACATTCCTGTGAAATACAAGTACAAATTTGTGACCAAGATATATTAAAGTGAAGAACTTACTGTAAACTTGTAAATTAAAATAAAATTTAACAAATGCTTACTCTATATAAATGGACAGTAACCGCTCCAAAAGCTGGTAGCTTTTATTACCAACCGCAGAACACATAATTTTGGTGAATTTAATAAGCCAAGGAAAAATTTCTTGAAGTGATTTGTTAGCTTCCAAATGATTGCTTTGTGATTTATTACTTTGATCACATTTAATATCATTCTCAGACAATAATTTTGTAGTATCCAAACTCCCGGAACGTTCGCGTTCTTCTGACAATTGCTTGTCCATTGTTTTCCCTAAGAAAATACAGTAAAAATAGTAACAGAAAGGCATAACAACTGTACTTTAATTAAATAATCAATGATTTGTATTTCACGGAACTCTCACTTTGGCTGACATCTTTTAACAAATGTCCTTGTGGTATTAATGAACTCGTAATATCAGTATCTTGAGTTGGTTGTGCCGTATCTTTCAGATGGAAACTATAATGCATATAAATCAAAACTTCATTCCATGCCTATCAGTTAACTAGGTAATATAATAATTCCAAGGGACCAAGATACATACATATAATTAATAAGTAAAAAACAAAATAAATATATGGGAATCGAAAGGAAAGACTGTTATTCAGTATAAATTTGTATTATTAAAAACATATACTCCAAAATTAAATAGCCTTTTTTATAGAAATTATAGCCAATTAGTAAATAGGATAAAACTGCAGAATACGTTCTTGAAGAGATTCACGTAAAAAAAAATAAACAATCCATAACTAACTTCAAGAAGAAGTCGTATTCTACAGTTTAGCCGGAGAGACTTTTTATTCTAAAATGAAAACAATTTCTTAGGCAAATAAATATGTGTTACATCAGATCAGATCCAAAATATGGAATGTTACAGGAAATAGTATTTTGAATGGAAACTTGGAGTTCATAAACACCAATTGAAGGTGCATGGCCATACCTTAAGCAGGAGGGGTTAGCTGTGTACAAGTAATTATACATTCTACATATTCATCCATAAAGCAAAAGTAGTTTAACAGGATAATAAACCTATCTCAATTCAATAAATATACTGTCACAGTAGGAATGTCATTTTTCCTGGATACGCCATACCAAGGAGGGCCGTTTCAATCAACAATGGAAGTACGCAGGTTTTCGGACAAGCCTTTCGAAGTCATGGAGTCAATGTAGTTCGATATTAAAAGGATCATTGTACCTTCCCGTGACGCTGTACGGACTCGTTGCCAGTGTGCCCCACATATCCAGAAATCACCACAAAATCAGATAAACTCGTCGAACCTCGAAGAATGCCATTGTAACGTCGATCCGCGTTTATGTTTCTGCATGTTTTGTAGTTTTGCGGCGTGTTTTGCCGCTCGTGGTGCCGCCTATAGCTCTTTCCTGCAAACAGAGCAGCTTCGACCGTGGTTTCGACCAAATGGACCGCGACGCCTTGCGTCCCGTTACATCGACGATTCCGTTGCAGCAGCTTCGGTTCAAACAAAACGTGAATATAGTATTTAGGATCGAAAATCAAATTGATGAACCCTGGCCTTATGGCTAATTTCTTCACCTTCGGATAAAATTAATCCAGCGAATAAACTAAAACATGACAATGATTGGTTAGCCGGGAATTTATTCGCAGGATAGATTTTATCCGAAGGTGAAGAAATTGGCTATTACTGGTAAAAGGAGCACACCAATTTTTTAAAGATACTATTCAGGAAACTGTTGCAAAGGATAATTTGTGACATTAAACTTAATTTATGATACTATAGTCAAGACTGAACGTAAATTAAGTATTATTTATAAAATAAAGGTTTATTTCTATTTGCCCTATAAGGGCAGATGGCGCTAATGCAGAATGCCATAATACTATGAAAACAATTCGGTATAACAATTTTTTACATAATTTATCAACATTATGAGGATTAATTTTTCAAGACGTAACAGGCCTACTGTAAATGTATGATCGTAGAACAGTGAATATGAAAATGTTCACAAAAAGTAGTTCTCTAGCGCTATACGCTCCTGAAGGAAGCCGTGCTCATCAGGCACGGGACGTGAAGTTAGCCAAGGGTCTGAACCGACCGCTAGCGACCGATCACGTATGTGACATGGCGTCCGGGTAGAAAGAAAGTTGACTGTTAAATAAGCGTTAATGTTGTTTTTATGACATTGACCGACCGAAAAGGGAACCTGCGAGTCCGCGAATTTCCCCTAGACACCGGCATTGATGGTAATGCATGCAAGGAAACCACAAAGGATCAGCGATGGGTAGGGGACCACCATCAAATACCCGATCCTGACACAACCAACCTCACTCACACCTCACCTCTCATCTCGTCGTCCGTCCGTCCGACCTACTCGACATCATCACCACCGCCATTCGCAAGGGATTTTCCCCGGTGAAAAACGAACTCATTTCCACCGCGGATATCCCGCTTTATCCACCGTTAATTCACCTTCTTCTTTCTATGATTTCAGGTACTTCGAAAAGCACCAGGCCCATCCCTATCAGGTAAATATCGAAGGGGCTATTCCCGTTGGGCGACTCGGAGGGGGGTTATTTCCTCAACACCTTTGACACACGCGATTTTCCTCCGAAACTTTTGTATTAATCCCATTAGCCTAAACTCTATCGTATAATCGCGATTCATATTCCCGCGAAGATCATACCAGTTCGATAATTGTGCTCATTGCTTTCGTTATCGGTCAACCTTTCCACCTGGGTTTCATCGTAGAACACCTGTCTTCACGTTTAACGCAATCCCGTATCAAGGAACTTCGGAAGTTATTTTGCTGTACGTGTCATCGCGGTTTTCCTATCGTTAACTTTCAATGGTTTTTTTTTCTTTTACCGCGAAATTCTTATTCTCTGAGCAATCGATTTTTGACGACAGCTTGATGGGGAGTTCTGATATTTCAAGAAAATACGAAGAAATGCTGACACATTTTTTTAATACTTTGGTTTATGTTTTCCCTTAAACTCATTGGTCCTCACGATTTTGTAAAGAAACTCTTCTGCTCTAAGTGTATTGTGACTTCCGCTAGGTTAGATTTAATATTCAGTTTTCTGTTGGCTCTGTACTGTGCATATAACATAGCTCATACATTGGTCTTGTTCGGGATAGGTTTGATTCGCGTTTGTAAATTTCTTTGAGCCATTTTTCGTTGACTTTCTTCATTTTCTCATTCCATCCTTTGTAAGTCAATAAGGAAGTTCGTATTCAACAGTGTAGCTGACTCGGATAAAATTTACGTGATTTGCTCATGTTCAAATTTCGTTTCTTGTTTTCCTTCGAATTTTTGAACTACTAGTTTGTTGTGATTGATGGCAAAATTGTGGCATTATCATTTAGATCGTACGGTAATTAAAAATATTAAAGAAGTTTTTAAAACGCATCGTCCAATGCATTTCCCTCTGAGAATCTGAATAATGTTCTTTTTTTTCTGTTATTTGATTCATTGCAAAAATTATTTTAATAATTCATCATTTCTTTGTGGTTTCCTATGAATTTTAAAGAAAAAGAGTTAAATATACATATTTAAATAGCATTCGAGATATTTAAATGTTATTACAAAGACGAGCTCTTTAAAGTCTTGTAAACATAACCTCACTTCTACAAAAATCAATAATCTGCATATTCGTAGTTATTTTACATTACGAGTGTATCGCGAGATCATTATTGGGGATCCTCGTAAATTAAATGTCGAGTATTTTTTACATTCATACTCATTCAATTTGAAATCTCATTATTCAATGAAATTTTCTTTGTTGAACATTGTACTGCTGCTTAGTATCCCTCTTTACTTCCTGTTTCGGTATTAATATATCTAAAGCTACTAAATTTTGTTGTTTTCTATTAATTATTGTATAATGATAAGCTATTTGTAATTGAAACAATATTTCCAAACATATGATTTCACATGACTGTTGCATTCTGTGTACAAATAGAAGTTTCTAATTGATTAATATTTATTTGTTCAGAACGCTAAATACGGCAGTTCTAAGGGTGGCTATTCATCGTCGACCACGTCGTCGGACAGTCGTTACGAGGGGCGAATGCGTGATTCCCCAAATGGAAACTCATACAGTCCAGCGGGAGGCATGGGAATGGGTATGGGGGCAGATCGAGACAGTCCCCGTAGCTATGCAGCCAAGCCCCTTTACAAGAAGGAGAGAGAAAACAGAGACTATAAGTTATCCTCCTCTAGGGACAAGTATTCCGGTAAATATACATACATATATTTATATATACATTTCTTTTTCTTAGGTATCGTCTAATATTAATTGGAGATTTGGATAAGTCATTGCAATTAACAAAAGGTCCATGGAGCGCTTGCTATAAACATAACAGAACGAAAGAAGAACATTTTCCACTGTTCAGAAACTTATAGAAATCATGCTTCCCCCTTCAGTATAAAAACAGGGTTGTCTCTTAACATTTTCAGCTGTAACATGCTTGCTTGCATATGTGTAGATTGTGCACGATCCCCAAAAGACAAGAGAAGCCGTGAGAGCAGGGATTCAGAGCATAGGACCAACCATGATAGGAGCGGTGGAGAGGTAAGTCTATATTTTAATCAAATAATAGTGCAAAAAAATTCGCAAAGTAATAAAATCCCTACACAAAATCATAAGATTACTTGCTAAAAATCTCTAAACGTGCTTTTGATTCCCTGTTTAAACAAGTATTATTATCATACTGAAACATTATATTTTTTACAAATACAGTAACCAATCTAATCGAACTTTCATTCAAATTCTATTTCATTCATAAAGCATACATTAAAAACTCTTTATTTTAATCTACTCTGAGTTTCCTTGTAAGGATTTTGGGATATATATTAATTGGTCCCAGCCCCTAATTATGATATTAAAAAACTGGCAATAATATATCATTTTCTATCACTGCTATAATAAACTATAATGTAAATCAACATCGTTGACACTATTAAGAAAATTCCACTAAAAAAAGCAATATGTGATGCTTTTCCATAGTTGAATAAATGCTTGTCTTTCTCTTTAATAGATCTTACACCCAATAAAATTGTCATCAAACTCATCAAGAGATTCTTCATCTCAAAGGAAACCAGCACACAATTCCTGTCAGGTCAGTATTGCAACGAGGCACAGCAATTATAAATTACCAAATAAACGTATCAATGTTATAAACAACAATATGGCACTGACTAACATGTAACAAGCATAACATGAATCCTATGCACAGTGTTTACTTTAAAATTACCTATTACAATATCACAAGATCCCTTTAGAGTCAGACAGACTAAACCCCAGTTGCCTCGCGTAACTCCGTATTTCCAGACGTAATTTCACACCAGTACGTATTAGTGTTGCTATATCTCTTTAAAAAAGGCTCGAACAAAACAGCTCCGTCATAATGCAGAGGCTTTGATATAAGTCCATTGACCCTTCGACGATTGAATTTTTCCGAAAATTTTAGAACACTATGTTTAGGACAAACGTGGCGATGAACGAGGAGGTGCGATGGAACGTACTGCCAGGTTTGGCGACTGGTCAGAGCACATGAGCTCCTCGGGAAAGAAGTATTATTACAACTGCAAAACAGAGGTATCCCAGTGGGAAAAACCTCGGGAATGGATCGTCCGAGCAGACAGTCGACAACGCCAGTCCAATGACTATTCTTCTAGGTCAAGTAAGTTGGAGAAGTAAATTGTATCCTGAGATGATCAATCGGCACTCTGACACTGATGCACATAATACCGATCTGGTTTGTCGTGTCGATAGGTCATGATAAACATTCCAACTCGCGTTCGAATAGCAGTAGCGGCGCGCGAGACGGCAAATCCTCGCGGCAGTCCGACAAAAGAGAATATTGGCCGTCCTGTGGCGGAAGCAGTGGTGCCAGTGGTAGAGACGAGGTCTCCTCACGAGAACGTGAGAGAGAGAAGGAACGAGAGCGAGAACGCGAGAGGGAAAGAGAGTCCTGTAGGGAAGAGGTGGGAGTAGAACGTCAAGCACAGGATATGGACATTTCACCAGGTGATTCCACACCTACCTCAGAAACACTGACATCCAGCGCTCATGATCCACTACCGCAAGGACCCGTACTCCTGGCCACCGGTACGTATCAGAAAATTTTTCTTCCAGGATTACACTAATATCCCGCTGTTCTACTCAAGGTTTACAATATTTTTTTCTTTCTGTAGCATTACCTCGACTGACGTCTCACCCGCCGTCTACGCCGCAGACACCCGGTAAGCTGAGCTCACCTACGCAGCAGCAAGGGAACGGTAACGCGCCAGGACCACCAGTCTCTTTGGCAAGCCTACCAAGACTTCTTTCCCAAATCACTGGCAACAAGGAACAGCCGGACATCACGCCACAGAAAGCATTACAGACTATACAAACTGCCATCTTACTATCGCGACAAGTGAGTGATCTACGAGGGCCTCTTTTTTTTACGAGTGATTTATTTTGACAGTGTCATAACCTCTTGTGAATTCTGTAGCAGTCAGGTAGCGGAGATCGAGGCAGCAGTGGAAACGACGTGATGGCTCCACTCAAAGTGGACACCAGTGGCAATATTGCCGGTGAGGGACCACCTACTCCCACGCACTCAGAAACCCAAGATTGCGTCGACGCACGAAAACGTAAAAGATCCTTTAAAGTCACGTGAGCCTAGAGTGCCGTCCTCTGTCACTAATCATGATATTAACAAGCGTCTTCTCATTGGTAACTTCAGTGACAAGCCCTGCAGGAGCGAATTCCGGCGTGCAAGCACTCAGCTCGTTACAAGGATTGAGTAACCTGGGTTCCTTGGGAGGATTGGGAAACGGAGGAGGACTTCAGGCACTATCAAGAGTACAACCACCTCTAACCCCATCTCTAACACCTTCACTCGCCAATCACTACCGGGAAGACCTGACCCAGCACGTACGGGCCTTCCCCGCGGATATCCTTGAGAAACAGGTGTGTATATCAAATGTTCAAGGGAGTTCACTTTCTGAGATGCGGATCGTATACGCTATCTCATTCATTACGAAAACGTTCAGTCATGGAATGTGCTCCTTCCCGAGACAAATTCTTAAAGAGTTTCGTCCTTTCGGTAATGTGTATGCAAAGACGGTTCCTCGATCCTGTAAGGGCTACGATTTACAGGCGCAAAAGCTTAGCGAGGAAGCACATACGATGGGCAGTTTACAGTGTACGCGAGTATCCGCGGAATTGAAAACTGCGCGGTCGATAGTGAGGCTGACAGAGATTCAGGCGACGCTACAGGAACAAAGGTGAGTTTTCTATGCTTGAAATATATTATGTGACACGATGATATCACCTGCACTGTGTCAAATGATTTTCGCAATGTTAAAGATGACAACACGTTTACGTTTTCCATGTTACAGGATATTATTCCTCCGTCAACAAATTCAGACGTTGGAGGAATTGAAATCCCAAAATTCCTTCATGTCTGACGATTCTTAGTGTAAGGGACTTTATAAAAAATAATAATAATAATTACAACCTATAATTAATTCATGCAAAAAAATAAAACATAATTATTAATATTCTCATTAATATTGAATAATTAAGATTGTACCTAAATTATAATATCATCATAGAAATGATATGATAGCGAACGATAATGGTTGGGCTGCCCAGAGTGGATGGGCTGCTTCGATTGTCAGCCCACAAGTCTTATTATTAATAATTATTAATTAGTAAATGCACCTCTCTGGGTAGTACGCAAGGCCTATCCGATAAACATAAAACACTACACCACACACAAAAACACAAACACACACTTATACTTCTGATACACGTACACAATCATACATTTATTTCTATGTTACAAACGTACACACAATCACCCTATCAGTCATTGAACACAAAAACACAAATTGAATAGGAAATGAATTGACTCTATCAGTTCAATTCAAACTGTACTGAATTGTATATCTGAATTGTCCACATTGTCTTGTATTACCTATGTTGTACGTGTCAATGTTTCATATCCCAAGAATAAGCGGCATTTTAACTAGTTGGATCCGTTTTGTTGTAAATCTCGGAATAAAATTCGTGCCACAAGTTTTTAATCCACTTCTTTACCGCCGTTCTCTCGCAACGCCTCTTTTTTACTTAGCTGTAACCTTAAATATGCGTGTGCCGTGCGTTGTGCTTGTCCGAATAATTGTCCAAGCCAGTTAGTACAAAACAGAGAGAATGGTAATGTATATAACGAAAGCGCGATTACTTACGATTTGTAATTGCGTGGGTAGTCAGTGATGGACGTGTTTATAGGCTGTTTTAAATACACCAAGCATAATATTACTGTATTCAATATTTATTGAGCTATAACTTTGGATACAATGTTTTTAAGAAACTTCAATCTTTACTTTGTCTTCACGGCTTTTTCTTTCTCGTCGTTAACACACACCCTGTGTCGTCTTCTCTTTAATCTCTCAACGATAAACGAAAATAATCGTCAATGTAAATATTATTTTCTTCTCGTAATCATTGTCGCTTAACAATAAATTCTGCTTTGTTACTCTCAAGAATGTCTTTAAAGTCCGATGGCGCTTTGCCTTTACCTGAACAGACGAATATCTGGAATAGTTGAATAATGAACACAATTGTACAAGTCACAGTATGAATTTCTCACATTATGGTTATATTTCTTTGAGGAACTGTCGAACGTGTCATCCTGCTTAGGTCAGAGAAACTAGTGAGAAAAAGTGAATGTAAGAAAAAAGGAGAAAGGATAAGAAGATGCTCCGTTACAAAATAATGTATTCGTGGTCTCCATTACCTTTTGTTCGTCTCGAAATCGCAATTCTCCTTTGTATCGCCTTATATCGGTATGATCCAAAGAATTTTCATTCACGAGCTAAGAAACAAAATTTCGACATTGACTAACGCCGTTCGTGAGGAGGTGAAACAAGGATAACACATAAAATACAATCCTTGAGGATGTCCTTGTCCTTGAGGAAAGATAAGAAAAAAGTAATAATCGTGAACTGAACATGGAAAAATTCTTTGGTTCAAACCTCCGCACGCTAAACTGACATATCCCTAAATTCATAAAGAAAAATTTCCCTAGCTAGTGCGTGAGTCAAAATCATAAACCCAAAAATTCGTTCAACGTAACATTATTTTGAAATATTATTCTCGTACATTCTAGTATTGAGTAATACAATTATTACGTGTACAGAGGAGAATAATTTTAAGAATAATAATTATAATAATATTTAATATTACTGTATCTCTACATGTCACGGTGTTTCTCAACTCAAGCTCTATATTAAATTACATTCGAGAATTACGAGTATCCTTGTTACCGTTAACCGTGCACGGCGTCATTTTCGCTTCGAGACACAACAACGAAAATTCGAAAGAAAAAGAAGAAGTCGAATAAGTTACGTTAAATCAGTCGATGTAGGAAGTATAAAAGGGCGTCAACGAAATAACCACTGAACTTGTATGTCGTCCCTTCGCGCTGCCTAATTAAAATTAAACGTTATCACACATTGGTAAGGTTACTCGATCAGTCCTGAAAATCGTGAGAATAAAATACGAAATAATATATCTCGACGAAAATTAAAGAGAAGCTGGCGTATGGGTGTAGCGCAGGTACGAAGATGAAAGAAAAGAGAAAAGACAAGAAACGTCAAACCCAAGAAACACGAATGATCGTCTTTCTTAACTTCTCGTGCTTTGTGCGAATAAAGATGGCGCTCTTCTTTTTCTTTAGTCTCGCGCGTTACGTATATACAATGTTTCACGTGAATAGCAAACACTACGCGACAGTGTCAATCCCCTACAGGATCTGGCTCCGTCGTCGATCGGTTGAGAAACACCGGAGTTTCGTGTTCATTATAATAATATTATTAGCTATCGTTACGATTAATGTCGTGAGTACGTTATTACGTACCCACAGCACCCGGAGCGTACAGTGAACATTCTCCCATGTATTACTTTTATTTTACATACAGTTCAGTCATTGGATTTATTTCATAACAAACTCTCGCAATTTATGAATAGTCGCGCGTGATCGTTACCCTCCTCGTCTCCTCGATACACCATAAAAATCCCCGCTTCGAAATAATGTTACAGACGTTCGTGTTTAATTCAGTTTACAATGCATAATTTAACCGACTAATAAGACGATAATAAGGCCTCGGAACACTTGACACTGAGCAGACATCGCGCGACTCCCGGAAACCAGTCGCATCTTTCTCTATGCCAATCTCTTGCCTTTGTAATCTATTGTTAACTTCCGGTAGCAAACTGGAAGTCCGTAAGACGCCATCGGAGCCTGTATAAGAAACTTAATTTATATTAAAAAAAAAAAAAAAAATGAGTCTTCTGTATTTTTCTAATTTTTTTTTTTTCTTTTGAAAAATAAGACCAACAACTTCTGTGTACGGAGTATCATTGTAAAACCACTCCACACGAATAAGCTCCTTTTAAACTGTATATTTTAAGTGGATGTTTCGTCACGTTTTATCTCAAATTTTATTTTATCCTCTAAATGAATTCCGATAATTGCGAGATGTCACGCGTATCAATTGCTGAACCGTTTTCGTGTTTTTTTTTCTTTTTTTCTTTTAATGTATCGCTCTTTTAATTATTTATACAAACATATTGCAATGGAGAGTACAAAATGCTACAAAACAATTCCAATACGATTATTCGCTTCGTAGTCGGTAATAACCTCACTTCTAAGTCGTACAGCTCATAATGTATCTTTTAAGGCCATATACAAGATTTAATACAAAGGTACCGCCTCGCAGGGCAGTGTTCGATATATTGATTAATTTGGAGATTCGTCTGTCTCGCGACAGACAAACGGACGACACAGCCTAGACAGAGAATGTTCACGGTGTATAAGACAGCAGCACAGGACATAACCTCAGCGCACGCAGCCTCCTGCCCTTCGTCTCTTCGCCATGAAAATTAATTCTACGTAGTCGTTAGTTAATAATCACTGCGTTCAGCCGAAGTCTTTGCGTTACGACCTATGACTAATTGTATGAGCTTGCAAGTCCCTTCGTACATGAGGGGCGCGCAAGGTTCGCCATAAACATAAAGAGAGAGAGAAGGAAAAGAAAAGGAGGCCATAATGAGAATCATTTGAGACATTAAGAGTCTCATGGATTAAATGGCTCTGTTTAGCCTTGAAGAAAAATAGAAAATCAATTGGCGTCTGAATCGATGAGTGATAAATTAATTATTTCCTCCTGCAGTGTGATTTGATTCATTGTGAAGTTAATGAGAAGTCGGTCTACGAAGGGTTGTGCGCAGCCATTACGCAAAAATACGTCAGGAAGCTTGTCAATTTGAAAACGTAATTGCTAAGATCATATTTATCGTTCTTATTATTATTATTTTTACGAACTTAAATGCGTCCTAAGACCTACGCGTAAACATTACACAACAACGAATAGAGTAACAATATGTAACAGAATGGTTTTTCATTTTTTTTCTTTTTCTTTTTTTTTTTTTACCTACTTGTCTACTATGGCAGAGGGTGGGTTCATGTGCCGAGTTATTCTTGGCCACTGTCAATTTTAAGCCAACACTATAGACGTAATGTATCTATTCTATGTCCTTAAATAAAACGGTACATGGCTGAATATTGATTCGTAAATCACCATTACGCGTTGGACTAACTACTTTCGGTTTTTTTTTACTCGTATATATATATATATATATATATATATCTTTCTTTGTTCTTCAGAAAAAAAGAAAGGGGACTCCTAAAAAGATTCGCTGCCATTTCAATCACCGCGACTTGCAGCGTATTTATCTTTCTTTGTTCTTCAGAAAAAAAAAATCACCATTACGCGTTGGACTAACTACTTTCGGTTTTTTTTTACTCGTATATATATATATATATATATATATATCTTTCTTTGTTCTTCAGAAAAAAAGAAAGGGGACTCCTAAAAAGATTCGCTGCCATTTCAATCACCGCGACTTGCAGCGTATTTCTCTTCCTCGTCGGCTGAATTTTCAAGAGTCGAAATTATTTTTCAAGATTTTTAACTTTTTCAAACGTCGATGACAGACTTTACATGTATATCGAATAGTTTGTTCGTAGACGAGAAATTGCGTTAAGTTTCGAACGGATTTAAAAATCCACATAATTGTCTGTTGAGATTTACTTGATTGAAAAAAAAGAGTATTTCTTTTGAGAAAATATTTCAAGCCCACGAGAAAGTTATTGATTTGGAACTCGTGTCTACATTTTGAAAAAATGATACTTGCTGAATCACCGTTTAAAGTAACAACATATTGAACTCGTTATTTTCGAGTCGTTTCAACTAAAATCTCAATTGTGATAAGACGGAAAAAAAATGGAGGAAAAGAGTCTACAGCGTCAAAAACAAAATCAAAAGCGGAATCCCGAAAAATTGGACAGATATGAATTATTTAAGTAACAAAGTATTAAAAAATACTCTTTAGAAGCCCCATAATAATTTATTTCCATTCAACATGCTTCTCACATCTCCTGTATTTTCACTCATCCTATGATAAAACACGCAACATTATTATACCTTAATCCTAACAAAATGGCATTCAGTATTCGCTTATAGGATTACTTCATTCGATATATAAAAAAAATATACAATTTCGACTACTCAATTGGAAACGTACGGTAATCGTGACTTTGTACTATCCGAATGCCATTTTAGTGTATGTTACACTTTCCCGGGGCCAGTTCTACAGAGTCTGTAGGGCTGCCCACGAGATCCTAGCTAAAATATAATATTAGATTTTTTTGAATTAATATGTCTATATATATATATAGTGGGATTCCACTGATAGAGTCGCTTCACGACACTCGCAACTACTAGGAGATTACATAAAACTCGTTGGAAATTTCCGGTACAAATTATTGTAAAAAAAAATTATTTCATTCTTCGTAAAGCCGTTTGTAGGAAATTAAAAAAAGAGAACCCAAATCAACCGAACAAAGTACAACGAATGTTACACGTCGACCTGTCATTGACAAATTTTCTGTAACAATCTCATCCCGAATGGATCCCCGGTAAAGATAACGCTCCCATCACTAGCTCCTGTCTAGGATAGCAATTCCACAGAGGAACATAAAAAGAAAAAAAATAATAAACGATCGTTTTCGCGGTTTTCTCCAAGAGATATATCGTAATTCTCATCCCAATAACGTATAGTCTAATATTTAATTGGTGGCAGCCTAATTCCCGATCGATCCGATCTGTCCGAACGGTGTCGAACAAACTTATCGTTAGACACGAGTTAGCCAAAAGTCTATAAACGAATAGTTGGGACACGACGATTATCAGTGAATAATCGTGATTTGCGAAAAATCCAATAAGTTGCGAGCTATGCGAATGACTTATACTTACCTTCGCAGGGTTGCCACACTCCCGCTAGTTATCCCAATTGCACGCAATTTTTCAGCGCTCGGCCATGTCTCGCGTCCGCGTTATCCCAAAATTTCGTAATTCTTCGTTAATCTTGCATCATTAGTATCATTCACGAGAGGCCATTCTCGTCTTAATAGTTTTCAGCAAAAAGGAAGAGAAAAAAGAAGAAAATGATTTTGCTAAGTCATACGTGCGAATGCATCGTTCCTACAGATTAACGTTCAATGAGTAATTGTACGGTAGTATGTTGAACGCGTATCTCTTTTTTTTAATATCGTCACGACGTTACGTCCCGTCGAATAAAATGAATGACTGGCCATCTGACGGCCAATATCGTAAACGTCGCCCGTTATATTCGCATATAATTTAAATAATTTATAATTTACAGTTCTCGGCTGTAGAACACAAGTGGTCATACACAAGCACATTCCGTCGTCGGCACATTACTCATTATATTACACACAGATGCTTGGGTATGCAACCACCTATCCTCGACGCGATCGGCCATCGATTCGATTTCTTGTAAACCGTTGAAAATTTTAGCGGTGTTTATTATACAACGCCATTTATTTTTTTAGTCGCGCGGCATGGGCTAACGTAAAGGTGTTGCGCAACACCCACGTGCATGCACGCATGTTCGCTTGTGTATTACGTTGTTACACGTACGTACGTGCGCGCGTGCGCAGAACCACACACAGATCACGCACTCACTCCTCAGTTAACAGGAAACTCGCGACGACGTCTACCGGGGCATTCTTCGTACTGCTTTTTTGATTCTTCGGGTGGGTTGTGCACTGTAAAGATAATTAATATATTTGCACTGCTCATGCATGCTCTTCGAAGAGTGATACTCCTGGTGCAAAAGTATGAGTTTGAGTTATTAAGTACAAACAGTTTGTGAGATACTTACTTGAAGGTTGGTGGTGCGCTACCTCCGGTAAATTTAAATGAAGGAGGAGTATTTGGGTCGAAAGAAACGACTGGCGCTGCGCCAGGAGCGTTGAAGTTGAAACCGCCGGATGGTGGAGCAGCTGATGCCTGGATTAATAATAATGAAAAATAAGTATAATCTTTGATATTGAATAGATGGTGTTTAGATGATAAATGAAACATACCGCAGATCCGAAATTAAATCCACCTGTTGACGGAGTAGGTGCTGCTGCTCCGAAATTGAACCCTGTATTAGGTGTGGGGTTTGGAGATATGAATGATGGAGCTGATTGATTCTGTCCTAGACCAGGTGTTGACTGTGGGCCACCGAATAAATTTGGCGTAGGATTTACTGGTTGTCCAAAGGCAGGAGTTTCTGGTTTTGGAGCGTTGAATGCAAAACTCGAGGGTGCTGAATTTATTAGAGCTGGTGAACTGAATGTGTTGCTGCCAAAGGCCTTGGCTGGTTGGTCAGTGGTCGATGTGCTACCGAAGGTGAACAGTGACTTCTGTGCAGGTGCAGCAGGATTACTCGCTGAGAAATTGAAACCTCCGGGAGAAGGTGCCGGGCTAGCGGTCGAACCAAAGGTGAATAAGCTTGAATTTGAAGGTGCCGGTGCACTTGCATTATTTTCACTTGGTTTCGAAGTCGAGAAGATGTTCGACGGTGTTCCCGTACCGAAGCTTGGTGTTGCTGCTGGACTTCCAAAGACAGGAGTTACCGTCGATCCGAATGGCGTTACATTGGCAGAAGGTGCACCAAATGTTGGTGCTGGTGCACTGAAAACTGGTGCAGCTTTATCACTGCTTCCAAATGTTGGAACTTTGTTTTCAGTGGCTCCAAACAGCGGTGTCTTTGCTTCCACGTTACCAAAAGCAGGTACCTTGTTATCTAACATACCGAACAAAGAAGGTTTGCTCTCTGGTGCTCCGAAAGCTGGAGCAAGAACTATAGGTTTGGCTTCGTTAGCACCGAAAAGAGAATTGTTACTGGGTACATTGAAAGCTGGAGTTGTGGTGGCGTTTCCGAAGGATATAGCAGCTTCCTTTTTTGATGGTGCTCCACTTTCCTCGGAAGCCTTATTTCCGCCAAAGACAAATGTGGAAGACGATGCTGGTACTGGTGCCGTTACTGAAGTCTGCCCGAAACTTGGAATTGAGGTAGCCTGCGGCAACGACGTTACTTTCTTGTCGTCAAACGTAAACGGACTTTGGCCTAGACTTGGAAGACTTGCAGCTGTTGTGGTCACGTTCGTTGGGACATTAATTGCTGCAGCTAACGTGCTTGGTGCACCGAATGAAAATACAGGAACTGCCTTAGTTTCTGTTACTTTGTTCAGAGCTGCTGATGCTGTAGGAAGAGACGCGTTACCACTCGCTATGGAGCTTGGTGCTGATTCCGAACTCGGTGCACTAGTTTTGGGAGTCTCTGCTGCAGGGGTACCAAAAGTAACTTTTGGTACTTCCTGGGCAGCTTCAGTTTTAGTTATGTCCGTCTTGGTAGTTCCAAAAGTAAATTGTGAAACTGTGCTAGCCGTGACACTTGGTGTACCGAATGTAAACGGTGTTTGTGCAGGAACTGCGGCTCCCTCCGTTTTCGGTACCCCGAATGTGAACAATGGTGTTACTTTGTTCTCCTCTTTTACTGGATCAGGCTGGGGCTTAGCTGGTTGTTTTGTAACATTGAACTGAAAGCCGGTTGTAACTTCAGTAGTCTTCGGGGCCCAGAAAGATGTGGCTGCTGGTTTTGATGTCTCTGGTGTAGCTTGCTCTGCATCTTTGGGTATGCCAAATGAAAACTGACCACTTTCAGTAGTTTGTGGCTTAGAGCAGAAAACGAATGTTTCAGTAGATGTAGAATTTTCAGGTTTGGGTACATCCTCGGCCTTGTCAATACCAAATTTGAAGCTTCCGACATTGGCAGGTATTCCGAAGTTGAATTGAATAGTCGAGCCGGTGCTCGATGTCGTGCTCACTTTATCAGGTTTGGATGCTCCAGGTTTCACAGTTCCACAACAAACGCATTCTGTAATATCTCCCTTGTTTGGAACCATGCAGGCGTCGCAAGTCCACGAACCTTCAGGTTTCTTGAAGTTGTCGCCAAATCCGGAGGATGTCGACTTCTCCGATTTCTTAGTTCCATTTTTAGCAGCAACAGGCTTCGAAGTGTTGCAGCAGGGACAGGATGTATCGGCGTCATTGTTCCTTACCATACAAGATGGACACTCCCAAGTACCTTTTGCAGGTTTACATTTGTCCATTGCATTAGAAGTATTCGATGGAGGGACATTCAGACCAGAGGGTAAAGTTTTAAAAGAGGTCTGATTGTTCATGAAGTTTGAGGCAGTAAAGTTTGTTCCCTTAGGACTCGCACCCAAGGAACCGGGCTTTCCTGTGTTGCAGCAAGGACAAGTCGTGACTTTACCAGTATTCCTTAACATACAACCAGGACACTCCCAGGAACCTTCAGCAGGCTTAAATTTCTCCATCAGATCCGATTTACTTGATGGAATCGTGTTGGGCTTTGTTGTTGAATCCACTCTTTCAATATTTTCCCCTGGTTTTGGAGTGTTACAAGAAACACACTTAACGTCTGTTTGTTTGTTTCTAACTAGACAAGCATCACATTCCCACAAGTTATTGGACATTTTAAATTGCAAACCAAAATCATTATTGTTAGGCTTAACTGTGGGCTTCTGAGAAATTTTATGGACTTCGAGGTTCGACTTTTCAGAATTCAAAGAGTGTGACTTTGATTTTGAAAAATCTGTGCTCGGTTCCAAGGATCCTGTTTGTTTCTCTAGATGAGATCTTCCAGGACTAGATTTCGAGTCAGTTTCCATCTCAGTCTTTTTGCCAAGAATATCCATGACACTTCCTGCTTTCAATTCGTTGGCGACTTTGGTCTCGAAAGAGTTTATCACTTTGTTCTTCGATTTTTCTTTTGGCCTAGGCGCAGTAGATGAACCGGTCCACATGAAATTTGACATCGTTCCACTCGATGTACAACTAACAGTGGATGCATTTGACTCAAGACTGACGTTCTTAGAAGGGGAATTCGATGAGTCGTTCAGCATTTCCTTCTCGTCCGCATTGAGTGGTTTACTGAACGTAAAGTTACTGATGGACTTAAGATTGTTTGAAGTTTCCGTAAGCTTTATAGGACTGGCAAACTTAAAAGTTTCCTCTTTAACGGCATTCTTCTTGGCTGCGCTCGGATACTGAGGTAGTGTAATATCGAAATTCGGAAGTGAGGAAATTGGCAGAGCTATACTTGGCAGATTGACTGCTGCCACCGTTTCCTCCTTCTCCAGACTCGTTTTCGATTTAGATTTAACCTTACTATGAAACTTTGACTTTTCATCGTTTTCAGACCTAAAGGGATTCAAGGTATTTTGGGAGGGAAGAAAAGTAGTTTTTCTATAGTATTTCATCAATGATAGCAATAAACGAAAACGAGTCTTGATAAAACATTGTTATTAAACTTACCGTAACTGGTACTCTTGAGATGCTGGCTGTGCTGGTGGTCCATTACGAGCAGAGACGATGTCCCTAGCTGCAACTGTAGTATCCTGCAACTTTCGACGCCTTCTCAACTTCAGTAAATCCGGTACAGTAGGAACGGTTAGCTCTCTAGTCAGGTGTCGTAGGCCCACTCGAGGTGTTCCTGGATTATCATCTTCTCGAAGTCTCTTTTTCCCCGTTGCAACTGTGTTAATATTGTTTGTATTCTTCAGTGGTATCTTCTTCGCGTCCAGTATCGGCGAGGAAAAATGTTCCAGTGCTTCTAATATCCTCTTTGCGGTTTGACTCATGCCTGATGAATCAGTACCTGCCGCATTCGAGGGTTTCACTTGCACGCTTGTTCTTCTTGGAACTTTTATTTGAGGCTGCAAGATAACGAAAGATTAAATCGACTGAATCGCTTTTTTATATACATATTGTGTTCAAAGTCTTTCTCAGGCTCAGATGATAAGTTAGAAGATACAAACGTCAGAGGAACGAGAAAGATCGAGTAAAGGAATACAATGGCAAGATATAGTCATGTAAAATGTGACAATAGGCAAAGCTATGATAACGTACTTCGTTTGAGTTGTTGAAAAATGAACGATTTCTTCTATAAAGTCCAGCTGCATTTGCTCCGCCAAAGGTGGTATTGCCATTGTAGAATGGAGATGACAGAGATGAGGCACGGTCCAGCGTACTGTTCATCATCGAAGCATTGAAACTTGGTCTACGACTACTCAAGCTATCTCTGGAGGTGCTCTCTAAGAAAAGGGACCGTGGCGACTGTAGATGATTTGCTGTAAATGAACAATATTTTTCTATCAGGTTATAAAAAACAAGACAGATTTCATAAGGAATTTCGTATATCGTGTATATGTGAAAAGATTCGAGAAGGCTATCTAAGAATGATACTTACTGAAATTTACTTTATCGTCCATAAACTTTTTCCTGTTTACATAGGGTGCATTATACGAGGTATTTGATGGACCTTCTTGTCTATTAGTTTGTGGAATGAGAGAGCTACAGCCACTAGTGCTTTCACTCGATTCCGAGTTATCGTCTGTGCCATTAGTCGCCCCATTATTTTGTGGCATTGCTAACGAAGCTAGTGAATTCAACTCTGATCTCTGCGTGGCAGCTGTTCTGATGTCCATGTTGAGTGCAGGTGTTGAGGATACCAAACGACGAACACCACTGGGTCCTGCAGCAGAAGGTTCACGAAAATCCTCCATCTGCAATGAAAAATGTTTCATTATATTTATAGTGACATCAAAGTTTTTTTTGTTTTGCTTTTAATGGTGCAGTATTAAAATTCTTACTGTGTCATTGTGATTAGGAAATGATTCTTTTCCAGAATTGGCTTTGTCCAGTGAATTTCTGTTTCTAGGTCGAATGGCAAATGTGCCTGGTGGATGGGTCACATCCATCCTTATGCAAGCACGTTTCAATGGTGGCGGCTGTTGCATCTCCTCCTCTTCAAGTTCTGACTCTTCTGGATTCTCCATGTCATTCAAGATATCTCCATTATCTTGAGAACTATTAAACCACTTGCTTATCCAGGATTTTTGTGGGATTAAATCTGTTACCTTTGTTGCCACTTTTTTTACAAAAGACTAGAAAAAAATGTTACTTGTCAACATAGAGTTCAGCAATAATATTATAATAATCAAACATCTTAAAGACTTATATATCTTTAACAATATTATAAAAATTAAAGCCACTTTAATGTAAAGTACGTTCTGGCTAATTGATAAAAGTACAATAAACATGTAGACCCAAGGAAATAACTGTTGCAAAAAGAAACTCACATTCTCAGTTCATACAATCATAGTTCAAAAGAAATGTCTATTGCAAAACTGCTAATAAAAAAAATATTTTCGACCTAAACTTAAATAAATGTTATTCAGAAATTTGGACAAAAACTCCATACAATCCACGATTAATTATTCTTACGTCAAATACACGAGTAAAACCGTCCAAGATACACGAATAAAAAAAATGTCATACCAGGGTGGAGAATATATCGAGACATACATACATATATATATATATATGAGTTTGCAATTAATTATGCCCACGCGCAAAAAGTGTCATCTAAAAAGGATCGGTTTAACAGTGATCAGAAACATAACGACGATACTACCCAATAGACAACGAGTATATAGCAAAGGAATCGCATTTCAAGGTTATAGCATCTCTTACGCGAAGATGTATGAACGTGCGGGTGTGTAAAGAATAAGATTGAGGTTATTTCACACACTCACATGATTGTGGTATCGAAAGGGTCTCGCGGTAACCCATTCAGTTAAAAGACTTGAAATATACAGTACATTTCGATGATATTCTCGACGGGAGTAACTCTTAGAAGATTCTATTTCGGGAAAGACGCGGAAAACCGTTGGGAGGCTCGCAGGTTTGGTTCTGCCGCGGAAGGCCTTATCCAAGGCGAGACTACTCACGTTGTTCGCGTCGTAAGGCTTGGAGCCATGGGCCCGCTTCCCGGTGAGGCTTTTGCTTCCCTTGGCCATGATAACACACCAGTCACTTGTTAGTTATTACACGCGTACGCTGATTTAGATAGTTGCATCCCAAATTGTCACCGCACCACCTTCACGACCCGAGAACCACGAGAGAAAATATGGCCGCCTCAAAGACCGCCGCCAGGGCGCCAGCTTCTGTTGGTTGCGCGCTTTACTGCGCTCGCCCACGTGACTGGTGCGAGCTACGTCGGTTAAAAATCATACAAGTCGTTCGACTTTTCTGACTAATCTGTAAAGGCGGTTTGAAATTGTATTACACGGCACTAAATTCGAATTTTTTTTATTAAACCTATTTCCTCCTATTTCTGAATTCCCATCTGATGAAACAGATTGAACGTGTAGTTTGTAGTAAACTTTCACTTGAGATTTTATTGTTGCACACCAGGCGGCAAATACAGGCGAAGGGAGGGGGTGACTCCGAAGGTAAAACAATTCGCTACCTCACTGTACATACATGCACCAGTTACAACATTAGAAAAAACATTTTTATAATTACATTTGTAAAACCCTTCATTTAAAATATACGCTTATAATGTTATACTCTAATAATATTCAACAATGTTAGTTCTTGAAGCTTCTCCATCTTTGAAAATACATATAAGCTGCTAGGCAAACGAATATGAAAATAAGAATAAAAATGTAACTGTCATTAGTATATTTTAGCATAATGTACATCCGTTCATAAATAACGAGGAAAGTTTAAGATGTATATTACTGTTAATATTAATGCCGAATAACCTATCAATAAAGTACTGTACTCGTAGCCTTAAGCCCGTCGAAACGTGTATCAGTATAGGCACGCAGACACTATGACATACTGTTTTAAGTAAAAATATTTGTGTGAATATAACAAATTATCTAAAAATAAACCTTTTTGTTAAATATTGTCAAACAAATACCTAAAAGTAGTTACGCTAAATACACCAAGTACATGTAAGTACTTGGTGTTTGTTGATGGTAGCCATTTTGTATCAGTACTCTAGTCAAATTTTATTTAAATACCAAAGTTTGGTTCATTTAAGTAATTAAATATAAAATTGTGAATGTATAATTCAAATTATTATTTGCGGCAAATTTTATTATGTACAATAGTTTCTTTCTGTACCATATATTGCTATAGTTTGGGTCCAGTCATTCTACACGTTACTTCCACTCCGTTTGGTGTGCTCCTTTTCCGGTGTGCATCGTATAAATAAGGTGGTAAGAAAATTTTGTACAATTTATATCTAATTGGTTCTTTGCAATCCTGCATTTTTTTATGTATTAACTTTTTGACAAAAATCATATATGGCTATTAAATTATGATTCCGATATATTAATATTTACTTCGTTAGTAATTTTCAAATATTTACGTCCATATTACATTGACATGTATGATAGGTTAAGAGCCGCAAATTGCATATTTGTGCAATTTACAAATGATTCTTTTATTTTTGTTACTAGTTACTACAACACAAATTGTACACAAATGTTTGTTATATTCTAATAATTGTTGCTAAATAGACAGTTCCCATTGTCTGTGACAACAAGTTTATAACCTATATCAAATCTAGTACTAACATAACCTTGTCGTTGTTTTTACGAAGCATACATGCTGAAATTGGTTTTTAACGTTAACTGAAATATCTGTTTTTTGAAACACTATTTGTAATTCCCATATATGTATTCCATCTTACCAATTAATAATAAAGTAACATGACATTAGTGTTTTGAGCAGTTTCTGCTGAAGTTAATGTAATAATATGTATTTTGTTTCTCAGTGCAAAGATGGGTAAGCGGAATAATATGATCCCAAATGGCCATTTCCATAAGGATTGGCAACGTTTTGTGAAAACATGGTTCAACCAGCCTGCACGAAAATACCGCCGCAAGCAGAACCGTGTGAAGAAAGCCCGTTCTGTAGCTCCCAGGTAAAAAAATAAGTGTACATAAAGTCTGCATGCAATCAGACTAAAAGTTTTTGTTACAATAGTTACTCTTAGTTTATATTTTGCAGACCAGTAAACTTGCTCAGACCTGTTGTTCACTGCCCGACGTTCCGTTACCATACAAAGGTTCGTGCTGGTAAAGGATTCACCTTGGACGAGTTGAAAGCCAGTGGTCTTAACAAACGATTTGCTAAGACGATTGGAATCGCAGTTGACCCTAGGAGGCGCAACAAATCCGTGGAATCCCTACAGACCAATGCACAGCGTCTCAAGGAATATAGGGCTAAATTGATTTTGTTCCCTATCAATGAGAAGAAGGTAAGATTGTACTCTAAGTAACTTATTTACTAGCTCAAGTACGCTATTTGTATTCAAATATAAGTGTCATTACAATATCAACCAATGTCTTATACCATTTTAGCCTAAGAAGGGTGAGGCTAGTGAAGAAGAGCGTAAACTCGCTACCCAAGTTAAGGGACAAGTAATGCCAGTAAGGCGTCAACCTCCAGCTAGGTCTAAGGCACGAGTTATCACCGAGGATGAGAAGAAATTCTCGGCCTACGTGACTCTTCGTAAGGCCAGAGCAGACGCCAGACTTGTCGGAATCCGTGCGAAGCGCGTTAAGGATGCTGCCGAAAACCCTGACGACGTGACTAAGGTTGCTAAGGAGAAGAAGGCTAAGAAATAAACATGCATCATCTTAACGTTGGTATACCCAATAAAAACACATAATTTCCAAAACTTTTTATTGATTATTACCAATCCCCATGAATTATCCTTATTCTGGATATTAACAATAATTAATAATCAAATATTTTTTTAACAGTTTTATTGTGAAATACAAAACAAAATACAATAATTGTTCATCAAAAGTATAGCTTTAATATGTTTGTCAGAGCTTTTTCAAATGCCTCATTTTTAGGATAAAATTGAAAAACCTGTTATTTACAAACGTTGGCGACGTAAATAATTGTCCAGACCAGCCAGTTGACGTAAAAATCCGTAGTTTGGGCGAATATCACGATTAATACGCACTGTACGAATTGCATCTACAGCCAACATGTTCTTCTTTATCATCAGGTATGCCAGGACGCAAGTGGCACTGCGAGATATTCCCATCTTGCAGTGCACAAGTACATTTCCTGCGAACAAAGTATTTTTAGGTTATTTTTATCAAATAGTTACATACTGAAAATGAATCATTAGTAAAATACGAATAAATTTAGTAACATAAATTTAAACATACAAAAATATGGATCTTACATAATTTAAATAAGTGATGTACATTATGCACAATACCTCCATTTTTAAGAGCATCTTCAATGAAATCTGCAGATGTATAAAAATATTTACTAATGTCAACTGATGGTACGTCAGCCAGTGGTAAACCCAGATATTTAATGTTTGTATCTTCATAATATTTTTCATTAGTATGGACATATCCAAAATGTTTTCCTTCAGCTGCATTTAACACATGCGTTATCCCAATGGTTTTTAAGTACCATTTGCTTCTTGCAGCCCCCCTTTAATAGTGGATAGATAAAAAATTATTTATTTCAAAATGTATATAGATATAATACAATTTGTGCACTCTTAGGTACACTTAAGAATTACAAATAGAAACATGAACACGATCATAAATATCTTCTTTGTGTTATTACAAAGAAAAAAATTGTTGTACTGACTCATCTCCGACGAATATTCCTGGATAAACTAAGTTACAATCAAGAGTCTGCTGTAGTTGATAATATTCTGTTTCATCTCGGTCTAAATCAATTCCAGGTATTGGTTTAAAATCTGTCTTTGTATTTAGTAAAACTGCATACAATTCTTCATGGTTTGTTTCACCATCCTCTAGAAATTTCAAGAAATCCTGAAAAAAAGAAATATATTATGTTATTACTACTTCAATTTTATACACATACAATGCTGGTAAAAAGTATGGATACAGTGCAATACATTTGCGCTATACCAATACTTCTGTCACTATATATTTTAAAAATAATCTTATAGATAACTATGAATACTGTAATAGGAAAATATTAGAAATTAATTCTTACAACTATGTGATTATTAGGGAAATTATATTAAACTCATGTTACTAGTAAATCATTTTATTGTACCATGAAACAAAAAAGTAGATACAATTATTTTCATTTATCAACTAGCAAAATTATAAATATACAAATATATCTTGATTTGTATATATAGGAAAAAAAATTTTGGATCAAACAAATATGAAATTTATTAAAATTAGAGACAAAAAAATTCTTTGACAATTTTGCATATTTATAGTTGTTTCAGGGTCACATTCTTTAAGGATTATCTCATACAGAATATAATGTTTTGCAGCATTATATATTTTAATCTATATACAACTTCAGTTATAGTTAGTTACAAGTTAATCATACAATATAATTATATTGTACAAAATGAAATAAAAAAAGGAGTTCATTTATTAACACACTATTGCACTCCTCTCTTCATTTTAATAAATATTACAAATACGCGTCATATTATTTAATGTTATGAAGAAATCAGTTAAGTTCTTTTCCTTCAAAAGTATCTTTTGAAGTGATAAAAAAAGGTTAGAACCTTTGTCTCTCACCCTATCCCTGTCTCTCCACGTTCTCCGCATCTTTACATCTAGAATTAAAACTACAAATGCCAAGAACTCGACTCTCCTGCGAGAATATTTATTTATAAGTATTCTTGCGAAACTTTCAAACCGACCGAGTTGGTAACAGCACATTCATCAACGGACAAAGTGCCAATTAATTGTAATTGTAAATAAGCCAAACCAATTGTAACTTACACCTTGCGAATCGCCGCTCTCCTCCATGTAGTCGATGCCAATCGCTACAATAGGTAATAAATACACTAAATAAAATATTGAAATGTCAAAACTTTCAAGAGAAATTATTACCGGAAACGGCACCGATTACTTATTTTTCACGAACGAACTCTATCGGACGGCGACGGATACTTCCCGAGACATACAAATATTGGATTATTGTAATATGCGGTATTGCAAGAACCATATAGCAAACACTTTCTTTTTCAACTAGAATCTTCATTTAATAATAAAATATTTGTGATTGGAGAACAATGAGTCTAATAGCGAATGATCATTAAGTATACAACAATTTTAGGAACAAATCATATATATATATATTACTTTCATATTACGAGATGTCATGTTGAAAATGTCGTGTGATTTGAAGTCCGAAATAATGTATTTTCCAGATTATAAAAACAATATTTCTCTTGAAAATTTTACTTAAATTTATAAACGCGTAAACATTATCCTGATTAAAATTATATACATATTTGAACGTTATGATATTCTCAGTTCTTTTCTCATGCGTACATACATAATCTGGCAGTATGATACAGAAATTTGAACCTTCCATGCAGCACTGATTTTTTAAACGAGTAGATTATGATGAATAATCTTAATGGTACTTACTAAAAGTTACACGCAAAAAAATAATATTTTTTAAATATTATGGTTGTGTAGTGACGTTTTGAAGTTAGAGGTATTTTGAAGAATCGTATCTGTGGCGCGATGAGTCATGACGTACTGAACGTCCGAGAAAATGGCGACAGCGTGTTGAAGTACCACTGACTCTTAAAAGAATACTTGATTATTTTTCTGCTGGATAGAACTGCTATTTTGTACTAGTTAATAATTACGGAGGACAATGAGCTTCTTCAGTAAAGTTTTTGGAGGCAAGAAGGAGGCCGCAGCTCCTTCGACTGCCGAAGCTATTCAAAAATTAAGAGAAACTGAGGATATGCTTATCAAGAAGCAAGATTTTCTTGAAAGTAAGATTGAGCTCGAGATTCAGGTTGCCAGGAAGAATGGAACTAAAAATAAACGAGGTAATGTACTTTAAGACTCTTTGATTTTTACCGAATTCAATTGTGTTCGTCCTTGATCCTTCGGGTAATGAATCGTCATTGTCAAGGATGAAGACTGTCATTGTGACGTTTCCGTATACACCCACGAATTATTAATTACAAATAGTCAGTATTGTCAGAAATTTATGATATATAATGTAGCAACGATCAGATTCAATTCCTGTCAAAATCAGTTATCCTTATCATTCTGTTAATTATGTATTTACATTTGTTCATTAATAAACGGATGTAAATTAGAAGATGTTTTAGTAATCATTATTGCTACGCACAGAAGTAGAAGGAGAGCAATAATTATTTTGGGTCACTTTTATAAAATCAAGTAGCACATGTAAATTTGTTTATTTGTTGCTATATATATAAGTTTGATGAAATTTTATTTTATTTTATAGACACGTCATTTTTTATTTTACATGATTCGTTTAAAGATGAGTGTGACTTATGAGTTTGAGATTCATTGTGAGATATGTGTTCTATAGTTGCATAGTACAAATTATTCTGTATATCAGATATTTTACTAACATAATTTGTTCAACATATTCAGCTGCCATTCAAGCATTGAAAAGGAAGAAGCGATATGAAAAGCAATTACAGCAAATTGATGGAACTTTATCAACTATTGAAATGCAAAGAGAAGCATTGGAAAGTGCAAATACCAATACAGCAGTACTTACAACCATGAAGAGTGCAGCAGATGCACTAAAATCTGCACATCAACACATGTATGTTTTTTTTGCAATCTGATATTCTTATAATACTTAAGACTAAATAACTCTGTATGTTACATTGTAATATAGTCATATATAGTTACATGAATTTGATGTAATTATATTCTGATTCTAGGGATGTTGATCAAGTTCATGATATGATGGATGATATAGCAGAACAACAAGATGTTGCCAAAGAAATATCAGACGCGATCTCTAATCCTGTCGCTTTCGGACAGGACGTGGACGAGGATGAACTTGAAAGAGAATTGGAGGAGTTAGAACAAGAGGAATTGGATAAAGAATTACTTGGCGTTGGAACAGGCGAAAATCTCCCAGCAGTACCAGCGACTGCAGAGCCTGTTGCTCCTGCAAAGGCTCGGTCAAGTAAGCTTCACTTTTGCATTATATAGAAATTTAACTTTTATAGCAATTCCCTTCAAAGCATTACACTTCAAATAAATGTCACAGATGTATACTTTACTTTGTAACAGTTTAATATTACATATTTGATATAAGATTGTTAGTGTTTGTGTAATTTTGTTAATCGTATGAATGAAATCTATGTTGCAGAACCAAAAGCAAAGGAGGAGGATGAAGACTTGAAGGAGTTAGAAGCATGGGCTTCGTAAGCTGGTAAACAAAGCTGTTGTAAAAATTAAACATTCGAGTTTCTTAGATAAAATAAAGCATATGGAGAGGAGGTACGATCGTTCAGTTTTGGTTCATTAGTTACAATATTTTTATGCAACGTATAAAAAAATAACTCGTACATTCTACTTCGCATTACTAATGCCAATCACTGTAAGAATGAAATATTTAATGCGACTCTCCATGAAATGGATATATATTTTGCAATATCTTTTTCTTCCTACAATTGCTTATCATGTTTTATTGGATTCCTTCATCCAAAACCATTAAATGTTTTTCCCAAAAAAAGAAAAACGAAGCAAAATTTGACGATCACTCCCTGCGCTTTATCGTCACATTAATGTATATAGCTACCATGATTTCAATGGCAATCTATGATTTTAATTTTTAACTATAAATGGCCTTTGAAAACTTTGTATAATCCTACTTGCTGCAAATAAATTTACTTTTAAACGATATAATGTAATAGGATTCTGCGTCCGCATAACTTTTTCTTTGTAACTGGAACGTCATAACTATTGATATAATTCACTTTACTTTCTATAATATTTGTTGACGATTCACTATGGTTATAGTTTATTATACATATGTATATTCTAATCTGATTCATCAAAGTTTAAGTTAAACCTTGCTGTACAGTCAGTTTTATAATACATAGAATTGTGGCAGACGTACACGGCGTGATAATGATGTTCTCTCTGGTGACGTCATCACGATGCCTAAGAGTGATATATTTGTGCATTAAAACTAACTGAATGGTTGACAGAAATTTTTCTGTCATAATCTAAATTAATTATTATTTGGAATATTTTTTAAAACAGTATAAACATTACCTATCATTTTTCCCAAGGTAAATTTGTTTTTAATTGATTTTAATAAATATTTTAATGTAACAATTGGAGTTGGATATATATATCTTCAAATTGATTGATAACTTCTGCCAAAATGCTTTATAACATTAATTAATAAATTGAGGGTATTTCGAAAATATTAAAAATGATCAAAATAGGTGATAACAATACCTTGCACATAATGAATGATGCATATGTAGTATTAGTTAATGCTAATTGTTATTTTTTATACCAAGACAACTATTCTTGTCGAAAATGTAATTAGCACCTAACTGTAAATTCTGCTGCCGTCAAACGCTGAATCATGTTCAGAGTTCTTTGATTTGTTATGCTAGCACAAATAATTAATAATGTTGTGACACTATGAGTGAACAGCATAAAAGGAAAGAAAAAATGAATAAAATACATAAAAATATGATACTGGATTCAATTCTCTATTGAAACCTGTGTAGTATAAGGGATACGAGCATAGTTGTTTGTTCCTGTTTACCTGCATGAAATAGATTACGGTAAATCGAGACGCAACCATGCTTATAGTACTGGTAATAAATTTCGGAACATATCCTTTATTATCGAGCCATGAATGACTCATTGATGCTAGCGAAAAGAGAGCAGCATAAGAGTTCTCTTCACTAGCAACAAGCCTACTGCTAAATCTAACCGCAAACGATTGCGAAGATCGATGATCCAAGGACGCTCGGTGAATTATATAAAAAGCGGAAAGCCCATACTAATGACAATGAAGAGGCAAGTTCATCTTATCAAGAATACAATATGCGAGGGAAGAATTTTCGTCAATTTGAATTTTATCGCGGTTTTCCTAGTTGTCGAGTTACATGATCAAAATGTAGACTTTTTCAACTTTAGATTTAAGAGCTTGTTCGTACTCTCGAAGGGAAGATGACTTATATTTGCTGATTAAACAATACTTCTCTTTTTAATTTGAGTACTTCATTTTATTAAGCTGCATGGGTAACCTATTAAACACGTGTATTCCAGGTTGAGCTAGGATGGATTAAATTATTAGCCGATGTCTAACCGGGGCTGGACCACCTCCGTGAACCTGGCCGGCGCACTTTGACTTTTTGAACTTTTTCTTTTGCAGATCATTTGTAGGTCGTTTGTAGGTATTTGTAGGATTAATCAAAACGTATGTCGGTTAACGGTTTATTTAAAAACTCAAAAATAAAAATTTACATTAGGTTGGCCGTAATTTTTTTATTTTTTACCTATCTTTGTTTTTCACGTGGCCATTCGATGCGGAATTGTTTGTAGGTCACAGGCAATCCAATTAATATATTTGTCGGATCGTTATTTCAAGAAAATAACGATCTAACCTAACCTAACCTCCAAACGATTTCTTAAGTACCCTTAAGTACCAATTAAATAAAAATTTATTATTAATTACCTTTTTTGTGGTCAATTTCACGTGGTCATATCGTTGAGTGTAGATAGGTACCTATCTACACTCAAGTATAAATAGGTACTTATCTACACTCAACGGTCATATGACCGTCCCGCGTAAAATTCACCAAATACGTTTTTTGCTTATTTTATTGAAATAACGATCCGACAAACATACTAATTGGATTATCTATGACCTACCAATGATTCCGCATCGATTGGCCACGTGAAAAACAAAAATAGGTAAAAAATAAAAAAACTACGGCCAACACCGACAAACGTTTTGATTAATCCTACAAATACCTACAATGACCAACAAGCGATTTGTAAAAGAAAAAGTCAAAGTTCGCCGGCTAGGTTCACGGAGGTGGCTGGACCACGTTATATCAAATCAGGTTAGGTTAAGGTATATTGTTGTGTACAGTGAAAATTTATACAATCTTGATAGTATTCATTTTTTTTATACTGTATAGTATATTTTATTGATTTTAACATAGGACTGTGCCCACGAGGAATATTTCAATATCGTGTAAGTACATGTATGTATATATATACAAATGTATAATATATGACTCAAATATCATGTTTTATAGAATTCAGGATTTAAAGCATATTCAGATTAAAATGAATGCCATTGCATCTGAGAAGGATCAAGAAGTGTACAATTTCTTGAACAAGATAGGTTGTTGTCCTCGATGTTGCTTACGTTTTGTAGGAATTAGAACTCCAGAATATTATCAAAATGTGATTTCAACATTAAAACATGTAAGTAGCAGTGTTTGTCAAATATTAAGTTTTAGCTGTTTCAATTAATTTATTATTAATTTAATGTTTTAAAGTATATGAGTATATGATTAATATTCTTATTATAGTTGGGGTATATAAATGAAAATGAATCAGTCATCCAGGAACTCCCATGTGTAATTTGTTTAGGAATATTACAAGACAGCATAACAGATATAGCTGTAGAGAAGGTAATTTTTACAATATTAATTGACTTTTAACTGCTTGTATTATTATATAATGTAACCAAAATGTTTAGGTTGTTAGTGAAGTGAAGAAGGAGGACCATGACTGTCCGACATTTACTTGTGCTTTAACAATACCAATTGCTGTTCAATTGCGAGAACGTTCAGTGCAAATTTGCTTGGGTCATGAATTTGGTCTGTCGGAATCGTCATTAAGTTCTTTGAAACTAAGAGTACAAAGTGTGAAGGATATCTGGAAATATACAGCTATTCCGTTAATAGAACGTGCAACTGGAAAGCATGCAGATTCTGTTACAATAAATGCTTCATTTATTATTGATATTTTTTTCACTTATAGTAATGATGAGAATGAGTGCAAACTTTTGTAAGTATCCCAAAAACTGAAATCTCCGAAAAGCCCGTTACTTTACGCTTTCAATGAAAGATACTAATCTTATGAAACTCATCATAGATTAAATCTTTGTGGAAAGACATTCCATTTGCGTGCTGTACAAAAGAGAAAATATAGCGATGGTGTATACAGCCGAAAGAGTGTCGAAGCTGCAATGCTTACGAAATCAGATGAAGAATTTTCAAAACATTTTATAAGTCCGCCATCACTACCATCACGTTTTGTTGTTGTTGAAAAAGCTATCTGTAATCATATAAGTATCTATATTGGAGGTATGTTGATAAGAGTTTTGATATAAATTTATATGTAGTAAAAAATATTGCTATGCGAACTTAATAAACAGATCTTATGTATTTTACTTTTTAAATACTTCTTTCAGGAAGATATAATAAATTTTCAAGAGATCTAAGTCAAACTCCATGGTTTATTAATGGTGAAAAGAAAGTAGGAACATCTGTACAAGAATTGCTTTGTGAAAAGATTGTTGAGTTCGTTCGAGCAGATTGTAAGTTTTTGTACATTACTTTTACTTCTAAGTCAATCTTCATATCAAAACATTATCATAGTTACGATAATGTCGTATATTAGACAAATTTGTATATTAAACTGATTTTTCACAGCTATCAAATTTTTGTCATCTGGCAGAGAAGATGTAGATGTAAGAACTCTACATTCTGGTAGACCATTTGCCATAGAACTAATAAATCCAAAAGTTACCAATATAACAACAACAAACTTATCAGATTTGGTGGCAAAGATTAATGAATCAACAGATCTTGTTAAGATCGATTCCGAATTAAAAATTCTTAACAAGTAAGTTCTTCTATTAATAAAACATTAACAATTATCGATGCGATTAAACGTAAATTACTTTTAAAGTATGTTCATTATTATTTTTATTAGGATGGATTTAAAGAAATTAAAGGAAGGTGAGGATAGTAAAACAAAACTTTACCGAGCATTATGCATTTGCCACGAGACCCCAAAGAATCCACTAGACTCTTTGAACAATGTGAGAAATTTAAAGATCATACAAAAGACACCAGTTAGAGTTTTGCATAGGCGTCCTTTAACTCCAAGAACTCGCACTATTCATGCCATGCAAGCTCGATGGTTAAAAGCAGTAGAATTGGAAAATATAATGAGTCGTTGTAAAGTTCCTAATTCAAAAGATTCAAGTCTGTTTATTCTTGATGTAAAAACACAGGCTGGAACGTATGTGAAAGAATTTGTACATGGTGATTTTGGAAGGACTAAGCCAAGTATATGCGATTTACTTGGCGTGGATATAGACATTGTGGCACTTGATGTTACAAGTATCAATTTAGAATGGCCTTGAATAAAAATGTTATTTAAATGGCACGTTAAGAGTCTATATAATTTGCTCTCAAGATATTCTTTAGGAAGAACTAGAGAATTACCGAAGTACTAGATAATTCTGTGTACAAAGATTCATAACTAGGGCGTGGAATTTTTGCGTAAGAGGAGGCTATCTATATCAAGGCGACGCCACTGACCCGGCGTCCTCCTTCCATTTGGATACAAAGTAGCGTCACTTGGCCTCATTCATAGAAAGAAGCAATCGATATTTTTTCTTCGAAGCGGAAAATATTTCATTATTTTTCAATTAACGTTACCGTTATTAAAATTTGGGAATGACTGTTTGAGGTTCATTATTATTAAACTTCTTGTCAAGGTATTATAATTTCTTGAAAAACTCAATTTTTACGATCCAGCGAGACACGCCGCATAGTTTAGCAACAAGTTACAGTTGTAATAGAACTTTGTATGCCACGCTTGTTTGTCAAAGTATGACCAAACAAGTCTGCAACCTAACTGCACATTCTACAACACTAAATTGTAGTAATCGCAAGTAATTGGGGTTGATTATGACCTCATTGAATAACAGTAGAATGCCAACAGTATAAGTGGTAGTAAGACTTGCTACTAGTTCATAACCGCTGATGATTAAGAATTGTCTAATTTTAATCCGGATTATTAGATCATTATTATGGCAATTCGTGAAAATTTGTTTCTACTATCTTTTTATATTACAAATAGTAACATAAATGTCTATATGCATAAAATGTAATGTTTTGTGTGTTACAAGGATATGGTCATGTAAATCATATAATTTTTCATAACAGGATTTAGTTTACAAATGTGTAGTGTTAAATGAATTCTAAGGTATGTAATTTTGTAAAGTAATTGCTAAGGAGTAACGGTAAACATAATTTATATATATCTATCAGTTTGCATATACATATACAATGTGCTAATACGGTGGTGTGTCTTACTTCATCGTGTGAATAGAGGAAGCCGCAAAATATGTCAAAATATGTCGAAACACGTGCGTGAATGAATACACGCTATTTGGCTCTGACTAGTTGAATCCAGTTATTAAAGAATATTCCCTAAAGAATAAATATATTTATACCTTCAGTTAAACAGTCGAATTTTATGACTTACAGCAGTCTGAAATAGCGATTAAAAGTTTGAAAATTTAAAGCTTCGTCGAAGAATATCCAGGGAGCGTACGAATCGTATAAAATTACAATTTCAAGTAGTTTCCAAATAACGGTCCTAAGAAGAAAATTTTCACAAATACCACGAAAACTAGCCCTGCTGTTCACAAACTTTTAATCATAATGTCTACTGTTTTAAAGGATTTTTATGGAAAGTAAACTATGCATCGTTAACACTGCAAAGGTTGAAAGCATCAAGTACTTTCTCTTCGTGCCTGCCGCAGTTTGCTCTTACCAGTAAAAGTGAGTTTCGTGAGACAGTGACGAGAGGGCCCTCAGATCGCAGAATCATAAAATTTTATAGAGACTGTTGGAAAGGGCGAGCGGTGACGGCCCTGAATAGTGCTAGCCGAACGTAACGAAGAATGGTGTTATGTTGTGATGTGCCCGTTTGTTGACGATAAATTATCGCTTCCGTGTAGATGTTTCTTGGTAAGTAATAGGGCCGCGTGTTGTGAGTGTTTCCAGTCAAGTTTAGTAAAGCTTTTCACTTGGCTGCAATTTTAGAAGTGCTGGGATGCATAGGAATGTCGGCGGGATCCTGTCGCCATACTATCGGCTGTTTCACATTTTCCCAAAAAAGAAATATACTGTAGTCCATTATTAAACAGCTTCTGCATTTATTTTAATCTGGTGTACTGTCTTTAACACTTCTATATATCGGGTAAAGTGACATAGAGTAATCATCGAGTATAAGCTGGATGCACCTAACCTTTTTACATCGAGTGGTCTGTCGTGTTTCATTCAAATTTCGGTTACAAGTTGGATGCCACTGATAAACGTAGGATGATGTTTTGTGAAATGTAATATACTAAAAACTATTGTTCGCATTGCGAACGGAATTGGCCGTTACGATAAAAAAATTACAGGTTATAATTCGCAGGAAGTGACATCCATGAAGGATCCCCACCCACTTAAATAACTGATTATACGTCAGTAGTTAGGCGTCAGGCACACGCCTTGATAACGGTGGTTGGCAGTCTCTTCTACATGCATGCTTGTAATTCTTGATAGTGAAGACAAAAATGAACTGTACATATCATCATGGCATTGGTCTTATGTACATGTTGATTTTAGATATTTTGTCATAGTCTTCTACACTATTAAGAGTTTAAAATGGAACACATTAAGCAAAATCATTTATTTGAGTTTAGATACAATCTTATCCCTTACTAACCATTTCTGCGTATTTTTTCATTTTTAATAATTGCGCTTCGTTATAATATTTTTTTAGGAATCCATGTCTTCTTCAATAGAAATTTTATATAATTACATTTTGTATAAAACTTAAAACAATTTCTATTATTACTCAAATTCTCAATATACCTAACATCATATTATATATTGATATAGTATAAAAGATGCCTTAACATTTATGACATTATATTCTGCAACAGTATTTTTCATATAAATAGTCATTTCAATCGATTAGGGAAAATGATGTTACATTAATTATATTGAACTGGTTACATAGTTATAAGAATAAAACTAATTATTACTAATCCATAATGAGATCAGTTTTATGCCATATAAAAAGTAGGTTTACATATGTAAGTTTGTCTATAAACTTAAAATAAATATGGAACTTAATATGCTTTGATAATTTCGAATCTATACTTTATCTTGCTTTGCTATCCCATATGCTTGGTTTACAAGTATTTGTATTTAGACATATAGCATATATGCTCTGTTTACATGTAGAGAAATCATATCTATACAAACAGTGATTCATACAAATAAAAGAGTTTTTGTAAGTTTTTCTTTCTAAAGTCAGTTACAGGATATAGCAGTACTCTAGTGTTGTAAGAGCACATGTTTTTTATTACTTAAACCACAAGTCTATGTGCATTATTTTAACTAATCAATTTCTTTTAGAACGTTTTTAGGTAATACATTTCAATATTTAATTTAGGTACTGAAGGTGTAGCAAGTGTGCCGGCAAGATGGGCAAGCTCTTGTCGAAGATCTTCGGCAATAAGGAGATGCGTATTCTAATGCTTGGTCTGGATGCTGCTGGAAAAACTAGTATCCTTTGTTATGAAATATACGTTTTACACATTTATGATAATAATTTAAAATTGAGTATGTGGTAACAAAATGATAAGAATGCGGTAGAGTTTGGAGTAACTTCCTAATGATGACAATGAAGCTTACTTACTTTGTATGAATAACTAAGAACTTAGCTACATTACCGCCTGCCTTTGCAGAATCTTTAGTTATGTAATTTTTGACTTTGGATACTTTGATTTACAGTGTTAACATAGACACCTGTGCAATTGTATCATTTTCAGATAGCAAAACTGTTTTCCTTAACGATGCATGTCAGCTATACTGTATAAACTTAAACTAGGACAGTCAGTGACGACCATACCCACAGTAGGATTCAATGTAGAAACTGTAACGTATAAAAATGTCAAATTTAATGTCTGGGTAAGTAAAATTCAATTTTCACAATTTATTTTCCATGTAATATAATATTTCTTATTTAATTAACCATCGGCAACATGTAAAATTAAACTAAAAAGCTGTTAAACTCAATTACATGTGTGCCTTATCATTATCAGATTTGAGATTAGAATATATCATAATTAATCTCTAGTAACTCCAATGGCGATTTCTCCGTTTTAGGATGTTGGTGGTCAAGATAAAATACGGCCGTTGTGGCGTCATTATTACACCGGAACACAAGGACTTATTTTCGTAGTAGATTGTGCTGATAGAGATCGAATTGACGAGGCACGTCAAGAATTACACCGCATTATAAACGATAGAGAAATGCGTGATGCCATTATCCTTATTTTTGCTAATAAGCAAGATCTTCCTGATGGTATGCATTACATTGTTTATCACTTTGTTCACTTTTTGACCACGTTTGTAGTGCCAGGTTGTACTAGTAGGGAGTATATAATATAAATGTATATTTTCAGCGATGAAGCCACACGAAATTCAAGAGAAGTTGGGCTTGACAAGAATACGAGACAGAAACTGGTACGTTCAACCATCCTGTGCCACGACGGGTGATGGACTATACGAGGGCCTTACGTGGCTCACTAGTAATCATAAATTATGAGGAAATAGGTAATCACGCTCCCATTGGTTCAGGTTGGGATTAAATACCCGGCTCATGATCAAATCTTAAAACCAAGCGAGTCGAGGCTCAGTAAGGTATGAGTTCATTTTGTTCAACGAATGTTTTTGTCCTTCAGTCGCCAAGAGCGTGCTCGCTAATTCATCTGACTATCCATACTTGGTCACTGTCCGAGATTTATTGTTACTCGAACGTATATCTTTAATTCACATCAAGCAAGGTACTACAAGCGTCCCTAAAGTGGACAGACAATTTGATTTATATCCTTCAGAATACCAACGTTAATAGTCTACATATCGATTATGATGATCCTCCGATTGTAAATCGCGTGGATTTCTTAAAACCGACAAAATTTTGTTGCATTGTGCTCAATATCTCCCTTAAAAAGTGCTTTACGTTATAATTATATCTTTTATGAATAGTGTGCTGTCGAAAACTGTAGCATTTTGAAAAATATACAATTTGGTATTAATGATTAATGTTTTATGTACATTGGCGTAGAGTATAGTATTCGATTGGAAAAATCGCAAGACACCATAATTCAACTATTACGTTTCATCATGTAAACTGAAGTACCTTGCTTAATAAATATCAGGTTGCAACCCATGTAATATTGTTGTTTTTTTACTTTTTATTGGAAACATTTAACCATCTACATTTTTGCGCTAATCGAAATAGAATATAAATGCTTTTCTGCATGGCGATTCATTTTATACTTATGTATTACACTTTTATGGCAAAATATTAGCGCAAAATAAATATTAACGACATTGTGGGTTAACCGATGGAAGCGATGTTATCTGTGTTGCAACCAAGTTCACGTATTAAACGAATTCTTAAATTGACACATTGTCGATTTTAGATGTACGAAATCAATAATGAATCACTGTTAAGGATCTTTATACACATCTTGTTCGTTATAAATTTGAGAAACCATTGGCGGAGCGTGTGATCCTATCATACAACGTCCCCCGTCTGATGTAAAAAATTGTTTATTTCGTAGTACATAAGACCCTCCTAAAGTATCATACACAAAGTAAGAAAGGAACATAAACGAAACGTCGAAGGAGCTTGTTCCTTAATTTCGTACAACGCTGAAGGCAATGAAATTATTTAATATTTATTACGGAGCTTCCTTCAAACATCACGTTCCAATTTAACTTCTAAGTTAACGAGGTAGCAGTTTGGTCAGCAATCTAAAATTATTAATCGTATTACTTTCCTCGATATTGAAACCCGATTGGGAACATATTTAAATCGTCCAATGAATTCAATTATTCAAAGTACAAACTAAGAGAAGTAGCGACACGTACTGTATCAAACCATTACATTTAATTTTTTTTAAACTGATACGTAACATTAAATCCATACTGTATTTTAATTTAAACAGAGTTGTTTTCACAGCTGATTTAGAGACGAAAAGAAGAAGTGATAAGCTATTTCCTCTGCATAACAGTCAAATCATTTCTTGGCCTATAATGAGCATGGGGGATCGTGGTATATACGTATATATTGTGCATCGTCAAGCGATCACGCGAATAACGGAACAGGTTCCTTAGAATCAAACGGAAAACTAATCAAGTCATGATCATTTCCTTACGAGGTTTCCCAACTCTGTAAGATAGCCCCCGTGAAAGGCTGAGCGTCACGTGTGTGACAATAGCACATTGAATATCCGTACCATTTGCGCAATGGATTCCATATACAGAAATTAACGAACATCAGCGTAATAAAATATTTAGAATAAGAATGCTGTAAATGCGAAAACTCGAGATCCGCTAGTAACTGAAGTTAAGCGCGAGTGTGACATCCGCGCTAGAACAACGTGTGCATCGATTGTAAATTCATCATTCCATCTTAATAATTCCAATAATACCTTGATAATAGAGCCATTGTTGATAGTCACGCTTTTGTCTACCGGTGAGAATTGCTGATGAATATTTCTGTTAAAAGTTCACTGACGAACGACCATCATCGTGTGGTATATCAATGATACTGTTAGAAGATATTATTTTCATGAAATCTTGCTGTTCTAGCAACTGAGGCACAGTCGGCTGTTGCCTAGGGAACCTGTTGCTTTAGGCGCCATGGTTCACAAACGTTTGAAATACCGTGTAAGATTCGAGCGAAGAGTAATGGACCCAATTCAGTTTGTACTCGTGATTTTCTTTGTCACAATATAATTATTGAAGGACAAAAGTAATCCATATTATCTAATAAAGAAATTGCTAATAGATATACATATATATATATTTTACACGTACGTAGTGTGTATATCGAGCAATCCTGTACCGCGTATGTCACTTGGGAGTATAACGGATTTTTCTTAAACACTTTTATTAAATTATACCTATGCTCATTTTTGACGATGCATGTATGTCTCCTTCTATGAATTTTCACGACAATGTCATCAATAGACGACAGAGTGGCTTTATAGTCCTTCAACTTTGAACAAATCGCTTTGTGTTTGCACAAACGCGACGCAACTTTTGACGTGATTACGTTATGTCTTTAAAAATTAAACATATTAAGTCGATAAATAAAGTGCGATTTATTGGGTACATTTGTGTAAATTCTCTAAAATGTGTTAGTAAACGTTCAATTAATTTATGTCTTTCATTACTTATGAACAGTCTTACGCCTGAATAAAATAGTTGCTTCTATTTTCGAATGACGGTGGATACGGTTAAGGTATTGGTTAGCCGTTATATATTTAAGGCTCAAAATCTAATGAAACCATCTCTTTTTATTTTACAGTGCTATCAGTTTTTGGAATACTTTAATTGTTATTACTTTCTATATTATCAAAATTGTCATACTGTTAAGGCATTTAAACCAAATACAAGAATTATATCAGTTAAGGATTCAATTGTTCGAGCAGTTACAGAAAAGTGCAGAAACTTGACAGAATGAAACATTTTCATAGAAGAAACTGAAGTTTCGTATAAATTTTATATGTTGAATGAATACATCTATTTGGTTTAGCTTCTTAGAAGAAAAATGTTGATTCACTTTATGTTATTCCAAATTGTTGCTTAGTATTATCCTAATGTATGATAATGACAATTCTGTTGTCACAAAAAGATGTTGAGTATCTTATCCACTTTACTGCAATAATTATATGTTTCTCTTATAAAATTGCGTTTAACTCATAATGGTTGCAATGTTCGTTTTGCAAAATGGCTTTGATTACAAGAGATATAAAGCTATTAGAATAAAAAGATTTTGTATTTGATTGGGTGGCCTTGTCAAAAATTTATTATATTTGTTAAACTGCGGAAAATGAAAATAGAAAAGAATTTACACTTCCATTAGAAATATTTGTGTATAAGCAACTGTATTGATTGATTATTGAAAATTCAAAATTGATATTGATTGCGATAATTTATCATCTTCTGCTACCGTTTGAACGTTATATGGTTCAACTGTGTTTTTTTAGTTGGTATAATCCGTAGGAATAAGTTATTTAAACATATGATCAGTTTGCGAGTACGATGCATATAGGTAAAAGTTAATTTCAATTTTTATAGTACACTAACTTGCTAGGGGCCATTTAGTTCATAGGTTCGGACAAAAGCACACTTCGGATCGAAGAATGAAATATCGCTTAATATTGTATACAAAAATGCGCACGTATAACAACTACTAATTAGTTAGTACTAATTTTTAACGATAACAAATTAATAATACGAGAATTAGTCACATTTTATAATGGCGGAACCTTACAAAACGGATGCAAGGAAAATTTGTCTGCATGTACATTATTATAACTTGTATAATAAAGATTTGTTTAAATTCAGTCTCAATCTGATTAATATACTGAACATAAATCATTTGAACTTATTAAAAAAAAAAGCATTAATGATATGTATAGCGAGCAATTGTTTGCTATAAGCTACTGTTTTGAAAATTTACAGACACTTTGAAACTTTTGCAGAGACATAAATCCATGTAGTACTTTCAGTGGAGACGGAGAAAATGTCATCATGGGCATTTGAAGAATGTCTTTGAAAACTCAAATCACAAGTGATCCTTTTGCTAACTTTATTTAAACTGGTACATACCATTCCAATGGCAATTGATAAGGAAATGGATTTTATGTACGATGTACGCATATACCAAGCCATACGCGCAATGTGTGTAGCGGTGCGTATAAAAGTTTATGGATTGATAACATTAAAATAAATGAGATACTTCCCTCTCTGCTATTTATCTTCTTCTTTTTGTTCCTTGTCTGCCTTTATGTTTTCATGGAAGACCAAATGCCATACTCTGCCATTTATAAATGCATATTTCGCGCTTTTGACAAAGTATAGGGTATGTTCAGCAGAAACACCGCTGAGGGAGCAAATACATTTGATTGGTCATTTGATCGTTAATCTTGAAACAGTGTGAGATTTGACCAATCAAATGTATTTGCTCCCTCAGCGGTGTTTCTGCTGAACATACCCATAGTTACTATTTGTCGATTATGCGTTCTGAAATGCTGAGAGTGTCAATCAGGTTCACCAACATTATTCTAAATACGAATAATACACCATATGAACAAAAAAATAATGAAATATCAAGAATATTATTATAAGCGTATTGAGAATATTATTGTAAACTTTTGTAATGTGCAGCACAGTTACAGAACATACCCATAGTTACTATTTGTCGATTATGCGTTCTGAAATGCTGAGAGTGTCAATCAGGTTCACCAACATTATTCTAAATACGAATAATACACCATATGAACAAAAAAATAATGAAATATCAAGAATATTATTATAAGCGTATTGAGAATATTATTGTAAACTTTTGTAATGTGCAGCACAGTTACAATAATTCTTAAAAAAAGAAATGAAAAAATTGAATGGACGTAGTTAACAGGTTTGGGGTCTTTAGCGGTAAATCGTTGGTAATACTGAGTTCCGAGTCGGGCGGATGACGCTCAGCTAGACCCGGCCTGTTTCGGGCCGCCATTTTTTATCTCGGGAAGCGTGCGAGTTCGCGTCGTGTCTTATCGCGTAGTTTTACGGAAATACTGACTTGGTGAGTACGTATCTTTTTCACAAATGTTGCTAAGACTGTCGATATTAGTATAGTGAATATAATTTTCCGAAAAAGCTACAAGGTTCAGTGGAAATCGCCACTATTCCATAGTCGGTAATGTTTTTGGGGAAGAAAGCACGCCATTGTCTTCTATTCGCGTCCTCGACGTAATTCGCCTTTTTGCAAAAAGTAATATAAACCAGCTTAGATGAATTTTCTATTGTAATGAGTTATATAACAGATTCAATTTTTTACTTATTTGAATACCACCAGATGAATCAATCGTCTACGTGCACACGTGCATTTATCAACATTTCTATGTAAAACTAAGATTAATTTAACAAAATATCGATCTACTGCCTCGTGGCAGTCTCATTCTTATTTTCGATAATTATATATTTTGGGCTGATCAAATCATTACTCTAGCGTTTTTCTTTCGTACCGGCAACGCGTGGTTCAATTACTACAGCGCAATATCGAAGACGCTGTCGCACAAGCGACTTTGCATAGACTTCGTCCTGTTAAATGAGCATGTGAAGTGTCTAAATTCATTTGAGAATATCCGTAGGAGAATAAAGTGCGAGGATAAGACTGAAAATCCCATTTGTATTGTATCCCTGAATGTTTATTGTCGTGGAAAATTCCAGGCGTGCCAAGTTTCACTTAGTCTTCAAATCGGACTGATGTGTTTTGCGACATTCAGTTATTCAGTCCCAAATTACTGCGATTATTCGAGTGTGAAGCGTTGAGCGAGTTGGACAAGAGAAAGGAAAGAAACAACAAATAGTAGAATTTTGGTGGCGTTAAATTGAGTTGACGAGAGCTTTACCGCTCTACCGCAGAGGGAGGCCGCCATTACGAGTTCCCTCGCATCCGGATGGTAGCCGGCATCTTTGCCACTGTGATTTGCTGTTTCATTGCTTAGTCCTTTGAATCGTGGGTGAAGGATTTAATTTATCGAATGTTTTGCGAATTCTTCTTTTACGACATTTGCGAGTGATCAGTGCACATAGCTATTGTCAGTTTCCTTTGATGTACTTGTTGTCGACCCCCAGTGAAAGTTAACTGCGTCAAAGCTTCGGTACTACCATGCAGTAAATTATACTGTAACGGTATTTTTTTGCGTTTATTTCATCTTTTTGGAGAATTTCAGAGCCTGGAAGCAATTAGTTCTTGCACACTAATTTTTTTAAAGAATATACTAAGAAATCGTTTTTTTTTTTTTTTGTTATAGGTTCTGATGCGAGTGATCAGTGCACATAGCTATTGTCAGTTTCCTTTGATGTACTTGTTGTCGACCCCCAGTGAAAGTTAACTGCGTCAAAGCTTCGGTACTACCATGCAGTAAATTATACTGTAACGGTATTTTTTTGCGTTTATTTCATCTTTTTGGAGAATTTCAGAGCCTGGAAGCAATTAGTTCTTGCACACTAATTTTTTTAAAGAATATACTAAGAAATCGTTTTTTTTTTTTTTTTGTTATAGGTTCTGATACGGGCCGAAATATGCCGAGTTTTAGCAGTGTGGGCACGTTCAAAATCTTTATCGGGAATCTCGCGGATAAGACTGCGAACGGCGATATCAAGCCCTTATTTGAGAAATATGGAAAGGTCGTGGAATGCGACGTCGTAAAGAATTATGGATTTGTGGTAAGTTTGATATATAACATTTTACTTCATCTGCCTTGAGCATTATTTTGTATTTGTGCAACTTGCAACTTACCAGAGTATTGCACCATACGTGAGTTAATAAAAATTCTAGTATACAATGAAAAATACTATAAATAGGAGTTCTGCGAGAGTAATTAATAAAAGATTCACAAATAACTGTTACGATCAGTTTATTAAAATTACATATATTCTAGTTTACATAAGTAGCAAAATGTGTGCAGTATTATAATTCGTATCCTGACATCACACACATTGAAAGTAAGAATTATGTCTTAAATTTAGTTATATTGCTTTGTTACTTGATCAAATGTTTGGTAACGTAAAGCGACTGCGTTTCTTACAGCACATGGAAAATGAAGAGGCTGGCAGAAATGCAATTCAAAATTTAAATGGACATATGGTCCATGGACAACCAATAAAATGCGAAGCAGCCAAAAGTCGCAAAGGGCCAAACACTCCGACAACCAAGATCTTTGTCGGCAATCTAACAGACAATACAAAAGCACCCCAAGTGCGCGAACTTTTCGCCAAATATGGTACTGTCGTTGAATGTGATATCGTGCGAAACTATGGGTTCGTGCATCTAGAAGCGACAGGTGATGTGAATGATGCCATCAAGGAGCTTAATGGACAGATGGTGGATGGACAACCTATGAAGGTTCAAATTTCCACTAGCAGAGTGCGACAGAGGCCAGGAATGGGTGATCCTGAACAATGTTACCGATGTGGCCGTGGTGGCCATTGGTCTAAAGAATGTCCTAAAGGGGGTATGGGAGGAGGACCGGACCGCAATGGATTCAGGGACCGAATGTTTGGACGTGACCCATATCCTCCACCGCCGCCACCACCTTTCCTTCGCGACAGGTTGATGGGTGGTGGCCGCTTTGGAGTAAGTACTGCCTTAATCTTCGTCCTTTAACCTTTAGAGAGCCAGCGGGGAGTCTCCTCGAGTTCTATGAAAATATTTATAGGACAAATTTGTCACGTTAGTGGGTCCTTCGCATAAAAGTCAAATATCATCCACTTCCAGAAGTTACAATGTCTTCCAATTCTCTAAAGGTTAAACAGATTGTTATTATTATGTTACATCACTCAATGTTCTTTGCATGGTAAGATATTATTTTGTGTATTATAATTTCTCGCCTACTACTAATCCAAATTTAACATCACTTCCTGGGGTTTGTATCACTGTAATTTTTTTTTTTTATTTTTTTTTTAGATTGAACTACTTTAAGTGAACTGTTTTAACCAAAAGATTTGCTTGCATTACAGGATTATGAAAGCTACTACGACAGGAGAGGATTCGAGGACACCAGGGACCTCTACGAGAGGCGGTTTTCGGGTATGACAGGGCCTCGTGACATGGGAAGTTCCATGCGCGGGCTTGACTTTCCAATGCCACCACTACCCCCAAGTCGAGACCCAATGCCTCCTATGCCTCCTCTAGGTATGGGATCCATGCGTGACAGCGGCTTCTCCCGTGGCAACGAGTACGGGATGTTCAGCCGGCGATCACCTCCTCCGAGTGGCAATAACGGACGATTCAGGTGAGTCATCCGATCAATCAATCTGGTACTGTCCCGTCAGACTTAACATTGTGAACATTATAAACTGGATTAATGGCTCATGCGAATTCGCAATTGATCGTTCTATCATTTTTTATTTTTTCGCGTAACATGCCTGATCTCTGTTTTCTCCTAATTAATCCTTAATTCCTGAACTACGTACTTATGTATATAACCAACATAAGTATATGTATATCCTACTTTGTTCCGGCATAAGCTCTTCTTCTTGTTCCTTTTTTTTTTGGCTTAATGCCCTCATCGAGGGCCAACCGCCATAAAAATTCTCCATAGAATTTGAAGTAATAGGTTCTTCCATACAGATCCTATTGGGAGTGACTAGCTTTCAAATTAAAAAAATATATATATCTATACTAACTGTGTAACTTTGAAACGTACACATACATTTGCTACTTTATTAAGAAGTGAAAAAGAAGCGCGTGGTATTGGGCAGTCTTAAATGTCTCATTCTTCATTATCACTGAAAAGTAATGACTAGTTCTTCCGAATATGTAAAATTTATAGGCTCCGATGCAATGGAAGTATAATGAAAGTTTAGTTTCTATCTTTCATGAATCCTTTATGTTTCAAGTTATCCATCTAACGTGCTTCACTCAAGCAGAAGTTATACGGAAGTTTTTGAAGAGGATCCGTTTCTGCGGAATGCCAACTAAAGTCATCCTGTCCTAATTTCTTCATTGGGGTGTACAATTTAATTCGTGCTGTAACGCATCAGAATGAACCAAGGACCTAAGAATGCGGGACGCTCACCTTCCTGCTCCCTTTTTATTCCGTTCCTTGTATGGAAAGATCAGCATACGAGGATTGTGGGCCAACTCTCACATACGGTTTATACTTGCAATTAGATTCTTCACTATCAGATTTCCTTCCGTATCCGTTTGCCTTAAATGGCATGTGTCACCTCGAGTCATTGTATAAAAAAACATTAATTCCTATTATTGGAATTTAAACTGATATCTCCATGCGATACAAATACTTTTACTAAATCAACAGACTTCCCCAATATTGTAGTCCTTTTTTCTTGTAAGCTTATCTTTTTCAAGAATCACGTAAACTCTTACATTTTTTCTTCTCATCGTGGAATTCGCTAATCGCATGGGCGTCAAATCCAGCTTTTACACTTGCCTTAGAAATAGGTTAAAATAATTAATTTTTTTTTTCATTCCTGTCTTTCGCTCTGTCTATGGACATTCGAACTCTTCCTTCTGTATTGTAGAATTTGTGGTTGATCTCACTAGACATACTCACGCGTTAGAATTCGAGCAGAGAATCGCACTGATTAACCACAATGTAAATGAATAACAGAAATCGAAAAAAAAATATGTATTTTTTTATAATATTGATTACAAATGTTTAATTAAATTATTTAACCGTATCCCAGAGCGGTCAAAATGATCTCAATTTCTCAAATTTAACGCGTGATGTGTGTCGAAAAGAGACGGTACGATTAAAAAAAAAAAAAAGAAAAGTAAAAGTAACAAGCTTGTACGAGATGTAATTCACAAAGTTAAGCCTTTGACAAGGGAGCAAGAGTGGTTGTCTGTTTTCAATTTCATAATAAACGGAATCGATTACTCATTACACTGCTGTTGTAGTAGAGGGATGTACGAGGACTTCAGCCGAGATTCGTTCGAGGAGCGTAGGTAAGTAGTCAATCAAAAATCACTCTACTGAATTTGAAAGCAAAAAGAAAAACTTAGAGTTACCCCAAAGCCCGATCCTCTGTAAATTAACTGATGTCCCTGCTGCACCTTTTTTTCTCACGCCAGTCAATCTGTACAAGTCAAAAAGTCTGCGATTATTTACAAGTAGAAAAAAAAAAATTTTTTTTAACCAGTACTTATATCCTCTCAGGATCAGGCGGTTTTATAGATCAAACAATGATAACAAAAGTAACGTTATCCAATGTGACAGATATCGTAACAGTGTATCTTATCAGTATTTCAGTTCTAAGTGAAGAAACTTTACTGCCTCTCATGTTATTTGCAATTTTAAAGAATTCTTAGAAATTACTCTCTTTTTTTTTCCCCTCTCATAAACCGTCAGAAGTACATTTTCTAGCAGCAGCTCCCTGCTCTCCTGCCAAACTCCAATGCTAAAGAGATTTCCCAAAATGATATGATATAATAACAAAAAAAAAATACATATACAAAAGAGAGAAACACGACCGAAAGCTCGAGCTGCCAATTAACCGTGAACGTGTTTTATCTCGATCGTATGACTGACGATATAATTTTGGTTACCAGACCGGGAATACGAGGGCCATCGCCGTCGCGCCGGTTCGCACCATACTAAAGCGTCGCGTCGGGATCTCGGATCGGTCGGTCTGTCGGTCTCTGTCTGTCGCTAGCAGGAAGCCTCGGGACCGAGATACTCTTGGCCGTCTGTCGATCTGCACGCGCGAAGATCTGCCGCTCCGCTCTGTCTGAACACGCTGCCCCCCGCAGTGCGCTATACAAACAGAAAATACCTTCTTCTTCTTCTTCTGAGTTTTCATTATTCCTCCTGACCCAAGACTCTACTCGATCCAAAGCACCATCCTAGTTAACCTCCTGCACCGTTTTCTCGTGAGTCCCGCATATCCCCGCACCAAGCAAAAAACCCCACTGGACACTACAGTTTAACCAAGTAAAAGAAAAAGAAAGAAAAAAAAAAACAATATAAGGAAAAGAAACATCCCTACCTTCCGAAATGCCTGCTTCATGTTTTATTACTCGTACAGAAGATTGTTAGGATCTTCTTGGATATCTCGGTGATTTCCAAAAAAGAAAAAAAAAAAATCGGACCTGTACGCTTCGTATGCTAATGTAATTATGTATATTTATTGAGAACGCCTATATAGCTATACTAGGAGGAACGTGCTTGACACTCTATAAGAAACTTTGGAACTTCATGTAGGATGAAATTTTTCAGCGAGCGAAAATATGTATTAAAAACATCAGATGCGTTGTAATGTTTAGCAGCAGACACGTTATACCTACTGCGCGATTACGTCGTTGAGGGTAACGGTCTCGAATTCTTGACAATTCGAATCGTCGTACTACGCTAGAGGTCACTGATGTGTATATTTTTTGTCGCCTCCTCTCTCTCCCCCCTCTTTTCCTCACCGCACATAACCAACCCCTCTCTTAACCTTTTATATTAACCCAATAAAAATTACTTCGTGTACCAATCGAACCAACTCGTTAAATTCAATAAGACAGATTTTTTTTTTTTTTATTATTGTCATTAATCTCAATTAGCCTTTTGATTTTATATCGGTTCTCGTTAGGTGTGCCGACTCCTTTTTTCTTTTGTTTTACTTTTATTTTCGTCTATGCGTACCAAGCAACTTGTTTTGCCTCTTCTCTCTTACTCGTCCAATGTATTGTAAGCGGTGCGACCGAAAGCATCGGATTGATCGAATCAGGTAAGCGTATAGGTCCGGTGACACACGTTAATCATCCCGTAATCATTACTAAAGTACAATTGGACATAAAAGGAAAAAAAAAAAAAAACACCGTAGAAAGTGTCGGTTCCAGAACCGGGAACCTACCTTGTACTGGGTCAAGCGGCTATATACCATAGGATAGTGACGTAAACATTTTATTAAGTTAGGATTAATCGACATGAACTTATCTGAGTATAAACGGTAAACAGTTTGGCTCGTTTAGTTTGTAACGAAGAAGTATCTCGCGCGAGAATACTGCACTGGTTGGTGTAAGTTTTTTTTCCCCCCTTTTCTTTCTTCTCTCTTCCTTTCCTATATATATATATATATATATATACTTTTTTTTTTCTTCGTAAGACCTCGTGTTTTCACTAATTATATATCGCTGAAATTATGGAATGTAATACAATGTATCTGTGAAATTCACGAAAAAAGAAAAAAAAAACTCAATAACGCAGCGTCTCTTCAATTCACCGCTTTACTCTTGAATATCTCCTTGATCATCCGTCGACCGAGCCCCCCCTCGTTCTTCCCCGATTCCCTGTTAACCGCTCGCCCTCGACCGTCCTTTTCTTACGGTTCGTACCATCATATTCAACCCCCCTTAAAAAAAAAAAATTATCCCTAAATCAAGAAAACCCCAACTTCGCTGGCTTCCTGCGTCGTCCGCGATCTCCTTGTGAACCGCGGTTGTCGCGCAAGCGCGTTCCTCGTTCGCCCTGCTTTTAGCACACACATATCGCCTACCCGATTATTGTCCCGAAAAAAAAAATAAAAAATGTAGAAAGTCCTGTTGAAAGTCATTTTTTTTTTTTGTTCAGCAGCTCCATCTTACATTTGACATTCATCGCTTTTCTCGTGGCGCTTTTATTAATTTTTTTTTACTTGTCCCGCCTTGTCATTGCGTATCCTGCCCCCACCCCCCTCCTTTCCATACGTTTGTCCTTTGGTATCCTCTCATGATTGCGGCTTCCTTCGGGAAGACATTCGGGCGGAAGAACGAATCGTTGGTTCCTACGGGATTGACGCGTGTACCTTCTAACGAGGATGACACCAATCGGTAGATTTCGTTGAGCGCGAAGTTACGAGTCTCCTCGTTTTTCTCGTTGGAAGCGGCGTTCGTGCTTCTAAAATAAAATAAAAGGGAGGACGCGTGCGTTATATCTCCTCCGAACCTAAACTGTGCTCCTTTCCATTGCTGCGCTTATAATATTGTTCTCATAGATCGGTAAATAAAGTACGTTGAAACTTGAAAAAAAAAAAATGAAAAAAAAAACAGTGGTCATTTACTTCGGATCCTTTCACGCAACGTCCCGTTGAGAAAGATTCGTGAATGAGAAATTTTTTTTCTTCTGCCGTCTTTTTGACGTCTCATCCACGTCGGCGGATACGTATGTTTGTGCAACGTGCGTCGCGTGTGTTTACTGTCATTTCTTTTTTTTTTTATTTTTTTTTTTCTGTATGGACACTATTACGTAGACGCTTTTGAAAAGCGTGCCATGCGAATTTTACATGTTGTACGGGCGCGTGCGCGCGCGTGATGTGTGCGAGTCTGTGTATGTACCTTTTTTCTTGTGTGAACAAAAAAAAGTTAAGAGAAAAGAAATCTATCGAGAAAAATTGTTATTGCTATTGTTTTCTTAACGTGTCACTATAGCGTTGAAAAGGAATCACGTTACGAAAAATCTTTTTGATTCTCTCTCTCTCTCTCTCTCTCTATCTCTATCTCTGTCTTCTTCTATATGATCCTTTGTATATTTATGACTTAAGGGTGATCGTATGCATTCGGAGTACTACATGATACCGTTCGTTGTGTCTATCTCTATCTCTGTCTTCTTCTATATGAGTCACTATAGCGTTGAAAAGGAATCACGTTACGAAAAATCTTTTTGATTCTCTCTCTCTCTCTCTCTCTCTATCTCTATCTCTGTCTTCTTCTATATGATCCTTTGTATATTTATGACTTAAGGGTGATCGTATGCATTCGGAGTACTACATGATACCGTTCGTTGTGTGACTGATGTTTTCAGAACGATTGGCACTGCAGATGACGTGGTTGCGCACGAGCTAGCGTACAGTGCGAATAAGTCGCTTCATGCATATACGGACGTGGATTACTAAACTGTATTATTGAACTTTAATGCCGTATTTTCTTTGTCTTTCTTTCTTTTCTTATTTTATTTTATTTTTTTTAAAACAATAATTCACTTGTTTGTATATCTGAATCATGACACTTGTGACTTTGCTAGTTCTTACTTTAATAAATGACCAAGACGTGCGAAGAGATATTCTTTTGCATCGCAATGTGCGGGGACCCACCTTTATTGGCTCTCGACGGGGGCCTCTACGTTTAATACCTCAGGGCAAGTGGTATCTCTGCGCACTTGGTAGAGATGCGCCCTGGGAAGGAACGATTGTTCTCTCGACTTTCGGTGTTCTCGCGTGGCAAAGGTAAACTCGAAGGAGCCAAGCGATTAAGAAGTGAAAGGGGTGTAGTGGGATATGAAAATCGAGAAAAAAATCAGACCTTCCCCGTTTTTGCCTCTGGGCACACGTGACAGTCCCAGGTGCCATTCCTTCCGTACACCGATCTAGGATAATTAGTCGTACTATCTTTTTTAATCCAAGTATGTGTTCACAGCCAAGGTTAAAGACTCAGAGGATCGAGTCGAAGATCTTGGGAAGTGAAGCATGGTCGTGAGATGGGATTCTCGAGCCTGTCGCATTGTTGCTTTTTCGAAGAGCCGATGCACGACGATGCCCAATCAAACTTGCAGGCTCAACGGCCCTGGTCCACAAATCAGCTTGGCCGGTAAATCAATTTCTACACGACCACGCATCGACGCCAGACCGCGCTCCGTAATGAGGACGCAGCCGCTGACGCGTAGCTTCTTTAAAGCCGGCAGCGACCTCAGCGAGAGCAAGCCCGCGTCGGTGATCTTTGAGCAGGATCGCAGATCTAACTCACGGATGGTCCTGCAGCGAGAGCCGAGCTCGTAGAGGCTCCGGTCCGACAGGGTGGCATTTTTCAAAGACAGGCACGTCAACCTGCAAAACGATACACGCAACGTTAGCCCTGAGCTTCGAAAGAGTATCACTTTTTTGGCACCAGCATCGCGCGAGTCTTTAACCTTGGTCCTGGAACCACGTGCACCGCGTCCATTATGCCAAGCGCGGTCGTACGAACGTTTTGGAACGACGATCATCCGAGCTGTTCTTGTGAACCCAGAATGTTCGTCTCTCGTGGCCAGTTGTCACTTGCATCTTTAGCAGTGAAGATAGAAAACGGTAAATCAGTCCGACTAACGCGAAGGGGGGAAACGAAGCCGGCTGGGTTTGGGAGACGGAAGGATCGATCGACCTTTCGAAGTGTCCGTGAGGATCTTGTATTAGGTAAGCTTGTATAGAGAAGGGAAATAAACAGTGGAAATTGTAAGAGAGAGAGAGAGAGAGAGAGAGAGAAAAGGAAAGTGATATACGAACGATAACAATTATTGTACACAAATGATAAGCGATACCTGCTCGTCTCGTGGAACATGGAGAGGAGAGCCTCGTCGGAAAGGCGATAGCAGTCGGCTAGTACGAGTTCACGCAGGTTCTCGTTGTATCGGAGCAAGCTCATTAGGAATGGCTCCTCGACCCAGGCGCATCCTCGTAAACGTACGGACGTGAGATTACGGCACTTGGTTATCTCGACGAAGTCGGAGCCTCGCATGTGCTCGCCGTTGCAACCGCTTAAGTCCAGGTGCGTCAGCTCGGGATGCCGGTGCAGGAGCTCGACCACGTGACGGGAGCCTAGCCAGACGCTGCCGGTGAGATTCACTCGGCGGAGGCTCATGCAGGTCGTTACGAGTACCTTGAGAGAAGTGGAAAAGAACAAAAAAATGAAAACGAGTGGTCAACGGGACCGCGTCGGAAATACACAGAGATATCGAGTCTCGTTTCGTCATCGATCTCGTCATCGTATTCGTCGTCGGTTGGTCGTCGTCGTTTTCGTCGTCGTCGTCGTCGTCGTCGTCGTCGGTATTTTCTCTCTCTCTCTTTCTCGTTCAAGAGGATGGATAATCGGTGCTTCTACTTTCTCTCTCTTTCTCTCTCTCTCTCCTCTCTTTGTACGCGTGGGACGCGCGAATCTTACGTACACGGAGAGGTGACCGCGCCGTGAGCCATTACCGAGCGAATGTGTTCTATAAGAGGCTGGAAATCTCTGTGCATATTATAATCTGATGGTGTGATAATAGGACTTGAGAGGCACGAGGCTCTGGATGTAAGACATGTACCTCGAAGGCGCTCGGCTCGAAGCTCACGTGCCACCGCGAGAGGTCCAACGTTTCCCAAGTGGCAATGTAATTGTCGACCAGGACTTCAAACTCCGTTGAAAGGCATCGCAGTCGCACGAGGTCCTGTAGATCCAGGCGACTAAATATTTGGGTGTAAACCACGTCGTTCCAAGGCAAGTCCAACAGTCGTAACATTCTCTCTCTGTACAGAAAAAGAATTGGGTTGCGTCTGTATATATATATATATATATATCTGTGGGTATGGTGTGTGTGTATATATATATATACATCGTTCAACCGTTCATCCTTCATTCACCTTGTACAGTTAATGTTAACGGCGGGAACGCTTCTTTTCTTTTTCCTTTTTTTCTTCTTTTTCCTTATTTTTTTTTTTTTCTAGAGATTTGATCTTTTCTTTCTCAGGAGAAGCTGACGTTAGACACGTTCGAAACTACGGTACAGGACACGAAACTCTCGTGCGCCTCCTCTCTAGCTACGAGGAATAGGCTGTGTCTGTCCTTATTGGCTATGGGGATGATGTCCTCGCTACGCGACCTTCTATCTCGCTCGATCTTGGATCTTTGCACCTTTCTAAAACTTTAGTATCTTCCATTGAAAGACGAAGGTATCGTACACCAATGAATTCAACCAGAATGATCTCTCTCTTCCATCCACGTGCCCCCCCTTCTATCCACTGTTAACGTAGCTCGTAGGTAGCTGGACCAGTTCCCTTTTATTCCTCTCTCTCTGTCTCTTAAGTCTGGCTACCTTATGCACACGCGAAATCCATCACTTGCTGTTACAAAGCCAGATAGTTAAAATTTACGTCTTTTAAAATGCTTTGCAATTGTTACGTAATTTACGTGTGATTGGTACTGCAGGCATTGTCACTTGAATCCGGCACTCTTGAAAACTTTGGTTCTTCTTTTTTTTATCTTGTCAAAGACTTGTATGAATATTACAGTTATACCGCTGCTCACCAGCCCTGGATCTTCGCCCAGACGAGTTAGAGACTTCTTCCTGCAGTTTATTGTCGTCTCGTTAGTGTACGTTAACTAACCTGCAAGCTGAACATTGATTTTCATGATGGGAATCATTCTCCAGTGAATAAAGAATCGTCTTCTGATAAATGCCTGTGCAATTCCATATAATAAAACTTGTTAATGTATATATGTGGCTAATCGGATCACTCATATTCAATTTTATTTTCCTACTTCCATGTGCTATGCTTTCCTTCGTGTTTCGCAAGGCGCAAACGTCACGAGCGATTTTATATGCATTTTGGGCATACGTGGTGTCCCATCTTTGTTCTTTATCGTTTATTAAATAATCGTGTATGCTATAACAAAATCTTCTCTGTTGTTGCTGTTAGAGAATTTTGAGATACGGTAGACGGTCAAGTTTCTTTTGTTCGGTTAGTCATCGAAAAATTCAGATTTCTGCTCTTGATGTGGTGACATGCCAAGCGTTATCAGCTGTCTAAATAAATTATTTAAATTATCAGCCGTGACTATACATGAATATGGAAATAAAATGAAAGTAAGTATGATTATAATTTCTTTATCGATTTATATTACGTAAAAATTACGAAAAGGATAAGCCTTTTTTTTTGTAAATGATTAACTACTTGACGGTAAACGTGTATATGCGAGGCCAGTTGTCTATTTTTGTAAAATCTTTTTTTTATATGGAATAGGTAACTAGGATACGTGTATCGCGTGACCACTTAAAAATTACTCGTGTAAGAACACAGTCCTTTGAGAATCAATAGCTAGTGGAACGTTGAAAGATTACGACTGCCAGCGAGAAATGTAATTTACCATTATTACGTAAGTATTGCAAGTTTCATAATCGCAACATTTTTTCTGCTTTAATAAATTATACCCGGAGTTATATAATGGCCATTGAAGCTTTACTCTAAACAAAATAAGTTGTGTTCAATAGCCGCATTTTAAGTGTTATGTTTCTGATAATGAGTAGTAGTAGGTGTTTTTAGATGTGATTAGAAAATAGATTTTATATCTTTCTAGCCAGCCCATAAACCAGCAACAACATTATCTTAATAAGATTAAATTAGATTTATAATAACGCAACAATTACGGATTATAATGCGAGTTGTTATTTGGTTTAGTATCATGTCTCAACGCATATGTAAAATTAAGTATGTATATGGGTCGTTCATCTGCGTCAACGTATAAACGAACAATCTAAAGTTGTTAAACAAGTAAACTTAATATATCTGACCTGTTATTGAATACGAATCTCTCAGACGTAACAATCTAACGTGAGATAACAGATGTTGCGTCTTTAAACGATTGGCTCCAACTTCCTTGATACGAGTGGGGCAATGTTGTCAATGATTGGTTGTTCGACAATCCAATTGTAAAAATTTCAAAGATGGCGCCACGTTTAACCTGGTCACATGGAAATTCTCAAGTCTATTATATTCTGGCATTTGGAATTCCTTTCCAGTTGGCGCGTTGCCGCCAGCCAAGAAAGAAGTACGCTTTTGTTTCTACCCGTCAATACCAGCCTGATTCATTATGGCTGAAAAACTACGGTACGACGATTATAGTATTGCACGAGGCCACATGTGTCAAAGCTAACTTATACTAAGATTCTAATACGATAGTCCTGTATAAATTCTTTCCTATTGCGTGGGTTTACTAACATTAGTGATGATCAAACATCGTATGTAAAATCATTCGTAATGCATATTTGTAGTTGCATTGCAACTAATAAAGATTGATAGACTTATATGGTTTTATGCAAATTATTTCGAGGTTATACTTTCATACCACTCACTGAAGAATTGCAATCGCAGAACGGAATGCGATCAGTAATTCCCCATTAAAAATACTATTGGATTAAATATAACACAGTCACTTTATGAATATTAAAACGGCATTCCGGAAGTGTGATGCATGTCATCATTATGTAACTACTAATTGAGGATGTTTTACAATGTAAAAAATCTGTTTAATTTTCGTGATTTTTTTAAAAATTCATATCTAAACGATATATGCAATATTTTTTCATCAGTTATTGTTGTTATGATTTAGTTTTGTTTCTTGCGACATATTTAAAACTCAATAATCAAATGAAACACTTATTTAAGTATGGTCTATTTAAATAATGTAGTTCCCAACACAGGAAAGTGCATTTACTTAATAGTGATAAATCCACTTAATAGATAAATGTTGACATGCAGTAAATAGCAGGGATATTATTGTTAAAGTTTAGTCTTATTTATAGACAATGAATTATTTTTTAAAGTGTAAGACATTTTAGTGGAAAAGTGTATTGTCTATATTTATATTATTTTAGGGAAGGTCTTCTTTTGGGAATGGGCAACCCACTGCTTGATATCTCTGCTACTGTTGATGAAGATTTTTTGAAGAAATATGATTTGAAACCCAACAATGCAATACTTGCTGAAGAGAAACATAAGCCTCTATATGATGAGCTTATAGAACAGTACCACGCAGACTTTATTGCTGGCGGTTCAGTACAAAATAGTATGCGTGTGGCACAGGTAAATATTTTCACATAGTTTCACATATTTGTACATTTAGTCGTTAAAATTCTTTGCTACTAACAGATAGAATCTTCATGTCAAAGGTTATAAGCCAATATCAGCATGAAGTCAAGCCTATTTCAGTTATGCTAAATAATCACTTGTTCCGTTAAGCAATAGTTTATTGTTAGATCATGGAAATTTCCATTTGACACAAGTAGCATAGATAATATTGTATGAGTCACGTACATGTATGTAACTTCTACATATCATTTATTATTCTTAGTCAATACTGATATTTAATACAGTTTGGCATCTTGCAAAGCTATGTTGTATCGTTTCTTCATATTTTTTTATGTAGGTTTGTCTGATATCAGATCCATGATATCAGACATAATATTAATAACTATAGCATTATAATGTAAGTGTTTTTAATTACACTGTTTCTCAGCAATTATTAAGTCTGGCATATTTTTTCTAGTGGTTCCTTGAAAAACCGAACATTACAATATATATGGGATGTGTTGGCAAAGATAAATATTCAAAAATTTTAGAAGAACGTGCTCGCTCTAGTGGCATAAATGTTCGATATCATTATACAGATAAAGAAACCACTGGTACTTGCGCAGTTCTGATAACAGGAAAGGAACGATCTCTTTGTGCGAATTTAGCAGCTGCCAACTGCTTCTGTCCATCACACATAGAGGAACCGGAAAATAAGAAACTAATTGATTCAGCTGATTACTTTTACATATCAGTGAGTACAAGTTTTTTTATTTATGCAAGGAATTCAAAGAGTCTGTTCTTTTACAATTTCTTGCGTCCATTGAAAAGTATATTAAACATTAGACTTTCTAATTCTATACCCCAGGGATTTTTCTTGACAGTCAGTCCAGAAACGATACAGATTATCGCCAAACATGCGTTTGAGAAAAATAAATTGTTTACAATGAATCTCAGCGCGCCATTTCTGTGTGAATTATTCAAAAAGCCTATGAGGGCTGCTCTGCCATACGTGGATATTCTTTTTGGAAATGAAACGGAAGCAGATGCGTTCGCCAAAGCAAATGACTTTCAGACTACTGACAGGAAGGAAATTGCATTAAAAATTTCCAGAATGGAGAAAATTAATGACAAGAGAAAGCGAATTGTTATTATTACTCAAGGAGAGGGTCCGGTGATTTTAGCCAGGGACAATACTGTCACAGAGTTTCCTGCAGAAAAGTTACCTGCTGAAAAAGTTATAGATACTAATGGTGCGGGAGATGCTTTTGTTGGAGGTAAGAAGATTATTGTATCACATACGTACTCCTATATTACGCAAACTTACGACTACTTATAAGATGTCACATGTATCAAAATAATTGTTCCTATAATTCAAATTTTCCGTCATTTACCATTTTCAGGTTTTCTAGCGCAATTAATTCAAGGTCAAAGTATAGAAGTATGTATTAAATGTGGCATCTGGGCAGCCACCCAAATAATTCAAAAGTCTGGCTGTACTTATGAAGGAAAGCCAAACTTTGCTCCATAGTTAAACGATTTCGTTAGGCGTTGAATATCGTTGTACTTAACAATAATACATATTTTCACTTGAAGACTTTGTAACATTTATTTTTCTATTCAAAAAGTATTACCTATATTCACGTACCAATAATATATAGTTTACTTACGACGTTGCTATCGATAAATACATAATGATGTGATTCTATCTGACAATTTAGGAAATCACTTCCCACAATGTATTAATCTTATCCCGTAAGGATCAATGTAACGGATTACTTTTTAATAATGTTCAGCACGATTAATCATAATTATGAATTTTAGATGTTAAACACGTCGGGAAAAAAGAGCAAGCAGGTTTTCTGTAGGATGCACGAATACCAATCTACAACCTCTTCTGCAACTACCTACACAAAAAATTTGAATATAAAAAATGTCCATTTATACATTCCTCGTCATTGTTTATATACGAGTTTAAAATTTACTGGTTGCGGTTCATCGTTCTCCTAAAATCTACAAACAGTTTACCTTTTAGGAGAATCCCTCTAATGCTTGTCACCTGAAGGTAATGAATAGTTAAAAATGTTTTACAAGCCAGTGAATCATGTACTACGTGAACAATAAGCAATATATACATACTAGGAGAAATTATTTTAATTTATTCACAACTACTTGCAGTTTTTGTTCTATGGGTAAAGACAACAGTAAATTCAGAAATGTTATTTTTATAGATATATATTAAAGATAATTTATATTGTCACGTATCATCAAATATATAAAGTATTTTATTCAGTTTCACCTTATTAGACCATCAGGTAAGTTCAAATATCAAATATCCCATTCAAGGTTTAGCCAAGAGGCCAATAAATTATCACCTTATAATCGGAGCACGAAATCAAATCTACATTCAATAAGCATCCTGTTTTTACTTTTATTGTTAGTTGAAAAGAGTTCCAAAGCTTAAAAAATGCGAAATTGCTCATCAGCTGGTAAAAAATCTGCAAATTGTCTACGCAAGGTACCTACATTCAAAAAATTGATAAAGTGCGTTAAAAGATGTATAGCTCCTAGTAACACATTATCTTTATCTAAATGTAACACTTCTTATTTCACGTTTCGAAAGTGCGAATGAAATAATTAGCGTAGTAACAATTCATAGGCATATATTATTAGTGAGCGCAGAGGCTTGTACGGATAAACATCAGGTAAACTACGGACACTTGATCAGATAAATAATTTCATAAATTACTTTTCGTTTACATATAGCTGCAATATACGTATGTCACATTACGAATTTACGACACTATCAAATATCCTTTAAGGCTGCTGTCTGGCTGGTTTAACTATATATATTGCGTGACGTCACCAGCGAGGAAACGTATTTTCCGTTATTCTTCTTCATTTTGAAATGATTTAGCAAAATCTTTGATGATCCCGCTTCGTTATGCGATACGGCTGGCGGCTCTTCTCAATTTAGGTGCGAAAAATGTTTCAACTGTTAGAAAAATGTACGTAAAGAAATCGTGCATTTCTGACCTGTCAAACCATCATGGGCGCCGCCATTACGACCGTTCACTAAATCCCATTTTTCTGCGAATCAGGACACTCGTCACACTTTAATCGAGAAGATCCGCCTTGCTATGGACGATACAAAGCGGGCTGATCTAATAATTTTGTCAATAACTGTTTGACAAACGCAAAAAACGGCAAATTAGATTCGGCCCGTATTTTACTATCTTGAGAATCCAATAGATGGCGATAGCTGTTTCTCGCCGTAGATCTCAGTAACGTGAGCGATTTGCGGGGCCCGTAGCATAGTACCGTTGTGTCAAAACTACACACACATATAGTATATGTGTGTAGCCAAGTTTGCTGGCGAAGAGCTAAGCCAGCCTAGACGCTTGGCTCGACTCGCTATATATATATATTCTTTACGCCACTGTCTTGTTAGCCGTCCACGAGGTAGCTATTTAAAAAGTAATAGTACTTACAGTTTTCAGAAAATGTTGGTATCAAGCTGAAAAAGTTGTATTTTATTTGTCATTAACAATTTAATTGTTTAAACGACGAACTTCGGT